TATCAGCCCAACAAAAAAATTTGTCGAGGAATAACATCTTACCATTTCTCTTGTTTTTGGTAGTTTTCTAAACTGGATTTGTGACGATCCGAGAGCATTTTCTTTGGTTTTCTCCAATGGATCCAAATTCAATTGTTTTCAAAATTCCGACTGTAATAGAAATAATATTCATTCATTTTAACCTATAAGGGAACGAAAAAAACATTGTATTTAACTCGTGAAAATGAACACTATTATTATGAAAAACGTATTTAAACAATATACGGTCTCGCTAAATAAAAAGCAATATGATTTCGTGTCGATTTTCCTCGTTTAAATACCGAAAGCGAAAATCGTTTGGGTCTCCCGCGCCGATATATTAAGACGAAGGCAAAGATATTTTACCGGAGCGGGCGTTATCAAAAAAGATATATAACTTTAAAACATATTTTCATAAGCGCTCCCAGAAATGTTATGAGGATTTATTGCGTCGCTTTGGGCGACTTGCACATTTCAGGAAACGTAATTTATTAGACGTTCAGCCTGAAGCTACTTAAGTTTGTTTGCCGGAAAAGTAGCCCCCGACCTGGAGCCTCACACACTACACACAGCTACCACCATCACCAAATATAAAAAAATCACAAACAAGGTGAGCACCAATCTAATTATTTTTTTGCAGGGGGATGACTCGGCAAAATGGAGCGCTGAAAGGATGAGGCTTTTAAGAAGACGGCCATCTTAATCGGGGTCAAATTGACTCTAGTAGGGAGTCCGTTACTTTATAGCGACTCCCTAACGGAGTCAGGTTGACTCCCTTTGAGGGAAATCTACACCTGGAGAGCAGCTCTTCGCTAGAAAACTCGATTAACGCAAATAAAAAGCGAGAAGTTCGGCACCGACGATTGTTTCACCACGTGACCAATTTACATTGCAAATTCTTGGCGGTATGTCGAAGTCTGAGCCTTCGAAAAGTTCCAAACCGAGTTTACGCCTCCGAAACCGAAACTTTGATCCGAGAGTAACGAACGTAATTTTCTTTTTGAGCGTAACCACCATCTAAATAAACACAAAGCGTACTTAATAACGTTATTTATCACGTTTCGTTTAACAATAACCAATATTTGCGTCAGAATGTTATCTTTCTCGGTTGTAATTCGATTTTCTTTTATATAACTCAACTCTGTAACCGAATCTTTAATTACTAGCATTGATCACGTGGTCCCAGATTTTTCACCTTCACCACTTTTGTTACAGTACAATATCAAAAAGAAAGAAGAAGTTGTAGAACCGGTACAGGAAGAACCAAATCCTCTCATGCGTAAAAAGAAAACACCTGAAGAACTTGCGAGAGAAGCAGAAGAAGCGGACGAGGATGAGTTCACAAGTGAGTGTATACAGGGTTTTAGACGGTTAAGCAAAAGATGCAACATTATATAAAAAAAATCCCGGACAACGAATCATTTTACAAGAAAAAAAAAAGTTTTTGGCCCTTTTATTCGACGAAAAATTCTAAATGTTGTTGAAATTTATCGTAGATGTTGTAGGTAGAAAAATCAAATTGTAGATGTATTTTTTGGGCACTAGCACTAAGTCAATTCACACTCAAAACCACCTCACCTTTTTGCCTAAGTACAAACCAACAATAAAAGAATAATCAAACCTTGTGCCTTTCGCGGCCTACGACCTGACAATATTCAATTACGTGTTGCCAAAATTGACAAAACCTTCTTCTTTGGTGTATCTATTCTTGTTTTGTACTTCTCACTGCATTGAACTGTACCCTGGCTCTTAGTAGTTTGTTGTAATTTTTAGTTTAATATATTTTGTTTTTTTCTTTGTTTTTCGTTATTTATTTAATGTCACCTCGACATAGTCCCCTACCAATTTGTTTATTTAGATCCTCGCATGCAAGACAAGTGCTAGTTAATCATCCATTGAACGTTATGCAACCAAGTATACAACCCGAAAGAAAATCGATGGATATAATATGTGACCTCCAACAGAATATCATTCTTATGCAACCAGATGTACACGCGCGTATTGGCAGTTGCATAGTCTGATCAAAAACCAATGTCTTTTCGATTTTTCAGAGTTGAAGAACACGATAGAAACACAAGTAAACGAACTCAAGTCACAAATAGAGAGTAAATGTGTTATGCAATGAATTCCGGGAACATCTACGAGGCGATTTCTGCGGGCCGTCTTCTGGAACGTCACAGAAAAAATTCAATAAAATAATTTTAAGAGTAACTCAATTAGTTAGGTGCCGTATATAAGTTAAGTAGGCGTGTTACCTGTGATCAAAAAATAACGCCCTATCATCGGTGGAGAAATCAGGGCGCGTCCAAAAATTTTGCTAGGGAAAACAAGAGTGAAAAAAATTTAAAAAAAAAAAAAAGAAATCGATTTGCCTTACCGGTCCAGGACCTCGCGCTGGTTTCTCCACCGATGGCCGCCTTTCAGCGACTTTATTTAATTGAAAGAATGACAAAAGCCGTGCAGGAATAAGCCCCGAATAAAACATACACACAACAAAAGAGACTGCGATAAACAATTAACAAATAACAAAAATATTATGATGACATTAGATACCGATGCACTGTTGTCATAATACTTTTGTAGTAGTGTAATCAATTGTTACCAAACTTTTTGTAGATAGACGATAGTTTTAAACCTATTTTTTTGTAACGTCAAAAAATGTGCATAACGAAACATGTTCTTTTGTTTTCTAAGGACGCATGTAGTATTTTTAAGACGTAATGAGGAATGTTCGAGGCTTTTTAAACAATCACTCACCGTTTTTCCGATGATACTCTTCACTCTTTTCGTCCTCTAGCACACACCGTGATTGGTCATCCAAATTCCTTATATTTCGCCTTTGATGTTCCCGAGTCCGTCGAGAGTGCCGGCTAATATAAAACGCAGGAGAAAAATAAACTTTTTTACCAAAGAAAAAACCTCAAAAATCCTGTCGACGGACTCGTTTGCGATATTTGTTTCTTGCGCTTGCTGTACTCTACTCAATCTCTGTCTCTTGCGATATATTATGTGAAATTAGCACATCTAGACGACAATCTGCCGAAGAAACAAAAATTAATGGGAAATTTTTTGAACATCTCAGTCCGTGTATGGCAACCGCTTTTGTTTCGGTGTAGCATGTCATTTGATAATTGTTCGTTGTTCATTGTTGTTGTCTCTGTCTCTTTGTGGAACTCTCTTCCTGTATCATTCTCTTCGACTCAAAATGACCAAGTTCGTAACACCAGGATAATAATGAATTCCCGACGACTTCAGCTGTTTTTTTGTACAATAATAACGCGCTTCGTTTCCAACTAGGATGGGCTCGACTGGAGCGAAAAACAGATCTCTCTATCGTTTGGTTTGTGATTTATTACACGTATTGTTGTGTAGACGCACTGCTTCACCCTTTCACTAGAACTCAAAGAAAATTTGAGTCGATTCGGATTTCACTTATCATTGATGAGTCAAATCGGAAACGACCGATTGTTTTGTTTGATTGTACAGTTTTTTGTTTATTTTCTTATGTGTCAGTCTGGTCGGCGCCTTCACGATCCTGTTGTCTATGTGTCAATTAAATTCTATATATCATTCTCTAGTAGGAAGTAGCGTAATTCTATGTCTATCTTAACTCTAGTTGGGGGTAGAGTCTAGACTATCGATGTATTTAATACTATAGGTGTCGTTGCTCAAATGTGTCTTTTTGGCAAAACGCAATGTTCAATGTGGAATTTGGGTGAAATCAACGTGAAAATCTCTACATTTAATAAAACTAAACAAAATATATTGAATATACACACGCAAATGCAAGACAATGCAAACACGTACTCTCAGTAGGATTTGTACATTTTAGAAAATTCTCAAATTGTTGACCCGGTTGTCAAGGTTTTTTCGTATTTGGTCGGCACTCCACCGGCCGAATCATTGTTCCTACTTTGTCTGTTGTTGGTTATTACGGTTCTCCTCACAACATAAGCAATGTAGTACGACTTAGTCTGGTGTGTGATAATATTATAAGTGTATGTTTTTTGTCTTTTGTATTGTTACAACCGTGAAAGTCTTGATGTTGGCACCACTGCCGACAACGCCGAATTCCGTGTACTCAAGACAAGTTTTGTGACGATTGCGTTTGTTAATATCTAAATTCTAGAGACAACGACACGTATATTTAAATAATTAAAAAGGAATCTGTAATTTCTTATCTAAGGATGGCGGAAACGCGGACGAACGGAACGCTAGACAGGCGACCCGTACGTCCCCGTCTCGGCGAGGCTTCTGCTTAAGTGACGTATTTAAATAAAAGCTAGTGATAAATTTATGCAAAAACTGAAAAATCGTTAAAGAAATGATCAATGTTGTATTGTTATTACCAAAAAATGATATTCGCAAGTATATATTATCATGTATTGTAGATATTGTTGTTGATTCGAAGATTATTTAGTTCGACATGAGCTTTCAACCAATTACCTACAACAAATTACCCGGGTTTTTGTTATAGTTAATGATTTTTTACAATGATGATTCTTCCGTAATTTTGTTGTAGGCCGATTCGTAAAGCTGTATGTAGTCAAAAACTTTTGTATTTATACACTTATTAACAGTAATTGTTTCATGAGCCATGAAACAACACGTTTGTAGTTGCCTGAGTACCTATAGTTAGTAAGGGCTGTTCACGTTGTTATATAATAATATTATTAATAAGTCTTAGTCGATCGACTTGATTGTTGTTAGTTGTAAAACCACCTGCAACGTTATTGTGAAAAGAAAGGACTTAATAAAATATTACAGTTTACAAATTATTCTTATCCCTCAGCCCCAACAAAAACGCCTAACTTCTCTCTAAAAGATCTGAATTTTTTAAAACCGCCCAAAGTTCATTCCAGTTATAGTTTTTATTAAAAATCAATACAGCTCAGCCATTTTTCAATGCAACAACTGAATTTTTCTCGACGCCGGGAAGACATTCAACAGTGAATTTTTCAGACGTATCAGTGTCAAATCTATACGTAGAAAACAATTTTATTCGAAAAATATACAAGTAAAAGCAGCAACAAATATGTTACTATTTCAATAAATCATCCATAATATATTTCCGTAATTTAGAGCTCAAACCTTGGAAAAACTTGGATAATTTTCGGAAAAGTTTATCCCACACGTTGTCAGGCACTTTTTTCGTAATTTTCTGAATGTTTGTACGAGTGCTCTCCTCCACTTTCTCGGTCGTTGGACAAGTCGACTCGCCACCATGAAGCACCAATTTCAGTTCAGCATCTCCGTTTTTCTCAACGACTTCGATCTTATCCTTGTTTGGAAAAACCAACTGATAGTCGCCGTTTTCCCGATCGAGTTTCGGCTGAATCATCTCCGTGTTTTTAATAATCTCATTCATGAAACTTCCAATTTCGTTCTCGACCGAATCCGCATCGTGATCGAGGCTCCTCTTCGACTTTTTTCCGGTAGGATTTTTCAGAGTCAAAATATCCGAAGGTTTCCAAACTTTAAAACCCTCAGCCAATGATTTGTACTTATCGACCAGAAAGTTTCTATTTTGTAGAGATCTTACTTTGTGCTGATGCACCAGTTCATTATTTCTGGTAATAAAATCGAGCTTCTTCCTATTCGCCAGATGATCCTTCAAAATTTTAAACTGTTGCTCCTTCAAATTATCGTCAATCTTTAGTTTCGTAGGATCGTAACCTTGACCTAAAATATAATAAAATTTCGTGTCAGCGCTTAATTCGTTTATGCTTCGTTTTTTCCTCAACGGACTACTTTCGTCACTATCCAAATCCTCGTAATCGTTTTCGACAAAATCGTCGTGTTTAACTTCAGACTTTTGCGAATCGAGTTCGGCCTAAAACCACAAAAAATCATTTTGTCCCACATACCAAAACACTCACTTCATTAACAGCAAACCCTCGATTGTGCAAAGCAGGCAAGTGGTTATCCGTTTTTTCTTCAATCAAACCGACTTCCCACAATTCGGACGAATTTTTCATTTGTTTTTCCTCTGGAATTCTCTTTCCGAAAAACTCATGAATGCAGTCGTAATATTCGTTTTCATTATTGTCATCAAAGTCCGAATTTACCTCAAAATCATCCTCAACTACCAAATCAGATGGTTCAAATTTAATGGGTTGTACCTCAATCTTCGGTTTGGGTTTATTGAAGAAAGTTTTCAGTCCAAATTTTGATGGTTTTTCCGTTGTTAAGAAAACTTCATCAGGGTCGGCTAAGTCGGCAAAAACGTCCCCATCAGGCAAAGGACTTTCTTCCTTTTCTTCCTCAAACTGGACGAACTCATCCGAGGTTTGTCCAGGCTCGCGAATCGTCGCTTGTTTCTCTTCTCTATTTTCAAACACCTTTTTCTTCAATTTTTTACTCTTGTTCGTGTTCGGATGCAACATTTCCGTCTTCAACTTGAGCAAATCCATATTAATGTCCCTTTTCTCACGTTTCTGTTCCGATTTAGCTTTCCGTTTATTAAATGTTTCTCGCAACAATTTTCTTCGATTATCACCCAAAGTCTTCAATTTCAGCAGTCTCATATTTATGTCCTTTTTATCACGTGGTGCTTCTCTCTTTGACTTCTTCCGAATCCGAATCGCTGCATTTTTACTATTTAAAATTTTTTCAGTCGCTTTATCCATAATTTCCTCCAATTCTTCACTAGTGAAAATTATATGCTTCTTTGCGGCTTTAGCTTTCGCTCGATCAGCTAAAACTTTCCGGATTTCGGCACTAGTCAACTCAAGTTCAAAAATTTTCTTCGTTTCTTCATCCTTATGCTTCGGTCTTTTGTAATCGTCAAAATGTTTGTGTTTGGTTTGATCGATGAAAAATTTCCTAGCTTCACCTTCATGCACGTTCTTCTTCTTCATTTTTAATTGTTTGTAAAACCGTTCATCAGACTCCAATTCTTTCATCATAACTTCATGCAATTCGTGCAAAGATGGAGTTTTGCGTTCGGAAAGTCTTGAATTGATATCAACTGAAACTTCTTCCGAAAACGGTATATTCTGATCTTCACTTATTTCTTCAATTAATTGTTTCAAATCGTTTTCTTCATTGGCACAAATCGGAATTTGGGCACCGGGTAAAACAAAGAAAGCAACGGATTTTGGCGGCACAAACAACGATAAGTAATTCATGATCCTTGCACGTCTCAATTTCGGTAAAACATTAAGTTTATCGCCTGTATATTTGTCCATACTTAATCTTTCACCATTTAATAAAACATTCCTAAAAAAAAATTTATAAACTGTGGAAACTTGTCCAAAAACAAATTATGTATTTACGTGGAATCCTCGCTCGTCAAAATATAAGATTGGACTTCAGTATTTTTCAGTAGAACTGTACCAAATTTAAGTAAAAGTGTATGGTTTGTGGTACAGTTGTTCACAACAAGGACTGTCATAGCACCACTGCGGATAAAATCGTTTTGGTGTTTAGTACAATGGGCGTAAACCGATAATCCGGAATGACCAATTGTAGGTTTGACATCCAAAACGTTCCTTCCCATTAAATTTTTATGCATCGCGGAAACCCAATATGGAGGGGTTTCTGAATAAATTTCATGTAGGCGTGGCTGTCGCAAAATAACCTGATAGCCAATTTTGGCCGCTTCTCCCAGTTGTTTAGCCCAAGAAATAGCCGAATCAAAAGAAACTGGATGTGCGGACTTAGGAGACACTGTCCAAAGTGGAACTTTGGGTAAAATATGCCATTCGTTTAATTGTTGCAAGTAAATTGTGTCACTTTTGGTTGTCCTAAAATCTATTGTCGAATCCAAAATTCGGAGTTTCGTCACACTTACGGTTCCAGGATAGCCGCAGCTAGAACATTATCCATATTGTCCAGAATTCGTTTAGTGTCAGTAACGCATCGTCTTAAATCGCTTCCTATGATTTTCCACCGTTCCCTATTGTCCGGAAAAGCGTCCAAGACGTGTTGTAGTCGCTTCAGGTCGGTTTCATACTGTCCTTCGCTTTTATTCGTGCAGTCTACAAGACGTCAAAGTCGTAACGAAGTTCTCGCTCAATTTCGACCCTATTTACCATACCCCAGCTGCCAATAGCAGCTCACATTAAACTTATCCGAAATATCCAACAACGGCATCGCATCCTGCGGATTCCATCCATCCCTCGTGGTCTCCCGATCATTAATTCCGAAAACTGGGGTGAGATTGGCCGATGCCAGCCACTCATTTATCCCGAACCACATCGTCGGCGTAACTGCCACATTGCCATTTTCAACCTCGTTCGAGTTCTCCTCTTGGTATTTTACGTAATGGGTGGAAGGTCCTGCGATCCTAATGTAGGCAGGACTGAGTCGCTTCGCCATTTGAAGGGTCGTATCGCTGCAATACCTTGCGTTTATGCGGGTTTCGGACTCCCTAGGACCTACCTCAAATTCAGACCGGTTAGGAGAACAGCAGGATCGATCGAAAAGCTGAGAAATTTATCGCTGACAATGTGTAAGGCCTTCTTGCCGTTCACGGTAAAGACGGACTCGTCGAGGAGGTGTTGGGCGAGGCAGAGTCGCCCCAAAAGGAGTGTGATTCCGATCAATCGGAACATCGTTGGAATACTACACAAACTATTCCAATTCGGTGCAGGAAATTTTACAAGAATGCTGATGTGAGCGCTTTTCACGTTTCAATAACAATCGCAATTATTTGTGTTCGGAATCAATTATTATTAATAAATAATAAACATGATGTAATGAAAATTGGTAAATGCAGCGGCCTATGCGTTTGTAACGATTAAATTTCTACATAATCTCGGCTTTGTTTCCACAAAAATAATTCAAATATGCAAATTCAAATTCTGATACAACAACAGTTTTGTATCTATAAAAATTGTAGCGTACTTTTCTCTCTAGTGTCGGGAAAATCGAAATCAGCATTACAGTGAAAAAAAATTACATGTTTCTTAATTTATTTAAGCACATTCCTTTCGTTTTTCCATCTATGCGCTAATTATGATTTCTAATAAGTAATTCGTAAAAACCTTCACGGACCTTTTAAATTGTAATGCCATAAGATATCATCTCAAATATCAAAGCCAAACTGATGGAAATAAATCGGTCTAAATGCTAAATTTAACCCACGTATTTGTAAGGCTTAAAATTTAGCGTAATGTTGGGCGCGATTGGTTTAAGCGGATTATCCTAATAATTACAACCGGCCCTTCTTAATCGAGTTTAACAAACTTTACAATTTCGCTAAATTGGGCTTGTTAACATGAATTATATTTCAACTTCTATGTAAATGCATTTTTCAGTTTTTGCGCACCTTTGGAGGAAAATGAATTATTTCCATCAATTCCATTCCATCGATTTATGAAAAAACATGTTTTATTCAAATACGTAGTTATTTATTTAACAAGGCACAGGTAAAGAAACAGTTTTTATGTTTTGTGTAAATATTTTTCCTTAAAAAATGATACGCTAGGACACTTTTTGCGTTGAAATGTGTAAAAAATTAAATGCCTTGGCACTTTTTCACGCTTCCAGTGCGATGAAACAAACGTATCTTTAATAAACAAAAATTACACTTTTTTAACGGACGTAAAAATTACTATATAGTAATTCTATATACAGGGTGCGCCAGAACTCGCGCCCCAGAGAAAATTTTCAAGTAAGGTGAGGTCCCAGCAACATGAAAAAAATGTTTAAAAAATTCTATCTGTCAAAAAATTTTGACATTTATTTTTTGACATTTGACATTTTTTATATCTATTTAAGGATACTGATGATGTTGTATATGTTTTTTTACAATTATTTAGTAAAAGGAGAAAAATTTTGACACTAAAAGCCACAAATAACATTGAACAGAGTTACAATTTAGGATACAGCTTCCTTGTTTCCTTTTTTAATAGCCTATAGCAAAAAAACATGTAAAATTATTTTTCCAACAGAAATAAATAGAATCAAAGTGCAAAGTTTAAACCCTCATAACTTCGAAATTTTTATAGATAAAATTTTTTTAACATTTTTTCCATGCTCCTGGTATCTTACCTTATATGACATTTTTCTCTGGGGCGCGAGTTCTGGCGCACCCTGTATTAATATTAAGAAGCATCAAGAACGGTAAGGGCATTTAGCGATCGAAGACAATTGTCTGGACGATGTCCTCAACATTTATGATGCTTATGACATTTTTTGGGCGATTGATTTTTGTTAGTTTTTTTAAATATCTAAAAAATGTTCTAGAGCGCCAAAATACTTTGGCGACGACTTTGAATGCTTACCGGCGAGTTTGTCGTTAGCAACAATAAACAAAATACTTACCGACGAGTTTGAGATAGCAACGAGTAAATACAACTTACTGTCTTGCAAACGACGTAGTAAACAATCGAATAGAGTCTAATCGCGCCTTTTCAATACATCGATTTATGAAAAAAAATTTTTTTGCGCGATTGCGCTCTATTTGATTGTTTACCAAGTCTGTTTCCAAGACAGTAAGTTGTATTTACTCGTTGCTATTCCAAATTCGTCGGTAAGTATTTTATTTATTGTTGCTAAGTCGGTAAGCATTCAAAAATGTTCTAGAACGGCAAAATACTTTGCCGTTCTAAAACATTTTTTAAATATTTTATTAAAAAAAAAAACTAACAAAAATCAATCGCGTGAAAAATGTCATAAGCATCACGAACGTTAAGGACTTACCGTTCTTGATGCTTAATATACTATTATGTATTTCAAAAAGGTACTTTTTTCTTCTCATCATTAAAAAAATCATTTTGGATGGTTGTGTAACCCTATTTTGTTTCTTTTAAATTTTTCCCTTGAAACATTGGTTCCCAATTGTTATATTAAAAAAATAATCCTTTGTTACTCCTACTTCCAATCCTTTATTAATGTGTTTAAAAAGATCATATTTCGTATTTGGTTCCAAACTTCTGGTAACTTTCGTTTTTTCCCAATGTCACTCCCAAACGTCAGTCATATCCCTCCGCGTTTTGTCAACATTTATTGTGATCGCCCGTGACTGATAAATAATCAGTTCACCTGCGATACAGATCTCGTTCGAAGGTCAAATCGCCATATTCCACCCAACATATCACTTTCTCGCAATGATTACCTCTTATCTTGTTCCTACCGATCCTCATTCTCATCAGTCGCTCACATGAACCTCCGCAAAAATAATGAAATCGAAAGTAGATACGAAAGTGTGCGGTGTGTGCGGCGACAAAGCCCTAGGTTACAACTTCAACGCTGTAACTTGCGAGAGTTGCAAGGCATTCTTCCGACGTAATGCCTTGGTCCAGAAGCAGTTCAAGTGTCCCTTTAATGACCAGTGCGAGATAACGACTATTACGAGGCGCTTTTGTCAAAAATGCCGACTCGACAAGTGCTTCGCGATCGGCATGTGCAAAGATCTGATCATGTCCGAACAGGACAAGCATCTGAAACGGCAAAAAATCGAGGAAAATCGGGCCAGGAAACGCAGCAAAATTCACGGGTTTAAGTCTGGGTTTAAAAAAGTCAAAAAGGAGAGTATGGAAGCCGATTCGCAGGATTCTCAATCAGGGTACAGTTTCGTGGATTCAGACAATTCCAAAGACATGGGGTACCAGCCTAATGGAACGCCAAATCCGACTAACATCGCCAGTTATATCGATTTGGGAAATGAGAGATTGGTGACGTCCAGTGATGACGTTTCAATGATCAGAAATATGTTAAACAACACACCTAACAATGCCACTGGGTCAAGGAGTGTTGATGACAGTGCCCTTAAGAGCCTCATTAATAATAATGATGTTAATTGTGACAATAACGACCCCAGTTCGTCCAGTAAGAGCACTTTAGATGTCACTAAAGATGTCGTAGAGGACGTCCATAGGTAATTGAGTCACATATTTATTTTTGATAACACTTCTTGTTTATTTTCTACTGTAAACAAAACCAAGACACCTGCAAGGTTCGGTTTGTTTGCAGAATTCGTTACGAAATAAAAATCAATTTATTTCGCTGATTACTATTTGTAAATAATTGGTTCGAAATAAATGAGGCCAAAGTCAATTTAGATAACGAATTAGATGAACTTTGTTTACAATTGAAAGTGATTTATTTGTTAATAATAAAACTGAAAACGTCCGTCAGTTTAATACCTTAAAGAGCCATAAACATTTTCCTTCTCACCAAAGTATTAAAAATTCCGCAGGGTGTCCATAGAGCCAAATTCTATCGAGTCGATCCTTTGTGAAGCAATAAAATTAGAATTCGAGGCGTACTCTTCAATTGCTCAGTGCCATTCAAATTCTCGTGAATTAAACGATGCTGAAAGAGCCAAACTGAATGAGTTAATCGTCGCCAATAAAGCACTCTTAAATCCTTTAGACGACGAACTAAACAAGTTTAGGGTAAGACACCGTTTGAAGAATCATCGAAAAATGTATCTACATCTTCCCAAACTGTATCTATTTTAGTCATTATTGCAGGGCAATCCTCAACAGGTCCGGGAGACCGATCCTGCTCTAGTGGACGTTATTAATCTCACTGCAACCATCATTCGTCGATTAATAAAAATGGCGAAAAAAATTAACGCCTTTAAAAATATGTGTCAGGAGGATCAAGTCGCCCTCCTCAAAGGAGGGTGCACCGAGATTATGATATTGCGAAGTGCTATGAATTACGATCCTACGAAACAAACTTGGAAGGTGGGCAGACAGCCGTTTTATGTCATTCTCGATCTGATCATTATTCTTTCCGTTTGTAGATCCCCCACAGTCAAGAAACGTTCAATCTCAATGTGGACATATTAAAGTTGGCCAAAGGTAACGTATATCAAGAGCACGAACGTTTCATTAATACATTTGATCCAAAATGGAGATCTGACGAAAATATCGTCCTGATTCTGTGTGCCATTACGTTATTCACGCCTGATCGACCCCGAGTGGTTCATCAAGATGTGATTAAACTTGAACAGAACGCCTATTACTACCTCCTCAGGAGATACCTCGAGAGCATATATCCCGGCTGCGAGGCAAAATCCACATTCCTTAAACTTATACAAAAAATCGCCGAACTACACAAGTTCAATGAAGAACTGATCAATGTCTATTTGGACGTAAATCCCTCACAAGTTGAACCATTACTCATTGAGATATTCGATTTGAAACACTGACATGACCAGAATGTGCAATTACTTTAGTTAAAGAACTGAATTTAGTTGTAAATAAATAGCTTTATCGAATTTAAGCAATAATTGTTATTTATTCTTTGTAAATAAAGTATTAAAGAGATCAGACATCATAGAAATGACTAGATTTCGGTGTCTTTGATGTAGAATTTAGTCTTTTTTTCCCACCTGAACTCTCCTTACGTCCCAAAACGGGGCTTGAGCCAGTACCCATATTCCTGATTAGACTTTTCAAGCTTTTGGCTTGACTGTCAACGATGTTGTTTTCTTGAGCGATTATGTAAAAATCGTCTAGTAAGTGAGGAGGCGGCTCCACAGAACATGGAGTGACGTTTGCTTCAGATCCTTTATCAATCAACAATGCTAATCTATTCCTGAGAGATTCATTCCTTTGTTCCAGCTTATTGATTTTAATAGTATCCTCTTCAAAATGCATGAGTGTCGGCGTCGGCATATACTGTAAACCACATTTGAGCGAAATTATCACACAAGACGCTATACTCACTTGGAATATTGACGCGAGAAAATTATGCAAAGACACTAATAAAGTATCTTGCCACTGTTTTGTAAAATATAGCGTAAAAGCCGGATTTTCTTCATGATTTTTTATATAGGGAAACACTAAATACATTTCTGTTAAACATAAATCATCTACAACCATCAAAGTCTTACCAAACCAATCTTTCCATTCACTTTGATTCTGAAGTTCTGGTGTCATTTTTAGGAAAAACTCCATAACTTTGTCTGTTTTATTATTAACAACACAATTTACTAAATACAGCTTTAACACAGAATTTTCCAATTTCTTAACACCTTCAAAGACAAACTCTAAAACATTGAGACGTGGTCAAAAAAACACGTACCTGAATCGAAATGACTTTCCAATTTACTGAACATGTGGGCGTGCAAATGGCCCCACAGTTCACGTACAGAATTTAAATCATAACTTGCAACAAAATGCATGAGTTGTTCGATTATTTTATCAACTCTAAAACTTTTCTCTTTGTCGACTTTCAATTCCGAATCAAATGCTTTTAGAGTCGAACCAAATCCCCGAAAGAGTAAATATTCTCGTATCAGTTCATCAATAAATTGAGCGTGGGCCATTTTAAGTGGTTTTCTTGCACAAAACTTGCGAATATTTAACGAGACATTTGTAAATAAATAATAAGCAAATCAGAATCAGCTGTTTCTGACAGGTAATACTTGCGTAGGAGCACAGCTGAGAGGTGATGCGCTACCAATGCTAAGAAACGTAATTCCCTAAATCGATTTGAACAATTTAGCACCCAACCGACAAAAAATTCAGTGTTATTACTAACTTATCTAAACAGAAAACTTACACTGGGAATGTGGATAATGATATTTTAGGTTTTAAATAAAGACCTAAATTTGCAGTAAATAATATAATTTAATTAAAAATGCTAACTTAATGAAATGTGAATCGGGGTACTCTTAGATAATAAATGCGAGAAAAACAGTAATGAAGACTCAAAAAACAATATAAAATATCAGTTCGCATTTGAGAATACCTTGTTACAAGATAAATACATTTATCAACATCATGGAGAATAATACTATTAAGCAAAAAAACCTGTTGTTTTTTTCTCTAACATGTTCCGTTTAACACAGATCTACCATCTATCAACGTAACGCGAAAATTCCTACCATACAACACCTGGTATACGTTCAGAGAGAGAGAAATAGAAAAAAGATAAAAAAAATCCATGTTACATATTCTCAACAATAATTGCACTACAGTCAGGAAAAAAACTCACTTTACTCAATTATTTTAAGAGTTCGGATAATACGGTGCCGCGTTTGTCGCATTATTCATTTGTTGATACTGATAATCCTGGTAGCCTTGATTATTCGCGGACGATGGTGGTGGTGGATACATACCTTGTGGAGGCGGCGGGGGCGGTGGATATTGCTGCGGGTATGGGTTATAACCGCCATACACAGGCTGAGGCTGCGGTGCGTTATAATCGTACACTCCAGGTTGTGGGGGCGGCGGCGGATAGTGCGGCTGAGGCGGCGGATATCCCTGATAACCGTAGTTGTATTGCGGCTGCTGGGGCTGCGACGGATAACCCATCAAATCATAGGGCGGCGGCTGCGCCGGGTATCCGTAACCTTGCGGTGGTGGCGGCGGCGGCGCATGATACGGTTGCATATTATAATTGTAATAATTATTGTAATAATCGGTCGGTGCCTCCGTCTTGACTTCTTGGGCATTGGGGGACTGTTGGTAGGGCTGAGGCGGGGGTTGCTCCGAAACGTAGGTGACTTCATCGCTGTGATCACTCGTATCACTCGGCTTTGGGTCGGACGAGGCGTCGTCTTCAAGAGCGTCGTCTTTGTAAGAGCTGGTTATGCTGTCAAGGGTTTCCTGGAAAGGTGTGTTGTCGTTCATTACGGCAGTTGTCGTTTGTTCGAGACGTTGCAAAGCCGAGGTGTGTTTTTGGTCGGGTGTTTGAGGTTGAGTCAGTCTTTTAATCGACACCTGTTTCTTTAACAACGATATTCTCTTTTGGATGTCGTCCGGAACGGGCATGTTTTGTTTCCCGATTTCGTTTTGTACATGTTCCTCGTCACTGCTACTCCCGGGAAACGGTTCAACATCTTTTGAACGAGTAAGTTGTTTGCGGTCGGTTTCGCTACGTCCGAGAGGAGTTCTGTTACGGAATCCTGGTTCTTTCTTCGTAAAACTTTGTATTCTTGACACAAGATTAGGAACAGACTGTCTTATACTTCTAACGTTCATTTTTGCTATTCCCGGAGTGAACGGTTTAACGACTCGCTTTTGTGGCATCACTGAAATTCGTGGTATGGGTGTTGTTGGCTTCATATTCTTCGTTGGATCCTGATTATCCTCGGCTTTACCTTTAACCTTGATGGCTGTTTTTATTGCGACAATTTTCCCGTTTTCTAATTGCATGTAAACACCTTTCGGCGATTTCAAAACTAATACTTTCTGGCCGGCTTTAAGCACGATATTTCCTTTTTCTGGTTGATTCGTCGGAATCACAACATCCAAAGGAAGTGTCATTTCTTGTGCTGTCATTCCTTGTCTCTGCCAGTGTTCCGCAGGGATCCATCGCGATGGTCTATCAATTCCTTGTTGCATTGGCCTGACTGACGCTACCGGTCTTTGACCTCGACCTCCAGCTAAGAAATTATATGCCGGTTGTCTTGCCGCTAGTTTCTCCCTCTCATACCCTTTTTTCGCCAAACGTTTCTCTTGTTGTGACAACTGCTTTTCTTTCCTATCAACCAACAAAGACTCGTGCTGGAACGGCTCCTTATTCAATCTCCTTCCGTGATTTTCTATAACTTTTTGCAAAACAACATCAATGTAATTATCCTTGACATGCAACCATTCTTTCTCTTCTCCTTCGTCCTTTTTGTCGTCCCAACACAACGTGCTGACGTCTTTCATTGTTAAATGAGCGTCAGGATTACATTCGTCAACGACACGATCTGACATCCCTTGCTTATTGATCTGTCTATCATATATTTTCTTCTCGAGACAGTTATCCACCACGAGACGATAAACAAAACATGGTTTACGTTGACCATATCTATATACTCTACAGACGGCTTGAGTGTCATGACAGGGATTCCAAGAGGCATCTAGAACCACGACACGGTTTGCACCGATCAGATTAATACCCAAAGAGCCGGCCCGAGTTGATACTAAAAACACGTGAATCTTCGGGTTTGAGTTGAATTCGTTTATTAGTTTTTCGCGTTCGAGAGCGCTCGTCGAACCATCAAGACCTAAAAAAAAATAAAAGTTAAAAACAAACGTGTAATATAAAACAACAAAATAAAAATTTGAGGCTACAAAACTAATATTAAATTCCTTTTTATGCCTCATATTCATTGACTAAAATGTAGTTCAAATTTTACATTCTAGACAACGCTTTTCTTTCTCGGTAATTAAATTCAGTTATTGATCTCACTAATTATAAACAAATATATAAAACAGAAAAAACTTACGGTAGTAATTAGTATTTCGGCACCACTTTTGCGTATCGCCAGGAACAACGTTCATTTGAAGGAATTGTTCAATTAGATCTAGGGTTATCAGCGACTGACTAAAAACTAATAATCTATCACCCAACGCTATACTTTCTCTAATTATACAAAAAAGTATTTCCATTTTGGCAGAATTTTCGATACGGCCAGGTATGTAATCTTTCAATAATTCAATTGCCTGAAATAAAAATTATTAGTCACAACAAATATTCATAAAAAAATATATTATATTACCCAATCGTAGGGAATTCCACTATCTTCTTTTAAATCTTTTGGTGCCAATTTCGGTGCAATTGATGTTTCAGCAGGATTTTCTTCTGTGCTATTTAACTCATTTTTCAATTCATCTTTGATCATTTTCTTTATTTCTGGTTTTATTTCAGATTTATCGTCTAAATCTTCGACTTTAGGTTCGATTTTAATATCACTCAAAATTTTTATTTTCTTCTCAGGACTATTAAAAACTGACGGTAATTTAATATCGCTAATTATATTGATTTTCGGTTTCGATTCGTTACTATTTTCACTCATTACTTTTTCATCTTTGCGAACCCATGACTGATTCGTACTATTATTACTAAAATTCGAATTATACTGTGCGTAGTTATCATTCTGTCCCCAGTAGTTACTTTGTTGTGAATAGTTTTGATAAGAATTTTGATCGTAATTAAAATTCTGGTTAGTGTCATTTCTATTATAATTTGGACCAAACTGTGAATTATCTGATATGTTATTAACAAAACTATTTTGCGTATTCATGAAATTACTCGATGGTTCTTGGCCAAAACTATTATAACCACTTGTACTTGAACTGCCTTCAAAACTGTTCGAATTTTGAAACTGTGTCGAATTACCCTGTTCAAAAAAGTTATTTCTTTGGAAATTCTGATCATTGGTCATTTGTTGCGTGGGATTTTCCGTGGCATTGTAGGGCGTAATGGACGCTGCAGGTTTTGCTCCGGGTTTTCCTTTCGCTGCACTTTTCCTCGGTCTCGTTGGAGGTTTTTTCGCTTTAGTTGGAACTCCAGTCGTACTTGCAACCTCCTCTAAGTCAATATCGACAGCATCGCCTCTCGCTCTCTTCTTCAAAAAATTGTAAAGCACATCCGGATGATTCCAAATCTTACAACAAACGGCGAACGCCTTTAACGGATTTGGAACTGCTTGAGACCTCACTACTTCATTCATAAACGTCTCGTATAATTTCCGTTGAAATGGTAACATTCGAACCAACAAAACGTACTCTTCTTTTTGTGGTAAAGTAGTCTGAAGCACCGCATGTGATCTTCTTTGGACAAAACCGACTAAAAGTGAGTGCAAAACGTGCGCGCGATATCTCATTAATTTAATATCGGCTTCGGTGGAGTCTATACATTGTCCGTTCATAATCGGACGTTCAAACATGTTACAAAACTCGGTTTTTGAACCCAAATAATTCGGTCTAACGAAATCCACCATGCACCAATATTCCATTAGGTTATTCTGAAGTGGATACCCTGTTAGGACAACACGTCTTTTCGTCCGCATTTGTTTCAATGCTTGCGATATAGACGCGTGAGAATTTTTAATCCGATGACCTTCGTCACAAATCACCAAATCCGGGCCTGGCTTGACCAATGCTTCATGAATTTCTACAAAGAAAATAATGAACACTGTTACTTAATCATGAGTAAAAGATTATTACCATCGAATAGTGGCTTATTACTACCATCGTCGGCCGGCTCGGCGACGAGTGGTTTCCGTCTTGATTTCGGATGTTTTCGTAATGATAACAAGCGGAACTGTTCGTAACCAATCAGAAGTACCCCACCGCCAGCCTTCCATGCTTTGATGACTTTATGCCTCGCCGCTAACGTCTTGTGACTGTCATTCAAAACGTGTAGATTGAATTTTCTCGGTCTAACTTCACCATGAACCGTTAAAGGACTCGTAGCGACGGCTTCCTCCGTCGGTAACCACATATTGAATTCGGCCATCCAATTTTGTAACGTGTTTATCGGCATAATACACAAAATTGTCTTGGCAGGTGTATGCCTCAGGAAAATATCCGAGAAACAAACCACCTGTAACGTCTTACCCAAACCCATGGAATGAGCGAGGATACAACCAAAACCTATAAAAAAACATCAATAAAATCAAGATTATTATTAACGGAAGGAGTTACTTTACCGGTTGAACTTTCAAAACGACCCGTACTCTCAATAACGTTATCGTACAAAAACCGAACACCCCCGATTTGATGCGGTTTGATGACTCTTGCGATCTGAGGAGCGAGAAAAAGATCTGGTTCGTTCTCCGGATGTCCGATATTGACGACGACACGTCCCTGTTCATCGGGTTGGTTGAATTCGTCGTTTGTGTGCATCCCAGAGTTACTCGGGTCATCTTCAGATTCTTCATGTTCGCCCTCTGGTTCGGACACCACTATACAATCTTCGTCAGACGAAATGTCAATGGTTGTAACTGGTTCTTTCGCTAAACAAAACAAAATCAGCCCAATTTGATATTTGCAGAAAGTTTTGACAGAATAATAACACCAATAACGTAAAGGGAAAACATTTATCGGATTGCAGAAAACTTTGATTAATTAATAATTTAGTAGTTTGTACATTCAGATTTCAATTTCAAATTTAATTTAATGAGGCAAAAGTCAGAGACTTCCACCTCTTTCTGGAAAAACTGACTTAAAAAGGTCTCGCACAACAAGATAGTTTTTATAATCTGTACCCTCAACTTTTACATAAATAAGGATATCTAGTGTGTAGAATTCATAACATATGGCGCCACCTAGTAAACTAAGAATGAACCTGTAAGCTTCACTTGAGTCCTCATATTTGTGAATATCATTTTGTGAATATTGTTATACTACGCAAAATCTCAATTATCTATAATTCTTCATGGTACAAGCGTGTTATATAACAAATAAGTTACGCCAGAGGATTACTTCAAAAGCCCGTAATTCGAGTGGGGTACTAAAAAACATGAAAAATGACTTTAATGCCGAGGTACATCACAAATCACAAATTTGAATAAAACTTCGGTTCGGGCACAGTTCATAATTGACAGTTTACTTCAGTGGGTCCAGTGTTGTTACATTTCTCGTTTCAATGGTACCATGTCGTCCATAAACCAAAAAATAACGAGGCACCATGTAGAAGCACGAAACAGAAAAAAAATATTTGTAGAATTAAAAATCAATACTTAAACAGACGTTAGCAATAAGATTATGTTTTTATCTCATGTTTACGTTAAGACAATAATTTGACAACTGTTTTATATTAACGTTCAACAATCAATACAAAAACCTGTAGTATAATGAATTACTTTAGTGACGAGTTCGGAAAAAAAAATTGATAAAATAGCATAACAACAGAGAAAAATGTATTATGATATGATATTAAAATTAAATTAGACGAGGCAGAAGTCAGACACCCCCACCTCTTTCTAGAGAAACTAAAACAAATTAAAAAAATTGTTTCACACAAAGTGAGTTTCAAACTTATTAACCTCAACTTTTACATAAATGAGGATATCTAGTGTGTGAAATTTGTAACATCTAGCGCCATCTACTAAACGAAGAATGAACCTGTGAGCTAGACTAAAGTCCTAAGAAATAAAACTTCAATTATCTATTAGTTATTCACGTTACAAGCGTGTTATATTACAAAAAGTTACGCCAAGAGCCCGTAGACCGAGTGGAGTAATTTTATTAAGTAACTTATTTATAATAACACGTGTGCCATACAAAACTTTATCGAACACCTTTTAATTGCTATTTAACTGTTTTTTTTTTGTTTGACTTATTAAGTCAATTAATGAACCTATTTATTACTAAAAATTAGTGCAGAGTAATTATTAATTACGGCATACATCAAATGACTTCAATTTTAACTGTCAAATATGTATAATAATAAATTCAATTTTAAAATGCCCTCAATAAAAGAAAATTGTATAAAAAAAACAGGTATTACACGTGTTACCTTTCATTGTGATTCGTGCATTGTAACACTCGTGTTTGTAACACTTGTTATTATGTTCTTGTATTCCCTATTTCTTATTGAAAAAATTTCCAGTACGTATAAGAATATCTTCACTAAATTCAAATTTGATAAAAACAAAACAGTTTTATTTACATTTTGAGATATAGGCAGTATTTTACATAAATCAAGAACTTATAAAAATATTAATCCGTGCTTGCACGCCCGCTAGAAAAACTTAAAATCCACATACAAATCACAAATTAAATTATCTACATTTAAAAATTAATTTGTTATTGCACTTATCCCAAAAAAAAAAAAAACAAAAATATACTCACGTAACTCACTTTTGAGCTTTGGAGGCGACTTAACGTCCTCCTCGCTCTCGCTATCGACGTGAGTAACCGGTGGGATAATTTTCTTCGTTACCGGTGCTATACTAACACTCGGAGTTAGATTCGTGCCCGGTTTTTTCATCGAAATTAGACTTTTTGGAGGTGTACTAATACCAGCAGATGTTGGACTTTTTTGTACTCTCACTAAATCAAACGGACGTTTCGGTAACCTTGTCATGGGTTTGGTTTGTCCATTGGGGAGTTTAACCAAGACCGTATTTCCGATTCTTGTCGTACTCGACGTGCCCGGTTTTGAAAAATTGTTCCCTTGAAGTAACGAAATGACTTTATTTTGCATTCGTTCTTGTGCCGCCTGTCGTTGTAAATCGCGAAGAAGTCGCTGTTGTTCTTGGACTCGTTGGAGACGTTCCATTTCCTGGCGTTGGGCGGCTAGGGTTGATTCGTCGAGCTTTGTTTCATCCATGACTTCGCGAATGTTACGACGGAGGTTTAGTCCTTTCCGCTCTGCAGAGAGGTCGTCTTCGGAAACACCTGAAAGTTGAAATTTGTGTTGAAAAATTGATATTCAGAATGGAGGATAATATGTAATCACCTGGCTTTCGTGCTGGTGTCACGACAACTTCATTTTCGGTCGAAAGTTCGACTTTTTTCGGCTTGATTTCACCCTTTTTAACTGTCTGAAAACTGATTTCGCCCATTTCTTTCAGTTTCTCTTTGATATCGAAATCGTAGTCTTCGGAATCGGTTGGGGGATTATCAGGTGGTTTAGATACTTCCGTTTCAGAAGCGTCGTCGACTAGTTTGTCGAGGAAAGAAGTCGTCGAGAATTCGTCTTCGGAGGGGACTTTGGGGGTACTGTTTTTATCACTAGGAAGAAGTTCACTGTCTGACTCCAACTCAGACTCACTATCAAAATCCGAAATTTCGCTATCACTAAAATTAAGTTTCTCATCGTCACTAGGTTTCTTAACATCACTGGACGCTTCCTCCACATGCTTCTTCTCCAAAGTGACCGAACTCGGATCAAACTTAAACTTTTTTATCGAAATTTGGGAATCCGGGAACGATCTTTTGAGACTCATCGTCTCATCGTTACTCTCGTCCTCGGGACCACTCGAGCTTTCATCCTTGTTCTTGTCGTCGGCCGGTGGCCCCACTTTGGGCTTCTCGAGCCTCTGTATCGTGACATCTCCGAATCTTTGCAAAATCGGCTCCATTTTCACACCGGTTTGTTTACATTGACGTTTGAATCAAGCGCCATTTTCGTAAGGGTCTCCGACCGGTTTGCTTGACCCTTCAACATGCACAAACACACCCCCGTCGACAATCAGCCCCAATTATTATTAAATTATTGACGAAAACACTCCGACAACGGCCACTTTGTCAACACTTTCGATTGTTCTTCGCCGACGACGCACACCCCGATTACCATCACGCCAACACTGGAACGCCCTAACAGGGGTTCGGGGGCCCCGCAGTCGACGCCTCTGTGCTCTGCAAGCCGAAATGGGGCACAAAAACCACACTAAAATACCATTGTTTTACACACCATTACCGACTGACGGGAGATTACGACGCTGGTGGCGCTACAATCGCGTGGAAAATTAAAGCGCGGCCACTTGATTCCACTGTAATTATACACGAATTATTAATTTTTAATGAACTTAAGGACAAAAGGCGACTTCTCCCAACAAGGGTCAGCACGAAAGGAATCATAACTTCACTCTGCAATGTAATTACTTTCGCTTTTGTGAAATAAAGTATGTACATACATACCTGCTCTTTTAATACCAAGAGACGGTAAATGACCGATTTTTCTTTTCAAGTTGGTATCAAATTCAAAATCTTACCTGAAACATAATAATAATAATAATAATAATTTACCAATAATTCAGTGTTGCTAAGAATTTTTTTATTTCAACCACATGCATGCATAGGGTCATTTTTGTCACCTGCCATTTTATAACTACATGATAAAAAAATTAATTCCACTATTTATTTAGTGATTACTTAACCATTTATTTTACAAGTTTAGTAACAAGTGTCAAAACAATAATAATAAAAATATTTTAAATTAAATACGGGGTTGTTCATGAGAGGGGTACGGTTGGAGACAAAATACTTTGGTCGTCAATGTCACTTGAATGACATTAAATTGTAAAGCATGCTGTAGGACTGTTAACCATATTTTTAGGTACTGTCAATCATAGTTGACAAGTTGTATGTACATACTTTTGATAGGAAAATACATATAATAGCTGTCATTAATTTAATATTGTCATTCATTTTAACGTTAAAGCTTGAATTACATTAAAGTGTCAGAAAAGTGACGACCAAAGTATTTTGTCTCCAACTGTACGTAATTCTGATTTTATTTGCCGCAACCCATTATACACGTTGCAGCAATTTCTTGATTTCAAATTTTGAAAATATCTAGTTATAACTGAATCCACGATGGCTATTATTAGTCTTGTTTCTTTTTCTTTGACATTAAAGCAAAAAATCATCCCTTAAACAACACGACATGTTTCGTTATCGTTTACCAACCGACTGGCCGCATGTTTAGTAGAAGATGGTAGACTTTTTACATTAAACTAACTTGTTAATTTATTTCTTTAATTTTGAGAATATGCTCAATATAGAAAATCAAGTAACATAATTTTCCGGTCGTCAAATTTTCGAGTCTCTTGTTTGTATGTTGAACTAAGGTTGGCTGCAAATTTAAATGCTTTATCATTTAATTCTAATTTTTTTATTACAATTTAATTAAACACAAATAATCAAAATATTCAATAAAATTAGTTAGGTATATACAGGTATTTCACATAACTTTACGAGGCTTACGCCTAATGTACGCATCTAAATATACAAAAGTCACAAAACACTAGATACAAAAAATACACTTCTAACTATTTAATTTTTGGAAACCCATGACAGTAGTTGTCAAACTAATCACTATTTCGTTAATAATCATAAACTGCAGTTTTTCAGAAACAATTATCATTTGTTCTATCAAGAGACGGCATAAATATGATTCTAGTTTATCTATCTTAATCACTAAATAACTAAAAACGTTGTAATTTTTTTAAAGGGTGAACAAACTAGAGAAGATTTTTCAAAATTTGTAATCGAGTTCGTATCGGAATATGTATTATTGATTGCATTTTACAGACGCAGGCCCCGTAAAATTATTTGAAACGGCCTGTATGTTTAATAATAATATTTTGGTTATCATCAAGACATAAAGAAGCATATACAATGGACTTAAAGTTGTTTATTTATGAATTTAACAAATTTGTACCACACATTATGATAACATTAACTAAAAGTAATAAGTAAATTTATTTGATTTTTACATTTTTGACTGGTGTCTCCTGCATTCTTAAAAAATCCTGCCATTCAAGACAGTTTCCAACAAAAATAACAAAATATAACTGAAAGAAGATAGATTAGGACTGTAGAGTAAATGGTTATACTGCTGGGCACTACATATTCAGATGGCGACCTGTACATACATTTGCTAATATGTGCTCCAGTCAGTTTTCGTGGAAGAGCTGTACATTAGATGTGTAAATTTCATGCCTTTTCAAGTTGATAGAATCACGCAAAACTTTAAAACATTTTGCATAGTTTCCTTTTGATATGGTCGTCTCAGATAGTAAAAGCAAAAGTCCTTCTGTAGCCAAAAAAACTGTTGCGATGACTTTAGCGAGTAAATTTTTAATTTGAACTTCTTATGCTTTATTTTGGAATCAGATTATTGAGGAAGGTTCCATGTCTTATTACCAATTTCCAAATGTTGAGCAAAAATTTATCCGTGTGATCAAATGACTGTCCGTTCTTAGAGAGTGAGAAACTGCGGTCAAAATGTTTCAGCCTATCTGGACTTACACAATTTCTGTTTGAATTGCAGTCAAAATAAATAACATATTTAATTTAGCAGTCTGTGGTATTGGTATTGTTGGTTGCGTCACAAAAAAATTCAAAAGTACCCCTCTCACAAATAACACTCTGTATGTTATTCTGGGACAATTTGATACAGGTGTCTAAATTGAGGAGTTATGATTTTTATGTATTGAGAGTCGTTTAGAATATGTTTTTTTTTATTTTAGTAGTAAAATAATTTGAAGAATCGGGTACTTCGTTTCTATATTGGCTATTTACAACCCCTTTCTCCATTACGATAAGCTAGCATTATTCTGCCATCTATTTCAAAACTCTCGAACTACAAAAAGTTAGTAGAAGAATCAGTGGTTAAAGCACTGTAAATGGTTACTCTTTTAACTTTTTACACCTATGGGTTAGTTTCCACTGATCACGGCTCTCAGTTGACATTTGTTATCAGCTGTGACATGAAATAATTAAATTATAGATACAAACATTTAATACTAAACAATGCATCATGCATCTCATCGTTATGTATCTACCACAATAGAAACGTTTTTCGGAGCATATTTGGGTATAAGGACATCGATGTCGAGAAACTTAGAGTGCAGTGTACAGTACCTCAGAAGTCCTGCGAAAATCAAGCAAACTAGGGGAGCTCCAGGTTCGGCTATGGTCTCAACTAAAGATAAAGGTCTGTTCTTTCGTTTGAGTTACCTTTCAAGGACAGAATTGTGTTGTGAAAAAAGATTTTGTACACGTAAACTTGGTAAACATTTTTTGTTTCGCCCCTTGCTCTTAAACTAACTAATGAAATATTTATTGGCGCCTAATTTGACGAAGGGACTGTCAGTGGTGTGAGGTGATAAAAAGGCAGGATATTTTTGAAATGATATATTTTTATAAATGAAAACAGCGTTTATTCGTAATATAGTAAGTTGCCAAATAAAATACTAATCAATATTAAATAATAGCGGAGAAACAATCCTATTTTTGTTTAGACGTTTCCTAAACACATTTTACATCCGAAGCAATAGTCAAAGCAATGGAATTTTTGATTGATCAACTACATGTTAAAATAAAGTTGATAGCACCATGACCAATAGAACAAAATAACGCATGAAAGCAACATTAAAAATAATAATAAAAAAACTTTAAGGCATTATGAAATTTGCTCATCTCGATATCGTCAAGTGTAAAATAAATCGGGAGAAATTTATTTTACGGGCAATTTTGGAGAGTCAAATTGCTGAAAAACGTAAACTTGGAGAGTAGAGTTCACGTTTTGTTGACAATTTGGCGAATCGAGATAACATCACAGAAAAAAATTAAAACGTGTTGAGAACCAAAGTGTTCCACTCCTTTGGTACCCAATGTTTAATTTCTTACACAACCATCACATAAAATTTATAAAACAACGATATAAAATATATAATATATCAACGCCTGTGCGTCTTCCCCAATATACAGATAAAGTGATTCTTCTCTTGCGTAATGAATATAAAAACTACACTACATTTATATGATTTTCCATAAGAGATTTGGCCATTTGATGACCCGTCGTAATTTCTGGCTGCCAGTAGTAAATATACTTAAGTCGCATGTATGTATTATTTACAAAAAACAAATCGTACAAAACTAAAATTACTTAAATTGGAATGAATTTAACGAGACTAAGAGTTAACAAAACCAGGAGTATTATGACATTTATATAGGAGGCGGTCCATCATTGTATCGTAACGTTGGAGTAAGACTGTTGGCAATACTGTTGACTAGCGAACATGAATAATCGTCTTCTGAATAAGGGACTAGAGACGCCGCTCCCAACATGAGCAGCATTAAGGCTTGAATCGGTAAAGAAGCTCGCACCACTCTACCTAAGAAACGACAACCTCTTCGAAGCACTGAAGTGTTAATTTGCAAATCATCCGAAGAACCACCACTGAAAAGTAACAATCCGAAATCAGCACACAACTCACAAACCTCAAACAAAAATAAGTGCAAAAGCAAATCTGACTCAATATTTAAAGAAAAAAAAAATATTTACTTGTGAGCAGAATCGTCGAGTGCAGAGGTAGATGGATGGTCCTGGCTCGGATGGTCCAGAAGCTGTCCAAAACAGGCAAATGAAATGTGAAACAGTGCCTTGACAAATCTTATCCTAACAGTGCTACTCAACGCAAAACATCAAAATCGCTACAACTAATTTTGGGCCTTGACCCTAACAAACGACACTTTTTTACCAACAAAAATATATTTACAAAATTAAAACACTAAACACTAGTACAGAAAAAATCGACTAGACATTTCTACTTTTTTATTACAAAATAACGCAACGATTTGTTAAACTTACGTCATAGTTGAGTGTGTGTAGAGGTGCGCTTACACTAGATGAAGCGACAACAGATATTTCGTTCGGATCTCGGCCCAAAACAGCGCCCAACTTCAAAATATAAACTCCCGTCAATCTAATCAAACTCTGCAACTTCAATCGCAACTCCGTCAGTCTCGTACAGGTCAGACTTGAGCCCTCGGGGGCCCCTTCGTGCCTCAGCAGCTGATTGGCGGCTTCTTGCAGACTCATAACTCGCGGCTCGCACCGTTCCAACTCGGCCCGCAACTCCCGGAACGTCTGGTACTTCCGCTCGATCTCATCGCGTTCAGCAGTCAAGTCCACGGGCTCCGACAGACGGATCCTCTGTTCCGTCTTCTCCAACCATGTACACAACTCGGTGATAATTGTGTGGAATTGTTGATTCTGCAAGAAATTTCATCAAACACACCCAAATAATCCCAAACGACTTACCTCCATCAAAGCTCTTTGGAGGAGTGTTTCCCAACTAGCAGCATTCTGGCACACCAACTCCCACCTCTTGTTATCGGTATTGAGCCGCGACCGCAATTGGTTGGCTCTTTCGGTGTCTTCAGTATGATCCGCGAGGTGTGTACCGACGATATTCAACGACCTCACGATACTCTTGTGACTGTCCAAGTCCAAGAGGAACTCGCGATGGTCCTGAATCACATCTTCCAATTGCTCGATGTTGGACGGAGGGGAATGTTGGGTCTTCTGCGTGCCTTCGGCCACTTGTAACCATTTTTCAAGCCTCCACAAGTCGTTATCCAATTGTGCCCAATTCCGTTTCGTACACAACGGACACAACAACCGGCCCGCTTCACTAAACACGAGAAAAAAAAACAGTAAAAATTGGCCCACGTCAGACTTGACAAACTTACTGATTGCATGATAGATTATAAGCGTCAGAAATTGTAGACCTAGTAGAGTTAAAAGAAGAACAAACACCAAGTTAGTTGTGTTAATAACAAGATAATACGATAGACAAATCTCACCTCAACTCTTTGATTTTCTGTTCTTTCTCCTTGGCTGTCACTAGAAGTGTTTCGAAACGTCGGATTAGATAAAATACTTCTTCGGCTAGTGCCTCTTCTTCTGTTGCGTCACATTCATTGATAAGTAAGTCGTGGAGGTGTTTCACCAGTTCAATGTTTGATTGACAAGTCGCCGAAATTCGGGCGATACGTTTTGCACTTGTTGGTAATTCAGCGGAACCTTGCTGAGGAATTTCCTTAGCGAGTACCTCTTCGAGAGTCTCAATATTACCCTTACATTCACCGATGGCACTTGTCAACTCCATCAAATAGGCGTCTTTTGCACTGATTGATGTCATACGTTGCAAAGGTGGAAGTGTGTTAACCTGGACAGCTGTATCTTGTTCGAATTTAAGTGTCTCGACTTGGACACCTTCGTCAATTTCTTTTCTTTGCTTCTTTACTTCTGTCTTCAATTCAGTTCTAAGATTACCAATCCTCTTCTGAATGTCCTTCCAGAGGTTTTGGTACTCATCAATCATCTCTTGGTACTTGCCAACCTCACCTTTTTTGACTTTCTTCATTATTTCAAGACCTAGCTTATCAGCCGACTCTAGAATCGAATTGTGGGCAACCATTTGATTCTCCAGACTTTCCAAAGTCTCTAAACGCTCATTAGGTGGTACTTTTTGTCCAGTCAAGTGTTCCAATTCGGTCAGTCGGGCATCAACTTCCGTCAATCCAATAACGGCATCTTGATGAGCCAAAGAGAAATCTTTAAAAAGTACAATTTCATTTTGCAATCTCTGTAACAAGCTTTGAGCACGTGGTAAAAGATTCTTCCAACGTATTATAACAACACGTGCTTTCGATGTCAATTCTTGAATATTCTCTGGTTCTACACCACCAACAGTAGCTAATTTCGAATAGGTTTGTTCAAGAATCTCAAACGTGGGGACTTTAGATTCGATTTCTTTCACTTGATTTTCGACCAAATAAATCAACTCTTGGATTTCCTCCCGATTCAGTTTTTTGACCGGTTTATCCAGATCCTTTATTTTTTGTTCTTTTTCGCCCAACCAACTCTCTTGTTCATTACTAATCCTCAATACCTCCTGGAGCAACTTCCAAATAAAGTTAATTTTGCGTTTTCTTTCGGCCGATTGGCCACACACCGCTTTCCACCTCTTTTCCAAATTTTGTATCGCTGCGGTTATATTTTCGGTGGTGAAATGGGCCTTCCAGACGTCCGCATCGCTCAATAACAACTCACATAAATTCAAAACCTCTCCGATGTTGCCGCTCTCATTCTCAATCGATTTTTTCAACTTGTCGTGTTCTTGCAACTTGCGTTCAATCACATCTTTGGTGGACGCTTCAAACACTAGTGGTTTTGCCAATTGCGCCTCAATCTGCGTCAGCCATGCCCGTATTTCCGCGATTCTCTGTTCTAGTTGTGACATTGTTTGCATCATATCGTGGATTTTGTTCCTTCGACTTTTACCGATATTCTCTAGTCTTTCCCACCGTTCAAGCACGTAGTCAGTTTTGGCTTGAAGGATTTGTTTTGCGGTCACATCACTGTATTCATCGCTGCAATTGGCAACTAAATCACGGCCTGTGCTTACTAACCAATTATATTCACGTTCTTTAAGCGACATTTCAGCCTGGAGCTCTGTTTCCAGCTTCCTAAGCATCTCCTGGGGATCTTTGATCGACACAACTGAACCGTCGTCAAGTCGACGCTCGATTTCGTCAGCCCAAGCCAAAAACCGGGCTTGACGTGCCTCAAACATCGACCTCAACCCCAATTTCTCCTCAAATTGGTGACACAAAACTGCCAATTGGTGGTCAAGATCGCCCTGTTGGTGCCACAAAATCCACATACGTTGATTGATAGTCTTGATATCACTAGGACTGAGACACTCCTTGAGTTGTTCTTGAGCCAATCCAAGCTGTTCCAGGTCTTTAGTCGCATTGTTTAGTCTGAGACGGGCTCTTTGAAGCGTTTCTAATTTATAACTGACGGCTGAGTGAGAGCTTGGGAGTTGTGACGCTGACTCAGTTACGATATCCTGGATTTCGTCGTACAAAGTTTGAACTTTTTGGACGTTCTCTTCGTAGGTTTTGAGGAGGAGAGCGATGCGTTCGAGGAATTGGTGCCAGGTTTCGAGGCCTGCTTGCAGGTTTGAGATTCTTTGTTTGATGGCGGCGTGTTCCATGCGGATGGAAGTGGCAAGAGCATCGTCGCAGAATTGAAGTAACAAGTTTTGTTGTCTTTGTAAATTGTCAGCTTGTTTGTCACCTTCGGGTATCTTACTGAGAAGGTTTTCGATTTTTGATAGCAACTTCGGGATTCTCCTAATATGTATATACTTAAGTTGCATCTTCTCGCGATCTTTTTCAATGTTTTTGAGCCAACTTAAGAGTTTGTTTTGGTCTTGTTTATAGTCGTCCCAAGCGTTTAGCCTTGTCTGGACCTCTTTATGCCGGTCCATGATTCGTGCAAGCGTTTCGTTGTGCAAATTGGTTAAAGAATTGAACTGTTCCATCACACTACTCTCAACTAAACCACTACCAAGCTGAGATTCCTTATCCAAAGGCCTAAGGACGTTCTGTTGAGTCGTTAGGAGATTTTGATGGACTTGACATAGATGTTGGTGCTCGGAAAGACTATGATAATCACCGGGAATGCTCCCTTGGAGGAACTGCTGAACGTTTAATAAATATTCCTGCCATAATTTCAGAGCAGCAGCTCCATCTTCATTTTTGATTAATCTGGTACTCAACCTGTGGTACTGCTGGAAGGTTTCTCTGAACACCTGTTGCCACAACTCCAAAATTTCAATAACCGAAGTCTCAGTTTTCGTCGATTCTGTCATTTCCAACGTCTTATCTTTAATTTTCTGAATCTGTCCTTCGGCTTTACCCAAAGCTAACAAATGTTCTCTCAAAGTGACCAATTTCTCTTCACTGTCCGTATCGGGACTTTGCTGAATACTATCCACGCATCTTTGTACACTGTCTAGGTAGGTTCTAGTACCATTAATCTCATTATTGGTTTCTTCTTTTGTAACAGCTCTAGCTTCAGCAACGTCCGCGAGTGCTGTGAGTGATTCCCTGACATCCTCCAACCGTTTACCTAAAGCTTCGACTTCGCCTCCCAATAAAGCACTAGCGTCCAATCCTACAGCGGCCGCTATCCCCGAAACGAGTTGTTTAAGTTCGGCGAGACGTTCCGTATGTGCTGATAAAGTTTCCTCGCAGACCTGGAAAATCGTATTTCGACCCATTAACCTTGACCAGAAACGCGATTTCAATTAAATCGAAACACAGTCGTAATAATTTAACACTCGCACGCGATTTCTAATCACTTTCCATTCATAATGATTGGGTATCAAGTCGGTACAAGAGGAAATTAAGTTCCCGAAAGCTGATTTCTTAAATATTTGAGTTCGCGTTGCACCGGAATCGAGGAAACGTTTTTTTTTTTCTCTCCACCACCATGGTTTAATAAAACTACGATTATAAATTCCGAAACGTTTGCGGGAAAGTTTTGAAAGAAAAATGTTTGCGTGCGCAATTAAAATAACAATTGCATTTATGCAGATATTCGAGGCGGAGGTATTAGATTTTGTGGTCTAAAGTTGATTGCGAGAGATGCTTTTACGTAGAGTTGCTGACGTTTGATTTTTCAAACTTACTGCTTCAAAATTATTACCACAAAATTCTTAAATTTATGTTCTACAATAAACAAAAATGTTTGGATTATTACTGAAACTAATTAAATTTGCAGTGATTAACATGATTAACTTTTTAAAAGACATTAATAATTGAAAAAAGAAAACTATTTGTATTTTTTTTATTTCAATTATTTTTTTTCAAAATATGTACAAAAATTAAGACAAAATACTTTCTTTTGTTTTTCGAGGAGTAAGCAAAACTTCGAAATTAAGACAACATATATCATTCGCCAGTCCCAATGATTATAATTTTAATTTTATAAAAAATGGTTAACTCAAAAATTGAAAATTACTTTAAAAATACATTATGTACAAAATAGGCGATATTAAAGACAAATTAACTGAAAGAATATTTCAATGTCTTGTTTTTGTAATCAGATTCCACTAAGATCATATTTTGACCTTACATTTTTTCGAACAAATATAAGTTTATATTTTCCTATACATAAAAAAATAGGTATTTGTCAATTTAAACCTCCTAGTAACATCTGAAGTAGTAAAAACTTCTGAATTAAACATAATGTAACAATGAAAATTGTACAAAACACAAACTTTAACATTTTTGAAATTTTATTGATTTCTAATTTATGATGAACAAGGCTAGAATGTTCACAAAATTAACAATAATAATTTCACATTTTTTACACATCAGGGTTTTTGTATGCTTAAATTACAAAGTTTAAAAATGTTTTTGGTTATTTCAAATTTGTCAATTTCTAGAATATACTTTTTAAAATTTTAAAACGAATATGATTTCATTTAGCAAAAATGTTTGCTGATAAGAGCATTAATTTATTTCATACACTAATTATATACATATTTTTCTGACCTCGAAAACATAAATCTTTTTTTGATAACAAAAAGCATGATTAATTTCTTATAATATAAGTTCCCACATAAAATATTCTATTGCCGCCGTAAAAACCTTCATAATTAATGTTATGACATTTTCCTTGTCATAATTCTAATATTTGTGTTAAAACTTTGAAACAGTGTTATCTCTGCAACGATTCATAAAAATCGTGTCCTATTTTTGGCACGCTCTAGACGTAAACAAATAGAATTTCAACAATCCGAATTTCGAAAACTTGAGTAAAACTTAAAAATCAATCAACACAAGTCATTCACATTTCAAGTAGGAAGTTGATAAAAAGCGTCGTAAAAATAGCACAAAAGAACTTGAATGAACCACGCGTTTGCGCGTAATTTTCTTACAAAACAGTGTTAGGGTGACTTAGGGTGCGAATCCCTCACCTTTAGTTCTTCCGGCGTACACATTTATCCTTTGCAAAACGCCAAAAAACCGTTAAAATGTCAATAAAACCCGTCAAACTTTTCCTTTCTTAACCCACCGCACACACACACTCTAACAAACTACTATTGGACGACCGCCCGCGCTCTATTTATAAATTTTGCACTAAATTTTAAAAATACTTGGTCGGAAGAAATCGATCGTTGTAAGAACGAAGAGGCTGCGTCGAGCGATACACTACGAATGAGGGGAGAGACCCCACGAGGGTTTAAAAATACTCGCAGATAAGCATACCTTAACCGCTTTGATGGCCTCTTCTGGTTCCAAATCTCCGACCGACTCCATGTGGTTGTCCACCCATTCACTCACCAGATCGCTGGCCTCACGGTACCGCTTCCATAGCTCGGATGCGTGCTGATACTTGGTGCAGAGGTCTTTCAAGTTTGTGCAAGTGGTGGAATAGGCGGTGACGGCCTCTTCGACGGCGGCTTCCACGCGAGCAGAGACCTCCGGGGTGCAGCTGTCGGCAAGCGGCTTAGCGGCCGCTTTCAGCTCCGATACGAGGGTCTCGCGTGACACCAAGTCCACGGAGACGCTCTACAAATGGATTATTTTAAAGTTTCAAACTACAAAAAGCCGCTATTTGCATTTCCTTCAAGATGTATGATTTGTTTACACGAACTCAATAATGGGCTGATAAGATAACACAAGTTGGGTTAATTAGGTAAATAAATATTTTGATTGGGGAGAGCGAAAATAGTGGAATTGAGGTAAAAACATTCCACAGTTATGCGTCATTCTAATTTTAAGTTGCTTGGATAGGACAGAGTTAATGCCACTACTATGCAACTGAGTGCACAAATAATTTAATGCCTATTTTGAAAATCTAATGAGAATCTTAAAACAAATTATGTTACGTATGTAACAATAGGGGGCACAAACATTGACCCCTTTTTTATTACCCTTTTTGTGCTAGAATAATAAATAATAATCAATTAAAATTAAATAAATGCAGGGAGTTACATACAATAAACAATTTACTCAGAGTTTTCTCTACAAAAACATAGACAAAATGAAAAAAACAAATTTTGAAAAGTTCTACAGCATCACTATTACCAAGATTAAAGGGACGCTCGGTTATCAGTTCCTTTATTTTGTAATAATCCGACATATTAGAAATTTAAATTCGATTATACAAATGTAATAAAACCATTTTAAAAGTTTACATTTTATAATTTCATGAACTAAAAATAGATAAAGTTTTTCTGAATTATTACAACATTTTTATATTTGAACATCATCTTTATACTCATGTAAACTAAAATAATTAGTTTATAATATACATTAGTTAATAATATTTATGCCGGTAGAACAGATTCTGAAACAGCTATTTTCTCGATAAATTTTAAATATTCTGAAAATACACTGTGAGTTATTAACATTTCCTTCATCTTTCTCCAGGTTTAATTTACAAAAAAAAAATATTATTGAGGATAGTTTTAGTAATATATCAATCGCTACAATGTAGAAATATTTACTTGAAGCAAATAGATACCTACTGCTGATTTCACCGGAAGTAAACACAAGTTTTTGTATATTTTGCATATTTTGTTTCTGAGTTTTTTGCTGTTTCATAGGTTATTTATGTTTTATGTGAGAAATTTAAACCAGTGAAAATAATATATAAATTTTAAGATGATATATTAGTCTTCAAATTATTTATTTGACCAAATTTCGAGTAATACATAATTATTAAATAAGATAATTAATTAATTACAATGTACAGAATATGTAGAAAGTAGAATAAAGCATCAAAAACAGAGTTAATTAAACTTATTTGTGAATTTAATTGATAAATAATTCGATAAATTGTTTGAGATAGAATTATATTTTTGATAATAATAACATAATAGTATATTAAAAAACAAGTTTTACAAACACTCTCATTGTGATACGAGTAGTTTATGAAACGAGCCACGCAGTGGCGAGTGTTACAAATGCACGAGTATCACAATGAAAAAAAATTAACAATCGTTTTTTACACTATTTTTTCTATTGAGCGCTTTTTAAATTGAATTTATTATATTTGACATATGAATTTTTTTACATTTGACGTATGCGGTACCCAAATAGCTCGAAAATAGCTTAAATCATATTAGTTTCGGTGAAATACGTTAAACTACAATAATTTCTCACTTAAAAACGACAGTCTCTGGCCAGTGATTGTATAAAATGAAGTCAAAAACAGTTTCACAAAATTCCATTTTATGCAATTTCAGTTACACAAAATGCTCATTGTGACACCGAAATAGAAAAAAAAAACATTATTGATATTTAAAAATATGTATGTACAGTTGGAGTAAGATACTTTGGTCGTCAATGTGACTTGAGTGACATTAAATTGTAAAGCATTCTTTAGGACAGTTAACCTTATTTTTAGCTACTTTCAATCATAGTTGACACGTTGTACATACATATTTTTGATAGGAAAATCTAATAGCTATCATTAATTTGAAATTGTCATTCATTTTAACGTTAAAGCTTGAATTACATTAAACTGTCAGAAAAGTGACGACCAAAGTATTTTGTCTCCAACTGTACATGATTAGAATTAAGTGTATTTTTCAAAAAACTGCACGTTGAACTTAAAAACTTCGCAAAGTACCTATTATAAATTCCAGTATAATAATAACAATGACATTAACTCTGTTTGTATTCCTCCATTCATTATGATAAATAAAAATTAAATATTAAGCACACAGAGCATTGTCGTTTCCGCTTTATAACCGTACTAAATACATAAATAGCCGTCCACCAAATACATCGCGTTAATTTTTATCAACTGGTCGACGATGAAAACCTTTATCCATTATCAAATTCAATTAAACTTGTTGTCTTATCACAAGCCAAAGTCCACACAAAACTAAAAAAATTGCTAAAAACTCACTCGATCCAATTTTCCGCGAAACCACAATCCTTATCACTTTTAAAATTACATCATTCGTAAATCCGACACGATAAAACCCTCAAAACCACCATCGACCAATTAACAACAATCACGCATCGCGCTAACCGACAAACTAAAACCTCTGCGAATATCAGCGCACTACTCACCTCGAGTCGCTCCGTCGCTTTCCTCAATCTCTCGTAATCGACGGTTCCCTGCACCGTCAGTAGTTCCATCATGAAATCGGCCTCTTGGACGCTCTGCTGCACCAACTCGAGCTGGTGCTCGAACCGCTGCCACAGAGCCAAGCGATTCCTCAACAGCGCCAAAAGTTGGCCACAACGCTTCTCGAGAACGGTGTGGTCGTCTTGTAGCTGTGAAATGTCCCTTTCGATCTTGACAGGAGAAACGGTCACCCGGAGACGCATTGGGAGAGTATGAAGGAGTTGGCGGAGACCCATCAAGTCTTGCCATAGCGTAACGAGCTCCTCACCTACTTCGTAGCATTCATTGACGGCCTTCTCCACCGCCTCGCTTCCAAGTTTTTCGCTTTTTTCGCACTGGTCCAGTGTTTCGTTCAAAGAAGAGTGTTTGCGACGGACCCTTGCTATGCCCTTTTGAATGTTTTGAAGGCGTTCTTTAAGCAAAACCCCACCTTCCAGTTCTTCGGAAATCAACAATTCTAAACGTTTGGATAGGCCAAGAAGCGAACCGACTTTATCAGATTCAGTTGCTGATAACAAACCGAGTCGGCCCAACTCATTCTGGATTGTTTCTAGTCGCGTTGACATTACTTGAAGCCTCTCGATGTACAAATTGAGTTCTTCTTCTGTTTTGATGATACCCCGAAGATTGTCAACGTCAGTCTTCAAGTCGTTTAGTTCTTGCTCCAAGAGTAGCAATTTTTCGTTAATGGGAACATCGGGTGCTGAAATACTTCCAATAATTTGGTCTTGTAACTCATTTATACGTTTTGACATTCTATTCCACTGATCTTGCATTTCCGTATGGAACTTCCTCTGGATCATCTCATCAGAAATCGGTACGACTTCTAACGCCTTTTCCAGGTTATTCGTAGCTTCCTGTCGGGTGCAATTATACACTTCGTGTTGGGCTTTCAACTCCCAAAATTGTCTCATATGTCCTCGAGGACCTGTCGGTAATTCCAACTCTTGGAGTTGCTGTTCGGCGTCTCTCAACCAATAGTCGACTTTGTCACTCAACATGTTGTAACTGGTCCACATGTCGCGGAACGCTAGTAACCGTTTCAAATTCCCTTGAACGTCATCTTGTAACTTCAAAATGATTTCCAATGATTCAATATAAGCCTCTTCTAGACCCGAACAAACGACTAGTTCTTGTAATTTCTGAGCAACACCATTCAAATGGACTATTCTAGCTTGGTGGTGCGCTATATCCAAAGACAGAGCCTGATACAAGTCGATATATCTGTCATAATCCGAAGATGTGACATCGGTCAAATCTGGAACTCTTTGTTGGGCCACTTGCAACCACCTCATTTCTTCCCTCATCCCTTGCTCCAAGACTGTCCATCGGGACGCAGCCAGCGACATTTGCTGGAAACGCCCCGTTGCTTGGTCCAGAATGACTTTGGCACGGTCATACAAATTCCTATGAAGCTCAGAATGATGCATCCTTGTCTCGGAATCGAGATTCTCCTCTAAGGATTCCAAAATCGCCCGACAGTGACTCAAATTGACAAAGAATTTCCGGTGGTTCTGCATAGCATCTTCCAGATGTTCCAAATTACTCACATTAATCGCACTTTCGACCAGAGCTTCTGCCACGTCAATTATTTGTCCGAATTCTTTCAAAGTCTGTTCGTACTCATCAGCAAGTGACAAGAATTGAAGGGCTTTCTCTCGCTCGACCACTATTTGTTGCTCGATCATTTTCGTACTTTCATGATTGCTGTAAACTTCTTTCGGAATTTCACGAGTAGGGAAATCGCGCATTAGACCTTTGGCTGTTGCTATTAATTGGACTGCTTTCAACATGTTGCTTCTGTTGGCGTGTTCGATCTTGTCAAGTTCGTTTAGTTTAGTTTGAGGCGCCGCATCTGATTCTTTCATACTGTCAACTTCTTTCCTGACATTACCAATCAATTCCGTCAATTCCTTAACACCAATAATAAATTCTTCCCACCTCTTCAAATCACCGGCTGCTAATTGTTCATTTTCACTGGTTACTTCTTCAATCACTTTTACCTGCTGTTGGAGCGAATCGATGTAACTCTTCATACGATTTCGGTCATCTTCATTATAAATATCATCAGCTTGACGCATTACTGATTGTAACTCCTCGACTTTGCTTTCAATATTAACAATCTCCTCCTTCAAATCATTGAACTCCTGAACTCTTTCTTTCGAAGGACCATCGGCGGTTTGTTGGCGGTTAACATAAATACGATATTCGATTGTTTCTAACCATGTGGTTATAGTTTCAACAGTGGTAATAATCGTCTGTTGAATCTCTTCAACATCTCTCTTCTCAACCGCTTCTTTGAGAGCCTTCAAATTCTCCTGAACGTTCGAATTCCTTTGTTCAATCGATTCCTCGGTTACTACTTCATGAAGAGTCGCCAAATACAGAACAACACTTAAATGTGTCGTCTTCCGGGCGTTTTGCAAATTCTTGACACGTTCCAATGCTTGAGTATGAGACCACCTGATGTCTAGGTCTTGAGCCGTGACAGGACTACGTTGTCTTTCGCTTTCGATAAGTGAAGTCGAAGCTTGTTGGCGTTTTTGCCATACAGGTTTCGGGGGAGTGTAATCAGGTGAAAGGGGATAATCTGCTGGGGGTGAGATGGGTAAGTCTGGTGGAGGAATTGCAGACTCAACTTCTTCAATTGTAACGGAAGATACGTGTTTGGGTTTGCGTTTCGTTTTGGGGGAGGGTGACTTGGACTTGCGGTCTTTTGTTTCCGGGGATAATTGTTTCGATTCGATTATTGGAGGAGAAGGAGTTGTTTGGAGCGATTCAACTTCTTTTATTTGTGTTGGGGAAGTATGGGTAGGTTCGACAAATGTTTCGGATGATGGTGTTGGAGGAGTCACAGAAGTAGGTGGGATTACTTCAGTGAATTTATTTTTATCTTCTTTTGTTTCATCACTGGGTTTAGTCTCTTCGACTTGAGTAGGTTTAGGCTCTTCTTCCAATTTTCCTTTCTTCTTTTTCTTCTTTTTGCCTTTATCTGGACTTGGAGGTGTTTTTTGATAAGCTTCAGCAGCTGCTTTTTCTTTGGCGATAAAATCATCAACACTTGTAAACGCCACAGTGGACGTAACTTCAAATTCTTCATCACCGGGACGTTTCGTCACGACATCTTCAGACACAACTTCGAAATCATCAGGATTAACTTCAACCGAGATTTTGAACGTTTTTTGTTCGTCATCTTTCGGCTTGTTTTTCAATTTTTTTACTTTGTCCTCATCCAAATCAGTTATTACTTTACCGACAACCACAGCTGAGTCAGTTTCTTCTTCTTGTTGCACCGGCGAGCTCGATCTTGAGTGTTTTTTAGCAACTTCCGAGTATAACTCTTTAGGATCTAACGTTCCCTCACCTTCTTGTCGTTTGAACGATGCGAAAAGGTCTTTCTCGATTCCTGGAGTTGCATCTTTAGCTTTTTTCTTATGACGTCGTTTTCGTGGAGGTTTACGAACAGGTTCACCGTCGACAAAGACTTCCACATCTACATCGGAAGCCGACTCACTTGACCCTTTGCTGGGTTCGATTTCTGGTTTTTCGCTCACACTCTCAGTGCTTTCTGATGGCATCGTCACCGAAGCTTCGACGTGGACTTCGTATTGTTCTGATATGCTACTAGGAGGAGTTAATTCGTTTATATCTTGTATAATAACCGGACTAGTCTGCGTAACAATCTCTGATGTCTCTTTAGCCAAATCTTGAGCAAAAACTTCTTCAAATGGCGGCGCTGACGGCTCAGGCGATGTCTGAATTGAGTGATCTGCAGGAGTGGCTTGCGCTTGAACACCACTCTCGATAACGTCAACTACAGATGTTTGTGCAGACTCTTCATGACTATCAATCACATGTGTTTGCATCGCAGACTCGCTTCGAGGTATTTCAGCAGGTTCAAGTGACGTTGTTTGAGCTTCTTCTTCGATTTTTTCGGGTGTGGCAGTCTGAATCGAAGTTTCGGAAGTTATGACTTCGACTTTTTCGGGAGTTTCGGTCTGAGTTACTGTTTCAGACGTTATAACTTCGACTTGACTGGAAGTTTCTTGAATTTCAGGTTTCACAACTTCAGGTATCGGTTCTGGGGATGTTTGTATTGAGATAACGCCGGTTTCTTTTGGTACTTCGGGTGATGTTTGTACCGAAATTTGTTCTCTTTCGATAAATTCTTGAACGGCTTGTTTAGTATCTGGTTCGGGTGATGTTTGGGCTAAGGATTCTTGTGTTAAAACAGCTTCCAAAACTGGGACTGTTGTGACAATCTTTTCGGTTATTTCTTGTGGAGACTCACTGGTAGGTCTCAAGACACTTTCTTCAATTATTTTCACAGTGCCCAAATCAGACTGGGTTGATAAAGTGTGATAGGAATCGTTAGGTGAAGCGATTTCTTCGTTTTGTGCTTCGAGAATTTTTGGTTGTTCGGAAAGTATAGCTTCGGACTCGATTTCAGGCTCGCTTTCAGAAACTTTAGCCTCGCCACGTTTTCCTTTCTTCTTTTTCTTGGATTTTTTCGGTTCTTCAGTTCTGATTTCAGCTTTGACCGGTTCATCGTCAGTAAATTGTACAGATTCACCAAACGGTGACGACTCATCAACCGATTTTGGTATAGTGGATTCTTCCGACTCTTTAACTTTAATCTTCTGCTTCCTCTTTTTCTTCTTTTTCTTTTTCAACTCGTGATTATCATCATCGGCCAAACTCTCATCAACGGTCGTCTTGTCAGCTTCATATCCCGTATCTTTACCATCACCTTCATCAGATTCGGTAATCACAGCTTCGAAAACTTCCTCAGTCGGTTTCGGAGTTTCTTCAGAGGGTAAAGAATCATCAGGGACGAGGATTTCAGTCGATTCAGCGACAGAAGTCGCAATCGAAATTTCTTTTTCTTCAATTTCTTCACTCGGAGTTTCATCTTTATGTTTCTTTTTCTTTTTACTTCGCCTTCCACCGTGATCTATATCGCTAGGTGTAGGCGACTCGACGTGATCACTCTCGTGTTTAGGTGTAATCGCAGGTTCGACGATTTCTTTCTCATTTTGGGGCGCCATTGGAGACAAAGCGACGGATTTTATCGCAGCTGTGGCCGTGTGGGACACCGCAGGAAGAGTCACATGAATATCCTTCTGAATAAGTTCAGCAGGACTTGCCTTAATTTTACTTTCTTCAACTGTCATAATCATAGATACTTGAGGGGAAACAATCGATGAATCAGGTTGTTTTTCTTCCAATGACAAAGCGATTTCAACTTCTTGAGGTTTCTCTATTAGCTGAACTGACGTTTCTTCACAGGACACAATCGGAGTTTCTTCTTTCAACGACAAAGCAATTTCAACATTTTGGGACTCCTTACTGTCGGGTTCGTCAGTTGGGACGAGTGGACTTTGGACACGTGGTGTACCCGATACTTTCTTCGATTTCGGGAATTTCTTCTTCTTCTTTTTAGATTTGGATGAATCAGATGAGTCTTCTATAATTTCCGGTTCGTGTAACTGTTCTGACATGATGAAATCTTGAGTGATGGTATTAATGTCTTTTTGTTTAACATCTCCATTAATTTGAACTGGTTTTGGATTCAAATCAATTTTTTCTTGAACCGTTTTCTCGTCCATTTTTTCAGGTTGTATGATAGTTTTTTCGACCACTTCTATTCTAGTTGAAGATTCCCCAATTTCAGGTTGATCTGACACTTTTTCAACTTCCTTAACACTAACTACAGGCGTCGAGGAAGTTTGGATAAGAGTCTGGGTCACTTCCGGTGGCATTTCGTCTGGTTTCGTCAAAGGTTTTTCAAAGACAGTTTCCTTAAGAACGTCAACAATCGCAGTCTGAGGTGGAAGAATTTCTAATTTTTCAGGCGTCGGGACTTCCTCCGCCATCTTCTCGGTTACTGTTTCAACAACAACAGCATCAATCGGACTAGACTTGTCTCCAGGTGCATCGTCAACTCTAGGTGCTGCTTCAACATTACTACTAAGTGCAAGTCTTTCGTTCTCTAGGAAATCTTTACTAGCACTTGTCTCAGGCGTCAGGCGTGCAGTTTGTTCTACGACATACCTCTCAGCTTCTTGTGTCACGTCAGTCACGGCTTCCGGTTTCCCTTCAAATTCCGCAACAGTGACAGTCTGAGTAACATCACTTCCCGGTTCTTCGACAATGACAATCGGTTCACCAAACTGTTCTTCTTGCACGACTTTTCCATCTTCAGTTCGGGTCACATTGATACTAACCCTCGGAATACCTTCTTCAGTCACTTCCACTTCTTCCGGCTCTTCTACTACTTCCTCAATCACTTGTTCTTTACCATCAACAATGACAATCCTTCGAATTATTCGACGAGTCTTTCGTATCACTCGTCGAGTAACTTGCTGAACGACAGCACGGACACTCGAACTCGACGTGTGTATTTCACCAAACGGTGGTACCAACTTATTTTCTTGATCCACGAAAGTCACGTCACCCTCATGTAGTTTGATTCCTTCAATTTCAACTTCTGACGGTTTGTCGGCTTCGACTACGTGATATTCAGTCTCCGGTTCGGTTTCAAACTCTTGGACGTCAACATCACCACCAGGAACGCCCGAAATTATCTTTCCGCCGTATTGTTTACTAGTGACAGTTTGTCGGCTGCCATCACCACGAGCCAAAGTGGTACTACTTTGTTGTTCTTTCAGCATAACTTGAGAGAACGACTGACTGACAGGTTGGTTGTTCTCCGTGAGAGTACTAGTACTTGTCAATTGTTTCTGTTGAACGGTTTGTTGGTGTCTCACAACCGTTCTGTGTAACTTTTTGACAATGATTCGTTTTGTGCCGTCGGCATCTACGATGACTTCAGTTGTAGTCTCATCAGGTTCGACAAAAACGGTTTCGAACGGTTGATTTGGTTTGGCGTTAGTGATACTCAACTCGGTTGATTTCCCCTCATTTAGGGTCTGTTTCCGGTAGTTGGCCTCAACGAGGAGATCGTCAGGCTCTTCAACTATCGGTTGTGACTCCGCCATTGGTTTAGTCGCTATTTGTATAGTCTCTTCACCATCGGCAAATGTTTTAGAAATAGTTATAGTTTCCTTGACTGGATTAGGCTCAGTTTCTGACCGACTTTCGGATAATTGTGTCTGAATTTGCACGTCCACTGGTTCGTTATACGTAACCGTAAAATCACGTTGTTGTGGTGATGCAAGACTTCGCCCTGTTTGTGTCTCTATATGCACCCCAACCACTGGACTTTCCTCAACTGGCATAGACGTCGAATCAAGAGTATTCTCAAGTGATAAATCAGGCGTTTCTTTTAATCCGACCAGGTGAATACGTAATGTTTCTATTTTGGTCCGAATGACGATTCTTTGGTCGGCAAAGACAAGCGTCAACGTCCTCAACTGTTCGACTAAAGTCTCAGCCAACTGTTTCAAATCGGGATACTTTTTAAATTCCTCACAAACACGTGACAGATCTTCTAATTTTTTCTCTTTTTCGTCCAATTCCTGACTGAGCCGATTTAGATCCTCTATTGACGTTTCAATCTGACTTTCAGTATCTGCTTCAGCAACACCTTCAATAACTGTTTTCGTATTCCTCAACCACTGTTCGATTTCAGTCAATAATAATTGGTAATTGGCCAACTCTTCCTGCTTCTTCGCATGCGACTCTCTCGCATTCTGGAATTAGTTCACAGTTACATAACTCGAGGGTTAAAATTAGTACTCACCGTCACTGCAATCCTGCCGCGTTCCGCTTGTGATAACAACGTTGCAATTCTGGTCCTGATTCCTGCAAGATGCAAGGCTAGTGCTTGCGTCTCGTGGTCGGATTTTAACTCGAGGACTTGGCCTTCGAGACTTATAGCTTGGGCAGCATGTTTCTTCAACTCGCTCGTTATTTCCTGCAAATGTGTGAAGTAATCACTATAAAATGCGATGACCAAAAGCTATTTTTAAAGAGATTATCATAATGTAAACAGTGACGTACCGGAGGAACTCAACGAGACCGAATCTAACTGACCACTGAACGCAGACGAGATGATCAAACAGCGGTTTAAGAGTGGGATTTTTGTTTATTTATGAAGATGTGGTTATTTTTAGAGTTTAGCGCCCTGATTGATGGCCGTTAATTGAAACTATTTGAAGAGTGATCGGATTTTGCGTCCCCTTGCCAATTAAAACGCTAATTAATTTTGCTAAGTATAGAAATTGCGTCTGGCTGTCTTTAGAATTGACTATAAATTTTGCAATGACAGAAGACATGAGATTTTATATAATATAAACGAGTTTTGTAACAGGTGTAAGTCATTATTATCCTTCAAAGAAACCACAAATGAGTCAGGCTGCTAAGTTAGTCAATAAAAGAATTGCTCCTTGTCCTATAAAATGCTGCTTCTTTGGTGCGAAATGTTTGTAAACACACGTCATCGCCATGAAAAAATCATGTAAGAAAAGCTCACCTTTTGAAAATAGCCGGCGTCTGATCACATTTAAAATGATTTAATGTAACGAATATAAATAGTTGGGTCACGCGGCCGGCCAAAATTCAAACATAATCATTGTTAAAATTAAAAGAATGATGTCATACAATTGAATAATTCAGATAAAGCAGCAAAAAGCCGGTCAAGATCAAATTAACAGTTCACCGCAAGGGACAAGGCCGGTGCAAACACATCCAAAACAAGACAAAAGTAGAGAAATTGAGGTCACAGATGCATCATCATGACGCACTTTACTTACTTCTAAAGCCTGTATCATCTGGTCGAACCCTTCTCGCGGTAAATACTCGATGGAGATTTCGGTGGTCTGAAGCAACTTTTGCAATTTGGCAACATCCTCGGTAAGGTCCTGCGAATGTTGAAAAATGAGCGAAAGTCGCGACATGACAGTGACATTCAGCATCAAAATTAATAAGCCAAACGTCAAATTTAAACAAGTCAAATTTCAACAAATCAAATGCAACAATTAAATCTTTATTGTTATACCAAAAATAAATAATAAATAAAGCAGCCATGCACTTAAAACGACACCCTATTTCAAACAAACACACAATATTTCACCTTCTTGAGTTGGTTGTCACCTCCTGGTGGCTGGGCATTGTCCTCTGGCGTTATCGATGGCTGCATTGGAGGCCCTAGAGAAGGATTGTGGGAGGATTCCGCGATTACATCTTCCGCGATACTTTCGGACAAGTGTTTCGCGGCGCGCAAATGGTCATCAGCCGTTTTGATTTTCGCGGTTTCGGGCGCTAAATACGTGCTACGGTCTTTCCAACCACCGACACCCCCCGGTAAAAAATACATCATGTATTCACTCGTCGGAATATTGCCGTTTATGCCGTTTTGTTGCGAGGGTCGCGGTGACCCTCGGCCGCTGGAACTGTCAGAATCACCGTCTTTATCTGGTGATTCGTCGTAATTCTCTTTAACAATATCTTCAGCTTGCACGACTTTCTTTGCTAATGATAATTGGTAATTTTCTTCAGCTTCATCGTAGAAGGTTTTGTCTAGCCAGAAAGGACCATCAAGATTCAAATTTATCGCTAGCATTTCTTCGGGGGTCAAAATTAAATCGTCGGATTTTTTATGTGAAAATACTTCCGATATTTTCACGCAAATTGTACCAAACATGCTTTGCTTGTCGGTGTCTGGAGAGTGTTCAGAATCGGTCGATTTTTGTTGTTTTGGTTTCTTATCCTTTTTCTTACTCTTCGCTTCTTCGTCGCGGATCATCTTTATTTCTTCACTGGGAGAAAGTTCAATGAGTTTTTCTTTTTTATCACTTTCTACTTCTTTCACCGCAATATCAAACGTTGAGTCTGTTGCTTCAATATCATTTTTAATATCAAGCGATTTAATATCAACAGATATATTGTCCTTGGATTCAGTTTTTTCTTTTTTCTTGTCTTTTCGTTTTTTCTTGCTTTTTTCGTCAAGTTCAGGTTTAGACCCAACCATCTCTTCTTTCTTCTCTTTCTTCTTTTTCTTTTCTTCAGATTTGGGACTGGTCATTTTTGATATTAAAGTATTAAGGAAACTGCCGCGTTTTTCAACTGGTATTTCAGGCTGTTTCAGTTCTTCGACACTGAAAGTTTGCTCGCGTTGGATAAATTCTGTGATAACTTGTTTTTCTAATGGCTCTGAAGTCCTTTCAGAAAGGATTTCCGCAATTTCTGGCGTTTTTTCTGCCAAATCTTGAGTAGGTTCGGAAATAAGATCTTTAGAAACCGTTTCGTCTAAACCTTTTTCTTGAGTTTTGGGACAAATTAAAATAGTTTCAGGACCTGAAACTTTCTTAACAACTAAAAATTCAGGTTCAGATTCAACAACAACAATATTATCAGTGCTGATATCTGGTTGTTTAATATCATCAGATTTAATTGAAATTTCAAAATTGCTAATATTTAGCTTTTTAATATCCTCGATTTTAGGTGATATTTCAAGATTTTCATCAGCCACGTCCACCATTTTCCCCTTATCTCCTACTTCTATTTTTTCCTTAACTTCCTGTACTTCAATTGTTTCAAACGAATTTTCTTCTTCAAGATCCTCAACAGCAGAACTTTTCACATCACTTTCTTCTATCGGACTGTCCAACTTTACACATTCTTCTTTATCCAAAATTGTAAATTTATCAGGTTCAACCACCGGTTGTTCTTCTGGTTTGCTTTCCTCAGGAACACTTTTACCTTTTCCTTTCTTGTGCTTCTTCTTCTTTTTGTGTTCTCCAATTTCTTCAGTTTTTTCCGGCTGTTCTTCAAGTTTATTTTTTGTTGCGGAAAACACACTTTTTACTGATGAGATCAAACCTCCTAAACGTCCAGGTTTTTCATCCTTCTTTTTCTTAGTTTTTGACGGTTTAGTTTCAATTTTGACATCGTCTAGTTTGCCATATTCAACCGAAGGTTCAACTTCTTCAATTTCTACTTTATTGTTACTGACAATTGAAGCCCAACTCTTCATCTTAGCTTCATGTTGTCGTTCATTTTCGAGGAAATCATGACTGTCAATTTTTGGTCCCTCTTGGTGGGATCTTGAACGCGATTTCGATCTCGACCGGCGTTCTTTTTTTGTCGACAACATCATAAATCCTTCATCGTCAACAACAGGTGGTTCTGGTATATGTTCAGGTTCTCCAACCACTTGGATGTGAATTTCTAAAGGCTTCTGCTTCGGTGTTTCGGATGCTACAGAAATTGGGGAAGGTTCTCGGCTTCGTGGTAAAGCAGCAATAGTAGCGTAGGTTTTTTGTTGACCTTCGGCAGGAATACTGACTTCATTAGGGTCCGATGAAACAGTTACGAAACTTTCAGAAGATTCGGTCATTTTAGGCGACTTCTCCCTCTTCCTTGATTTTCTCTTCGATTTTTTAGTTGTTTCTTCTTCAGGCTTTACAAGTGTTTCCATAGATTGACCCTTTTCTTCAGATTTAGATTGTTCGATTAAATTCATTGCTTCAGATTTTTCTTGCAATCTTTCTCTTGTAAGAACACACGGAGATGGTTCTCGACTACGTCCAGTGACAACATCAGCATATGTTTTTAAGAGTAGACTTTCATCAGAAATATCAGAAACTTTTTCAACTTCAACTACTTCCTCCTCTTTAACTTCATCAGACTGCGCAGTAAGTTTTATTTCCGGTTCTTTCTCAACCTGAACTATTTCTGTATCAGTTACCCTATTTATGAATTCCCCAGATTTTTCATCGGATTTAATTTCCGGTTCCTTTTCTTCATGTACCTCTTCCTGAGCAGGTTTTGACTTTTTCTTCTTCTTTTTAGCTTTCTTACTTACATCAACTGGTTTTTCTTCATCGGCCGTACCTTCCTCCGGTGTTTCACTTACTGAAACTGTTTCCACTATTTCCGTTTCTAGAAGCTCCTCCTTTGGTGATCTATGACGTCTTCTAGATTTTCGTCTAGATTTCTTCTCTTCTGAGCTTTCTTCTTGAGCGATATCCTTAGGTTGCTCCTCAACTTCTCTTTGTTTCGAACGAGAACGCGACCTCGATCTTTTAGATACAAACTCCTTAAAACCATCTTCATCTGTCTCGTAGTCAACTTTAGTTACTTTTGGTTCAATAACTCTAATCTCAACTGGTGGTCTTGGTGACAATTCTTTAATTTGCAATGGTTCTTTGCCAGTATCATTGTCCTCAGATTCTGACGAGGTCATTTTAGTGGCAACTACTTCTGCGTATGTTTTATCACCTTTCATCAAATTATCCCAAACGTTGACTGGTGTAGTAACCGTTGATTCTTCTTCTACCGATGGTTGTTCTTCTTTTACTGGAGGTTTTGGTGATTTTCCTTTACGTTTCCTTGGCGTTTTCTTCGATTTTGTAGCTTCATCAAGTTCATTCACTTCACTGACAAGTTCTTTAGGTAAAAGATTTTCAATATTTTGCGAAGGAGCAACCTCTTCAGCCCAAACACTACTCTGTGGTTCAGAAGTTGAAAATCCTGAATCATGTTGACTGTCGACGATATCATTGTAGATTCTTTCACCGTAACGCCAGATTTGTGTCGAACTCTCGTCGAACTTAGAATCTTGCTCTTTACACTCTGATGTTACATCGACATAATGTGTTCTTTGTTCACCTCCAGGTATAAATTCAGCAGCATTTGGGTTAAGACGAGACTGTTCAAGTTTTGGAACAAATTCTGTTGCTTTCGCTAAGATAGCTTCAAATTGTGAAGGTCTCATGCTTTCTCTAGTCGGTATTATTAATTCTTCAGCTTCGGCTAGTGATAAAAGAGAAACTTCCGGTATTTCATCCGGAATTTGATAAGGGGGTTCAATCTGTTTTGCTGAAACTGTTACTATCTCCTCAGTTTTTGGTGCTTCCGGTTTTTCTTCCTTCTTTTCTTTATATTTAACTTGGGGCTCACTCTTATTTTCATCTTTTGATTTCACCTCTACTAAACCTATTTGTGGTTCCTCGGAAACTACAGGAACTTCTTCTGGTTTAATTTCTTTGTGAGCTATTGTTATCAATTTTTGTGCCTCATAAGGCTCATCTAAGTCTGTAGTTATCACGTCTTTTGCAACTTTTTCATCAGAAACTTTTGGCAAATCAAGTGCTGGATCATCAAGATCTGTCACAGGTTCGTCAAGATCTGTAACTTGTTCACTTTTAATTTCTGTTGGTTCCACTAAAAGAGGTATCTCATTCGACACAATATCGTCTTGTTTCTCTACAACAGGGTCCTCTACTGTTTTGTCCACCACCTGTGCTTTTTCTTGGTACCATGCAATTTCCGCGTTTAATAAGTTCAGTATGTTATAATTATGAAACTCACTGTAGAAATACTCAAGAGATTTTGTACTTTCTTCCTTCACTTCTTCAACGTTATCTAAGCTGAGCTCTTCTTCGTTCACTTCTTCATTTTTTTCATCTTTGACTTCTTCTACTACGGGCTTGGCTTTTTGAGCATTTATATGGTATTCAGTTTCTGCTCTCATCATACCCCAAATGTCATATCGAGCAAAAGTCTCGTCCATCAACGCACACAAAAAGCTTTTTTCCGGTTGTTCACTTTGTGGAAGTTCCTTAATTGTAGAAGATTGCCCATCAGTAAAATCATATTTGATTAAATCTGGTTCCGAAATTGGAGATATTTCTTTTACAGTTCGTTCAGTTTCACATAATTCATCTTCTAATTTGTGAATTATTTCGGAAGCTTTATCAAGTGGCAAATCTGATAATAGTTTGATAGCTGCAGGTTTTCGCACTTGTATTTCATCGGATGGTACTTCTGGCAGTTTAATATCATTACTGTCCTTTGTTTCCTCAATAGTTTTAGCCAATGCAGTTTCATCAGATTTCTCATTTTCTATAAATTCCACAATGAAATCATGAGGTTCAACTGACTTTTCTTCAATATTTTCTGGTTCTTCATCTGAAAACTGCATTGGTTCATCCAAAACGTCGATCCATAGGTCTGTAGTAGCGTCAATTGGCAAACCTTTATATGCTACTTTTTCTTCAGGTTTTTGCTCTGTTTCAATAGTGACAGCCGATTTTTCTTGTTGGATAAAATGTAATGTTTCTTGATGGCTTGACTTATCTTTTTCGTCGGACTGTTTAGTTAGCACCTCTATCGGAGATTTTTCCTCTTCATCGGAAAGCACCATAGGTTCATCAAGAATATCGATCCAAAGTTCGCTGCTTTTATCTAACGGTAATCCTTTATAAGCAGGCTTATCTGATTCTTTTGCTGGTTTTTCCGAAATTTTCGTTGACTTTTCCGTCGTTGGCAGTGGTTTTTCTTCCGAATTGTCTGATGATTTGGTTGGTTCTTCGATAATCTTAACTCCTTCAGTTATTTCCACCGATTCTCCGATAAATTTCTTTTCCTCCTCATCATCTAACGTAATTGTAGTATCATCTAACATATCTAGCCAAAGATCTGTTGTTTTATCAACTGGTAGGCCCTTGTACTCCTTTTTAACTTCCTTCGGTTCTTCAACATTTACTAATAGTTCTCCTGCTTTCTTTTCCTCCTCAATTAATTTATCTGATGATGTAATATCAACAAGTTTGCCAGCTGTAGCAATTGGTACAAAAATAAATTCTTCAGTCGCAACAATTTCGGAGCTATTATCCAACTTAGCAATTTCAGAAGCTGCATCCAAAGTTTCATCAACTGGTATTTCTTCTTGGAAACTGATAATTTGCGGTGTTTCCTCAAATGACACAGATTTCTCTTTTTTGCTGACCTTCCGTTTAGGTTTGTCATCTTCAGCCACTTCTGGTTCTTTTATCGAAACCTTCTCCTTGCGTTTCTTCTTTTTATCTTTCTTAAGTTGAGAAGGCTCTTCAACAATAGGATGAGACTCCTCTATATTTTTCTCTTCTGTTGTATGCACAACACTTTCAATTTCAACAGGTTCAGGTGGTTCAATATTATTCTTCTCATCTTTTCGTTCTGAAACAATCTCTTCAGTTGGACCCTTATCAACATCATCTTGTTTTTGCTTATGTTTTTTATTCTTCTTCTTTTTTGATTTTGGCACATCTTCACTAGGAACTTTCTCTAGCTCTGGCTCTACTTGAGCCTCCTCTACTTTCTGTTCTTCAGGTTTATCCTCTGCAAGAAACTGAAAGTCTTCAGGAGATTCCGCGAATGGTTCCTTGCTTTCAACTTGCTTCTTCTTATGTCTTTTCTTTTTAGATTTCTTCTCAGAGTCGGCATTACTATCAATAATTTCTTTGACAACGGGCTCATTTTTTGCAGTAACAGCAACTTTTTCACTAGGTTTATCTTGAATTTTTGTTTCCACTGTTTTCATGCCTACAACACTTGCCCAAGACGTCGATGATTTATCCTCAACATTGTCAATACTAGTTTTTCCTTCAGTCACAACATTTTTAGTTTCCAAAATATGTGGTTCTTCAACTTTTGCAGATTTAGATTTCTTCTTTTTTTTCTTATGTTTCTCTTTAACGTCCTCTGTTTCACTATCTGAAAGAACAATTGGTTCGTCTAATATGTCGATGATATTCGTACTTTCATCCAAGGGCAAACCTTTATAAACCGGTTTTTCTTCCATACTAGTGCTAAGTTTTTTCTCTGATTTATCAATGGGCAAAGTTTCCTTTTCACAATTATCACGTTGTACCTCACTTGGAATTTTCACATCTCCTTTGCCCGACAAAACATTCATGACGTCTTCGATATTACTAACTTCAAAATCGACAGACTCAAGTCGTGTCAGTGACGTTTGGACGTCAGAAGTTAACTTGATATCGTCCCCAACTTCAGAAGTTTGCTGAGATTCTAATAAAAATTCCAAAGGTATTCCTTGCCTCTTCTTCTTTTTCTTCATTTTATCTTCAAAATGTTTGGAAGCTTCCAATTCTTCAGTTGCAAGTGAGTGAAGTTCAGACTTGCTCTTTTCTTTCTTCTTTCTAGCGGCTTTTTGACTGGGTCGTTCTTGGACAGAACCAAAAATGACTTGTTCCATTTCTACTGAGAAATCCTCTTTTTTTGGCATTTCAGTCGATGTTATTTCAACTGGTAGTATTTCAGTTGCTAAAGTAGTTGCTTCAATAGGAGCAGCTTCAGTTAAAACTTTTTCCGTAGTTAGTGTTTCAGTTGCATTTGTTACAACAGTCAAAGATGCATCAGAAGTAACAGTATCTTCGTCCAAAGGTGTAACACCATCAGGTGTTTGAACTTTAACGTCTTTAATTTCTGAAACATCTAGTGCTTCTGAAAATTCTGTTTCAGTAGCACAACTTTCAGACAGTAAATCAATTGCAGAATCGGATTTTATTTGCTCTTCAGATACAATTCCCGCAAAATTTTGACCAAGTTTCTGGTCATCGGTTGTGCTACTTTGAATCTCTTTAACTTTCAATTTTTCTTCATCAGTTTCCGAAGTTTCAGTCACCCTTTGTTCAATAAAATGAGTTGTGTGAATTGGAGTTTCCGTAAATTCCATTTTCAAAGAAACTACTGGTTTCATGCGCACTTCTTCATGTGTTATTAGCACAATTTTTTGAGTTGAAGAAGCTTTAGTGTTTGACTGATTCAGCTTAGAACTTTCTTCTCTTATTTCTTCAGTCGTTTCAATGTTTTCTTTGTTCTCTTCAGTTGCCGTACTCGTAACTTCCCTCGGAGAAACAGCCGGTTTTGATAAACTAATAGTTTCAGTAACAAGAGGTGTTTTAGTCATACTTGTAACAGTGGTTATAGTGGCCGTTATCTTTGATTTTTTCACGTCATTAGAGTCGTCTGTTTCTTCCTTTTTCCCCTTTTTCTTCTTAGATTTTTTCTCCTTGTTTTTGATAGCAGTTTCCTCAGTTTTTATAATTTCAAGATCTTTTTGGGTTCGTGTTTCAGCTAAAACTGTTCTTTCATTAGTAATAAATGTTTCAACGACATTTTCAGGGGACGGCTTAGCCATTTTCACTTCCACAATTTCTTCAAGTCTAGGTACATCGATAACATCAACTAATTTATCAATTTTCTCTTCAGGCAGTATTTCTGAACACTGAGTCGTTGGTATTGCTTCCTCTTTGGGTTTTTTAGATTTCTTTTTACTTTTTTTGGAAACTGTTTCAACTTGAGGAATCTCTGCGATCTCTGTTGTTCCAATAATATTTGTTTCTTCAGTTTTCTTAACATTTGATTCTTCAATGAACACGATTTTGCTCGCTTCATCGGATTTGATTGTGATTGGTTCATCAAATTTTTCAACAAATGTTTCCGCAGTGTCTTGAACTGGTTGTTGAACTGGTAGGTTAGGAAGCAAAGAAGCTTCCTCTTTTTCATTATCTTTTAATTTAGACTTTTTAACTTTCTTTTTATTCTTAACAATTGTTTCTCCTTGTTCAACTTTGGGCTCAACCAACACTTCAGTAGATTTTTCAGCATTAATAAATACCTCGTTAACATTTTTCTCAGCCTCATCCACAGGAGCTTCTTGAGCTTTTGATTTCTTAGATTTTCTTTTCGGTTTAGAAATGGGCTCTTGAATTTCTACCTTTTCACTTGTAATTAATTTTTCTGAAAGACATTCTGTAGCTTCTTCTGTTACAGTTTCAGAAAATAGAAGTTTTTCTGTTTTATCAAAAGTATCTTCCAGTGTTACATTATCAACATCTTTTAATTTAGATTTCTTTGTCTTCTTTTTAGATTTACTTGTGATATCTTCGACTATTTCCGTAGGTTCCACATCCGGCTTCTTTTCTTTCTTCGACTTCTTCTTTGTTTTGGTTTTAATTTCCTCTTCTGCTGTGTTACAAATCTGCGGTTTTTCAGATGTCAATGGAGTGACATAAACATCTTCGGTTTTCTCTGCACTTGACAATTCTGATTGCTGTTCAGCAACTTTCGGTTTAGTTTTCTTTAGTTTCTTCGATTTTTTCTTTTCTTGACTAACAGTCTCATTTTCTGCATTATCACTAGAAAGTGATGCTTCAAGACTAGCCTTCGGTGTTGACTTCGTTTTCTTTGGTTTCGTTGGCACGTCATATTCATCAGTCATCTCAATCACAGTATCAGATTTTTTGTGAGCTTTTTTCTTCTTCGGCACTTCCTCATTATCAACATTTTTCTGTTTCGTGACAGTTTTAACTTTAGTCTCTTCGATAATTTTCTGTTTGGGTTTGAAATCATCGACGACACATTCTGTAATTGTTTTAACAACAGTAATTTGTTTCACATGCGACTTATCCTTTTTGTTTTCGTTGTCTTTTCGCTTATATGTATTTTGGGGAACATTAACATCTACATCACTAAACGATTTCAAGTCTTGTACATTAGGAGATTCATCAGCATTGTCATCACTCATCGTAGGGACGAGCTCTCCACGATGACTATCTGATGCAACTTCTTTAGTTTCGATGCGTCCGTATCGTTTCTGTGTCTTTTTATCAGAAGGCGATTCTTTTTGGCGTATTGTCGACCTCGTTTCGTCCATTTGCTTGGACTCGCGTCCATGCATCGGAGACTTTGGCCGATTCGTCGTTGCCGATACACTGGATGGCTGGAAAGGCTTTAAAGCAAGGCCTTGAGACAAAATCTGAGCGTATGAGAATTGACTCCCGGAATCTGTCACTACTTGCTCCGGTTCTGTTTTCGGTAAACTTTCCTCAACTTTTTCTTGAACTGGGGCAGGATTTTCGACAGGCATCGGAGTCTGAGGAGCCTGATAACTATCGTACTGAGTGATCACAGCAGGTTGATAAGTTTGGTTGTACTGTTCTGGATACAAGTAAGTACCTAAACCGGAACCCATCAACTGTTGTCGAGAAGCTATAAAACTGACCATGTCTGGAATGGGTTGAATGTAATCGAAAATACCCTGTTGGGGAGGGTAGTAATGTTGATTCGTAGGCATTTGATACTGGTAGTGAGACCAGTTTTGTTGAGGGACAAAACTGTATTGAGGTTGAACTGGAGGACCCGTGATTGGTTCCGGTTCAGATTCAGGTTCAGGTTCTGATTTCGGCAGTGGTTTCTTTTCTTCAGATGGTTCAATTTCGGACTGATTGTATTGACCTCGCAAAATTTCGGCATAGGTCGTTGACCCGGGTCCCCACATAGGACTGGGTGATCGGCCCCTTGGTCTCGTTTGTTGTGGCTTCAAAAAGGCTTTTTCTTCTATTGGTTTAAGTATTTCTTGTTGTTTTTCTTCTGTTACTTGAACGATAGGTGTTTCCTTGACTTGTTGCAGTTTGGGTTCCGGTTTGGGTTTGTTGTCGCGCCTCTTTGGTGATCGGCTCCTTCTCGGCGCTTTGGGTTCGGTTACAACCGGCGTTTTCGTTTTCGTCTCGGTCATAACCGGTTCGTTATAAGTCTCAACGGCTTTTGTTTCGGTCGTCTCCAGTTCGCGTGTTTCGGATCTGCGTTCTTGCGATTTGGACCGTCCGGCGGTAATGTCCGCGTACGTAACCCCGAGTAGGGATGTGGGTTGGACGTAAAAGGGATCCACGAGTCGGATCTTGCCGATGAGATCATCGATCCTTTGCCGGTAGGCCTCATTCCGCGCCTGTTTACGCAGCAACAATTCAAGAAATCAGTATAACGCGTCTCAATAAGAGTATAGTATCGCGCGATGCAAGATGGTGGCTGAAACGCACGTCGTTTTAGGTGTTTAGGGTCAAGATCGGGCTGGGACGTGATCGGGGGAATGACTGGATTTGGGTTCGGTTAAGTGTCGAGCGGTTCCGAGTCCGGCACGCCCCTCTGCAGAATCAATTTGATTCGCTCGTTTCGAGCGGCCATCTTGTTCTGTAAGGCACGCACGCGATCTCGACACGCCTACACTCAGAGGAAGAAGGAGTGCAGCGATAATGATCAAAAAAAGAACAAAACAAAAACGCACCGTGAGAAACAATCGAAACATAAATTAAGATTGTGTTCGCTTTCTGGCTCACCCCAGATAAATGAAATGACAAGCTACAGTGTGGATGCTAATGAGTGATGTACTGATACCCAACCGTGGCATGAGAAAGATAGTGAACACAAAATATACAATACGAACTAAATAAAATGGTGGTGAAACTCAAGCTTAACTAAGCGGATGGTAAAGAAGCGGTAAAAGCAGTAAACGAAGCATAATATGTATAATAATCAAGAAAAAGAGCCCGAAACCAAAACAAACACAATCCCCAGCTGCCTCGAGGAGAGGGGAGTGGAAACACCTTGATGGCGCATCAATCACCTCTTCCATCAACTGTTTCCAATAATTTTCGGGAACCGTTCGGGAATCGTTTTGAAATTCGCTCAAAAATTTTGGCTTGACTACGGCTGCGGTGCGGCTTGAGCATATACGAGATGAAGGTGGCTATGTTAGTTCTGTAGTCACAAGAACACACCACGATCCGTGATGGTGTTGGTGACGTCACAATACATGCCACTTCCATCCATAACTCATCAAAACACAAAAACACCTACCTGTTGGTCTCGAACAGCTTGATCACGATCGTGAGGCAGATGCGTGGGAGCCATAGCGGCCCTCAATTGCTGCTCCACCTGAACGATCTGCTGCCGAAGTTGTTGCACCTCCAATTGGTATTGCTCGACTTGAGCGATCGCAGTTTCGAGTCTCGAACTCTGCTCTTTAATATTCCCATTCAAATCGTCCAATTCCTTGAGGAGATCCTGAGCGGATTGAGTCACACGAGTGTCACCACCGACGCCGGACCGGAAATGGAGCTACAAAGACCCAAATAAACTCAAACCACTTCTCAAACCTTCCCAAATACCTGAAGCTTCTCAACAGAAAGAGAAATTTTAGTTTTTTGAATTTGTATATCAGCCAACATTTTTTCGCAAAGCGCATGTTGGTCGCGCAGTGGCTTTTTCTTATTCTGTTGAGACTCCAAAGTGGTTGTCGTTTTCTCGATCCAACTGCGGACGTCCTTCATCTTTTTCTCGCATTGTTCCCACTCTTCGGACGTTTCCTGGAGTAAAGCATTGCGTTCCAAAATCGAAGCTTCAACTTCGGTTTTGGCTTCTTCAGCTTCCTCCATCTTCGTCGGGAGGTCTCCAACACTAGTTACGTTTCCGATATGTTCCAATTCTTTCGCCATTTCACTCAGATTTTTGCTGGCAGTCTTACAACTCTTCACGGCGTTCTTTAAACCCAGAAAAAATTAGTCTGGAATAAAAATTTTACTAATACTTACAGAATAGTCGTGGAGCTTTTGACGGGCTTCAGTCAGAGTTGTTATATAAAGAGGTTCCTTCAAGAAGACTCTCTTTTCTTGCACCCACGTCATCACTGTTTGATACAAAGACAAGAAACGTTGCCAAGCGTCGAGAGTTTCCCCAACTTGTTGTCGTTTTTCTTCAAGCCACGATCGCACCTGTTGCAATTGATCAGTTAAATTGTTTATTGTTGATTGAATCAATTGTTTCTCATCATCGTCTTTTGTCTTTTCAATTATAAGTTTTCCGTTCTTGATGAGTTTTTCCAACCGATCTGTGATTCCCCCAATTTCGGACTGTATAGTCTGGAGATGTTGTTGTAACAACTGAGGTTCAATCGACCGATCTTGCACTTTTAATTCGGCATCTTTGATCCAACTTTGGACTTCTTCAACGTCGTTGAGATAATCAGAACGAACAGTTTTGGCTTTCTTAAATTCACGATCTTTTTCTTCCATGGCACTTGCAAGAGCTTCAGTCAAAAGTTCTAATTGGTTCAATTCTTGAGCAACGTCCGATGGAACCAACTGCTGACTCTTCAAATACTTATCTTTGAGTCTTGAAGACAAATCTTTAGCACCTCTGATACAAGAATCAACTTTGTTTCGAAGTTGCTTCAATTGTCCTTCAGTCCGATCAAGATTTGCGTCAAAAACGTAAAAGTTTTCAACTTCAAGTTTAACTTTATTCAATTCGATCTTCTCTTTAGCGATACAGTCGAGAGCTTCGACGATTTCCCTAAGATCGTCTTCGGTCTTCTTCAATTTCGCGTCCAAACTGTCCAGAAGCCTGAAAAACGTGAACCGTATTTTATTTTTGCACCGGACTATTTTTAATTCGTGACCTCCTGGTACATATTCGGGTGCGCCAAAATAACACGTGAAAGCTGTAACTATTTCGATCTTTACCTCAAAATTCCGGCTTACGAACACACAAGACACTAAATTCACCCTCGAGATTCTTCCTACGATTATTTATTCGGTTTGGGGTGCGTCAGATGCGGTACCAGGCGGAGAAAATACCCGAGCGGAGGGACTATCCAGCCATCCAGTTCGACTTTGTCGTACGTTATGCGTTAATTTGAATTTAGGAAACGAAGCGGCGTCGCGACGCGCATGCACGAGCTCGAGTCATAGAAAAAAAATCAGACGGAAGAGGAATCTGTACAGATGCAGTTTTTTTGAGCATCGATTGGGGAGTATTAATAGAGGCGCGATCGAAATAGCGCAATTAAAACCGTTTATGGTGTAATAAAACGGCGCTTGTCGAGTACCCACTTGGCTCGGGACCAGAGATTAAACATAGATCGGAAACAACATTTTTTGTTTATACTTGAACAATTTTATTTTATTAGTTATGACTCATTTATGGCACCACGAAATGTCACTTCATTTGGGTCAAACATACCTTTGATAAGTCTCTCTCAACTGTTTGAGTTTTTCGTTAAGGGCTGTAGCACTGGTTTGGGAGCACTCCTTTAAGAAAATCAGGACGTTTTCGGACAATTCGAACACCTCGTCTCGGAATTTTTTCAAGGACTCTGCTTCCGATTGCAGTTCCTATTAAAACATTCTTTTTATTAACAAAATCGCACACTAAAACTACTCACCAAAATGCTGTTATTAGTCGCGATCACATGCTCCTTGCTTCTGACGATGTTGTCCACATGTTTCACCCTTTCCTCGATTCCGGAGAGGAGACTCTCGAAATGTTGCCACCGGCCCTCGAATGTCTCCCAAACTTGCGCCAATTTGGTCAAAGTATCCCTCCGATTTTCCAAATTAGAGATTAAAGAAGTCCACTCGTCGGACACTTCGCTTGTTTGTTCTTGCGTTTTGACTCTGTTCCGGTCGTCTGCTTGTTTTATTATTTCGTTGGAGCGTTCAAGAAGCAGGTCTAGTTCCAGTTGTTGGTTCTGAAAAAGAATTCGTTATGCGATACTTGCACTTTTCTACTTTATCGAGTTACTTGCCTAAAAATAAATTGCGAACAGTTTACTCGATTACCTTATCTCGGTTTATGTTTACCCGGTATTATTAACCAACACAGTATTAATAAAAACCTGTAGTAGGTTAGTATTGATAAGTTCGTCAATTATTTTGATTGATAGATTGATTATCTTGAGGAAAATTCGTAATTGAGCAGACACCTTAAAAAACGTTCGGTGCCACACTTGACGCATATTATTACTATTTTCGAAGATATTTAGTGAGAAAGTAACCTTGAATTTATTACACACATATGAAATGCATATATTCCAGTATCAGTGATGTAAGAAAAGTGATATCATAGGTTTAAAAATAGCATGACATCATTTTCATACCAAATGCTGTTTACCTTTGATTCTTGGTTGCCTACCACCGAAGCTCATTCATTTGAACGATTGAAATGATCAATACTTTCACTTTTCCCATGAAACAATTTGATAAAAAAGTAAATAGTAAATAGGTACAATTAATTTCGTAATTGTAAAAGAATGTTTATTATCTTTCTAGTATTACTGATAAGAATTTTGGGAAATATTATGAAAAACAAGTAAGAAAAAGAAATTATCTCATTTCCTGTTAGATCAATTGAATTAAAAATAGGACTGTTGGTTCGATGTTGATAATTTTAAATCTGACATGTAGACTACCTATTCGAACGAGATTTATATGCAATAAATTGTGTTTTTTAGGTACGTGTTTTGCAAACGTCTATAGTGGCATTGAAAAAACATCAAAGATTAAATTAAATTTTGGATTATAATTTCTTGATTTTTTCAATTTTCTGAAACATAGAGCTTTGGGAATTCCTACTGAACTTTCTTAAAATACTCGAATTAGTTTACTTTGACTTTGAAAAGGTCACGCATTCAAAGACACAAAACATCTGCTTACACTTTATTTCAGTTTTAATAATTTTAGCACACTTAACAGTACAGTTTTTTTCTTTTGATTTTCCTCTTTTGTTAAATGTATTTCACTATTTCTCAAAACTATTTTCCACCTACATTGCTTTGATATTAATATATCAAAAGAAATAGTTTTGAGTAATAATGAAATACTTTTGCCAAAAGAGGAAAACCAAAAGAAAAAAACTGTAAAAATTAATTATTTTAACGGTTTAAAAACGACCTAAAAACCATCTCAAAAAATAATAATTTGTACCTTTTTTGCCAAAAAATAGTTTGAGTTGTGATTTTAGAATTGAAACTCATCAGAGATTTATTTATAGTAACGATTACCTAATAGTAAAATCTTGTTTGTAATTTGCTACATATCGGCTTTATGACGTTTTGACGTTAATAACTATATTATCAAATAACTCACAATAAGTAAATATATTTGATAAATTGCATTAAACCTCGTCAGAAATCAATATTTTTAAGACGAAAATTAAGTTAGTTACTAATTATAAAAAATATATATATATAAAATTATAAAAACAACAATGTGACGTTTTCACGTGTACCTACCTACATATACAAAATATGCAACAAAATACGAAACTTTATGAATACCAAAAAACAAAAAGAAAAAACAATTCACATATTATCACGACTAGTATTTTAATTTACATAAATTTACAAGTTTTGTATTTGACAAATAGGCAATAAAGTTTTATATGTATAACTGCTCTGCAGTACTCATTGTTAATTACTCGTAGAAGTCATAAAAGTACCACACAGAACTTCATTACAAAAAAAATAGCACAATTTTAAAACAGAGCATCCGTTAAAACTTTTTGTGATGAAAATGAGATCTAAAAAAATATTAGGAAAAAAATTTTTGATCTTATTAAAAGTTTTTTTTCTTGTAGATTGTTTGTTTGTAATTAAAGTAAAAATTAAGGCAAATTTTAATTTATTGACAACAAAATTTTGATATTGATAATAAGTCCTTTTGCTTTATAAACACTAACAATATTTATTACATCGTAAACTAAGGATTATAATCAAATATAAGAAAACGTTAATTAAATGTTGCAATCTATTAGCATGCAAGAATTTTTTAAAATTAAAAAAAAAATCAAAATAAAAACTCACCTGTATATCGTTCAAAGCGTGAGATATCTTCTGAATATTAAAATGCAGTCCCGCCAACGTCGTTACCGGCTCGTCCGTAAACTTCGTCCTCGCAATCACCGCCTTGACTTTATCCAAGGTCTGACAATAATCCTTCCAAATCTCCGCATCTTGCTCCAACTGAGCCCTTTGAGACTTGGCCGAATTCAACGTATTTTTCAACAGCTGGGTATTATACTGCTGCTCCCGACTCAACTCCTCCTGCTCGTACGGCGTCAAACTTGGCCATATCTTATCGGCCACCTGTTGCGTATTCACCGATACCAACTCCTTCATATTCCCTTCGGTACTAAAGAAAATTTTATGTTCCTCCAAATCGGTCAAAATATTCTCGAAATCAACTCCATCTTTGTGAGTCGCGAGCCGAATTTCGGCTTCTCTAACCCAATCATTCAGACGTTCCTTCAACTTTGCGTACTCTTCCCGGAGATGTTTGTTACTTTTCAGGTATTTCTCACGCTCGTCCAATTCGCGAGGCAAACTCGCAAGAAGGGAGTTTCCTTCTGAAAGCTGCTCCAAAAGAGACCCTGGCATGCTGTCGTCGTGTCTTGTCGCCTCTTGAATCTTCCTGATCTTGTCCAAATACTCCCCAACGATCTTCGCAAGCCGGTCATGATTCTCCAATTCCTTGTCCACACTTTTCACATCTCGACTGAGCAACGGACGAGATCGGACAGCCCCTTCGTTCGCATGCAACCAGTCGAGAATTTCCTCAAGCTCAGCGGCCAATTTCCGGTGCTCAGCGGCTGTATTTTCATGCTCTTGTCGTTGTTTCTCAACTGCACGTCTCAAGTTTTGCAAAGATTGTTTCAAGGATTGGATTTGCTCGGTTATGCTGTTTCTATCTTGAACCGAGCAATCGGCGGCGATTTGTTGGCCTTTATCGGCGGCAGATGCGAGCATTGCTTCACATTCTTGGATTTTGACAATAACATCGTCGTATTTTTTGATCTTCTCTTCGATCGTGCCCCCTGAACGTTCAATATCGCGGACAATTTCGGTGTATTTTGTTATAAAAGTCATAATTTCGGTGATAAGAGCAATGAATTGTTCGCGGAGGAGCAACAATTGGCGCAAGCGAGCGATTTGGTCTTCAATCGATTTGATTAAATCGTCTTGAGTGGCCAAAACCGATTGTAGCTCACTCGAGTGGGACACTGGGACGTCTCCAAGCCGGGCTTTATTGGCCTTAAGATCGCCCAAAATCCTTTCATAACTAGACAAAACGTTCTGAACATCTTCCACTTTACTTCCGATGGGTTTGTTCAACTCTTTGAGTTGGTTTTGAATTTCGTTGACAAATTGTACACTTTCGGCGATTCTGAATTGCGCGTCTCTCAACTGTTGGATATTTCCTTTCAAAGCGTTAGTCCTGTCCTGAATTAAAGCTGAAATGCGGTTGTGACGATCCCTCATATTATTCAACATCTCATTCAGGTAGATTTTATCAGATTCACTAATTGTAGGAATGATGGCTTTCGCTTGTTCAAAAATTTTGTCAATATCTCCCTGGACTCGTTTCGCTTCATTGCCCAAAGTTTCATATTTTGCTAGTTGTTCTTCAAGAACTTCAATATTTGGGGCCCGGATATCGGAAGCAGTGGCAACTTCGGCTTGTTTTAACCAGTCAATACACTTATCAATGTCACTCTCGAATTGTTTGCGACCTTGGAATAAGTCACTCAATGCATTTATTTTTTGTTGTGAGTCGGTTTTGAGTGTCTCATACTCATCCTTGACTTCGTCTAAAAGTGCCTGAAGTCGTTCGCGGTCACTCTCGTCGCACTCTTTCAAGACACTATTGCCAAGTTTGAGTAAGTCATTAAGGTCGCCTTCACTAAATGTTTTAATGTCACTTTCGTAAGTTTTATGCTGGGTAATTTCCTCCTCGACTTGTCTTGATTTCAAGGGAAGATATCCACTCAATTTGTGAATGTCGGCGTTTTTGGCCTTTAACCACGCTTTAGCCTTTTCAAGATTACTCTCCAAGTTGCGTCTAGTGTTTGCAGCCCCATTTACTCGTTCAATCGCAGCTTTTATCTTCTCAACTAATTGTTCTTGCTCAACTCCCAGACTTTTCAAAGCCGACTCCAGTTGTTCCCGTTCCGGTGGCTCCAACTCATTCGTCATATTACTCACCCGTTTCATCAGAGTTTCCTTCAATATCAACTTATTATCAGCTTCCTTGAGCAACCCTTTGAGTGTGTTAAGCCTGTCTTCAGCCTTGCGACTCTCAAATCCAAGAAGTGGGGGTTTTTGTAATTCAATGAGGCGCTCTTTGACCCAATCTCTGGCTTGTTCAATCTCACTTCGAGTATCCTCGATTCCTTTGCGAGTCATCTCAAGGATTTGGAGTTTTCTCTGGAGACGCTTCCCAATATCGTTGTTTCTGCGCTCAATCGATTTCATTTGCTCTTCGACTTGCTGGGCATCAAGATTATTGACAAATTCCAAGACTTGGCTTGCAAACCTTTTAACTTCGTTCATTCGTTTAGGTCCTTGATCCTCAAATTCGGCCTTAAGTTCTTCAATTGCGACTTGTTTTTGCTGACAATTTAGACCGGAGCCTCGGTCAATAGCATCAATCCTCTTGACCAAATTATCAAACCAGTTGTTGATAACTTGGACGTTTTGTCTGTATTCATCTAGGATTTCTTGATTGGCACTTTTGGCCGCAATCGCCGCCGACAACTCATTCTCCAAATCATCTAACATTTTTTCCAATGAAGCATTATCCGGACTTGCAAACTCCGTCACTAATTGAGTCCTTCTTTGGTCAATCGCTGCCATCAAGTCATTCATATTATTCAACTCTTGCTTGGCAGCATCTGCTCGTAATTTCGTCGGCCGATTCTTCCACTCAACCACAACATTCTTCTGATTAACAATCCAATCTTTCAGAGCGTCTCTATGCTTTTTCTTCTCTTCAAACTCGGCAACTGAAGTTGTCAAGTTGCTGAGATGAGACTGCACCTGTTGACAAACCAGAAAATGACCACAAGCCGATCCAAAAACCAAGATTTCCACACAACCACCTACCTTATCGATTTGGTCATGCATTTTTTTAGTAAAACCACGCGCATTAAGTTCATCCACAAGCATTTGCAGTGCTGATGACGACTCCTGGTGCGTCTAAGTGCAAAGCAAGGTGCAAACAACACATAAACAAAGCTACACAAATAATTACCTGATCGATAAGGTCCTCGAGACGGGCTCGACATTCAAGTTCTTTGATCGGAACTGGGGGTGGGAGAGTGTCTCGGGGACTGCTGGGGCGGCTAATGGAGGCTGTGGCAGCTTCACAAGCTTGGACAGCAAGAGCGAGCCGAGATTTCTCGTTTTGCAGTTTATTATGTAATGACTGCAATTTTTTTTCTATTATAATAAAACAATGATTACAACAATGGCTTACCTTGGCTGTTTCTAATTGACTCAAAGCTTCTTCAAGCGACTCAGCTTCTTTTTCCACTTCTTCGTTAACGATAGGTTCGTACTCGTCCAAATTCCTCATGATACTCTCCAAAGTGTTTTCATATTCTTTGAATTTAGCCAAAGAGTCAACCAAACGGTTTTTAATCTGAACGGCGGTTTGTAACAACGAGTTATAACTATCCTGGACGTTGCTCAATTGTTTTTCTATAGTGTCCTTAATGATGGGTGCTTCTTTAACATATCGTTCGATTTGTCCATGTCCTTTGGCCTTAACATCATCCAAAGTTTTTTGATAATTTTGGATTTCCTTCAATAAAATTTCGTGTTGAGTGAGCTGTTCTTCGGTTTGTTCTCTATTGGTAATATACAAAGAGTTGTGAGCCATCAATTGGAAGCTTATCTGAAGTAACCATTTTTCAGTTTCTTGGAGACTTTGATGGTAGTTGTTATATTCTAACATTTCAGCTTCAATCCTCTCCTTCTGTCCATCACACAGCGTGCTCAGATTGTCATAGAAGGTTTGTAATTGTTTGACCTCTTCCAAAACTTTTGGTTGCTTAGCCCAAGAGCTTAATTCGACAGCTTCGTCTTTGAGACGGTTCAAATCACCTTGTTTGTTCTTAATTTCAGCTTGTAGGTTCTTGTAGCGTTCCAACAGTGTCTTCATTTCGCTCAATTCTCCCTTGGTGTGTGGTTTCTCTTTTAAAATTCTTTCAGTCTGAGACAACCAATCCTGCAAACGCCTCTTTGTCTCATTATAATCGTCCCAGCGAGCCAAAGCAGCCTTCAATTGTGCTTGAATCGAAGTCAAATCCATACTGAGTTGGTCCCAACTGTTTCTTAAACTTGTCATATCCTCACGAAGACTGTCCTGTTTGTCGGCCGGTGTTGTATTAATAGCTTTGGAAAACGCTTCTTGAAGCTTAGTTAGCAGTACTTGACCTTCAGAAGTCTTGGCCGAAATTACTCTAATTGTTTCCAATTTTTCCCTGATATTGTCTTCATCGCCGACTCCGATACAGTCTTGCACATTTTTATGTGCTGCATGCAACCAAGTTTCCAGTTCTTTCTGAACTTTAAGGAACTCGGTGTGGTCCGATAGATTCTTTTCAATTTTTGAAACAAGAGTTTGACAGCTTGTTAGCAAATTAGTGTAGGCGGTTTGCAATTGGACGGTTTTGTCCCGAACCCACCCGACTGCACTCAGTTCCATAAGAGCCTCACAACAGTCAGTCAAGATCTCAAGATTCGGCTTCTCTGCAACAATCTCAACGAGGAGTTGCTTACACCTGTCTAAATCTTCGGGTGTTTTCTTGTCTTTCTCATTTTCTGCATCGACACGTTTCCTGAAGTTGTCGATAGATTTTTTCATTTTGTCAAAATTGGTCTTAAACTCTTTCCAGGCGTCTTTACACTTCGTGATGGACTTTTGCGTTTCGTTGCAAATTAGGTGAAGGCCTTCCCAATCCATGTTTAGTTGTTCGATTTCTTGTTTGATTGTGTCTTTGCCTTCCTCGCCGGTTGTCTTCATGACTAAAATACTCAACTCGATTGTCTTATGAACTAAATTGTCACATTCGGGAAGTGAGTTTGAGATTTCACTGATCTTAGCTTCTTTTTCCAAAATTTTGTCGAGCTCATCATGTAAGTCGGAACAAGTTTGGGCTTCGACGCAAGATTTTCGAATTAATTCCATTGCAACATTGTACGAGTTTTTGTACTGTTCATGATCACCGACTTGTTTTTCCAAATCGGCAATAGACTTGTCCACCGACTGTTTTAATTCTTCATATTTCTTAAACGAGTTTGCATACTCGTCAGCTTTCAGATTCGTATCCTCGGCCAATTTGGCCTTGAGTTTCTCGATTAAGTCAGTGTGCGTCTTGATTTCCTTCTGTACCGCTTTAAACTTTTCCAATTTGGCCTTCTTCTCACTCAAATCGTTCAAAAACTCGTCATCTGACTGGATTTGGTGTTCGATATCTTGGAGCCAATCTAACAACATCATGTGAAGTTTTGCAATCTCTTCGAGTTGGCTTGCCCGATTTGTCAAGCGATTACGGGCTTCTTGAACATCATTCAGTAATTTCTCCATGTCTTGTTTCAAATTTTCAGTGTCTTCTTGAATTTTGGCAGCACCAGACTGCTCCGTGTTCATAATGACACGCTCCTTCAGTTCAGAAATGTATCGCAATTTATTCTGACCTTGTTCTAAAGATGTGCGAATGTTTTTGACAGCTTGGAGTTTACTGTTAACTTCGGGAAGCGTATTTGGAATTTCTTGACATGTATGGAGTTTATCTCTGGTACGGTCGATCCAGTCTTGGCACTCTTGATAAAGAGTACTGTGTTGTTGGTGTTCTTGATAGTGTAACTCCAAACGACGCATAACTTCCTTCGCAAGTGACAAAATTGCGTTATATTTGGTCGAAAGTTGCGTCACGGCATTACTAATCCTTGTATCGGCGCAAGTTTCCAACAAAACTTGAGCTTTCATATTGAGACGATCAAGTTCGGATTGCCAGTCAAAAAGTGTTTGGAGTTGCAACTGGAACTGCTCCAAAACCGCTCGCTTTTCCTCCAAGCTATCTTGTAGTTTGTTATACGACTGTACTAAGTTCTCAGTCTGAGCCAACCAATCTAGAGCTTCCTGGTACTGTTCTTCATATTCTGTCCATTTGACAATTCCAATCTCCAACAAATTTTTCGCGTTGTTAAGCGAGTCGACGTAATTATCAAACTCCTCTTGCAACAACCCAACCTCCTCTTCAATTATCTCGCGATCTTCCTCATCGGCGTACTGGCAAGCCTTATCTCCTTGTTCCAAAGCCGTTTCTAGTTTCTTCTCGCCTTCGGGGAGCTCATTCTGCAAAGCTTTCAGTTGTGATAATTTGCTTCCGAGGCTCTCTTTATCCCCGGTCGGTTCTGAACATTTGCTCAGTCTTTCTTTTGCCAAACGAATCCATTGGACAAAATCATTGTCAGCATCAACAAATGCTTGATGTTGCTCTACAGTTTCTTTCTGTTTCTCGTAGAGTTCTTTTGCATGTTTTGACAACGTTTCGTATTTTGTGGAAATTTCAGATGCTGGAGCTGCTTGTTTCAAATCCTCGGCTTTGGAAGTTACTGACTGGATCATGGGTTCAAAGGAAACGATATCTTGGACTATGCTTCCAGTCTCCCGAAGAGTCGCTTTTCTTTCACCGATCGGTAAAGAGCTGAGTCCTGTTTGACTTTTCTTCGTTTTAACAACTTTTTGTTCGGAAACTTGTTGGAGTTTAGCTTCACGATCGGTTATCCATTGTTGCAACTGACTGTAGGAGCTGTCATAATCAGCCCATTGTAACAAAGCCGTTTCAAGGTGCACCTTAACAGTGGACATTTTCTTAACGATTCTATCCCAATCACCTTGAATTTCTTTAAGTTCGTTATTGATAGCTTCCCGACCATCTGATCTTGTACTCCGTAAAACTTTTTCGCCACAATTGACAGTCGCATGAATCAAATTCTGGCCTTCTTCTCGTCTTTGGATTAGCTCTTGGATTTTGTTCAAGTGTGATTGTAGTACGTCTTTGCTGCTGTGTGAAGCTGCTTCTGAACAGTTTCTAATCAACTCACGCGCCTCATCGATCCATTTTCGACTCTTCTCCAAATTATCCGAGTATTCCTGATGTTGGTCACGATTCGTCTCAACTTTCTTCAAAACATCTTTGGCCAAGTTAAGTTCGACTTGATATCGAGAATTCAACTGTTGCAACTGATTATTAACATGAATTTCGAGCGGCGATTTGAGTAAAATTTTCGCAGAATCATTTAGTTGATCAATTTGTATTTTCCCATCGTCGAGTTTTTTAAGTATGTCTTTCACGTCGTTAACTTGCTTGATTTTTTCAGGCAACGTAGCAAAAAGTGCAATTTTTTGATTCTTGATCAAAATTGTGATTTGTTGCAACCAATCAGAAATACGCTCATAGTCATCCTTATAATCCCTCCAATACTGTAGAACAACTTCCAATTGGTCACGTTGTTGCTGAAGGTCTTTAAAAAGTCGTTCGAAACTTTCTCTCAACGCTTTGATATCTTTCTTGATCAATTCCTGGCCTTGACTGTTGGTATTAGGCAACACTACTTGAGCTGCATGTTCTAAATTTTCCAAGAGTACTTCTCCTTGGGCTTGCTTGTTCAAAAGATGGTCCAAAGGTCCAGAGAAATTCTCAATTGTTAATTTGTCACCAAGTGGTCTTTGCTTCAATTGGGGCACTTTCTCCTGAGCTCGAGTCATCCATCTTTGCACTTCATCGTAGGATTCTTTATACGTTTTATGGTCACGATACTGATTTTCTCTATCTTGTAACAGTTTGGTAATTTTTTGAGCACATTCATCAAACCTTTTAAATACTTCTTGAGCATCAACTTGAGCAGCTTTCTTACTCCTAAACACTTGAGAGGCCATAGCTTTGAGATTATCAATTTCGATTTTCTCACATCTGACTTTTTCTTCAAGATTTTTTATTTGATCTAATTGAGTTTTCTTCTCAGCTGCTGTTCCTTGGAGTACTGACAATTCCTTCAATTGTCCTTCCATCCACTCGACTGTTTTATCAAAATCGCGGATTTGTTCCAGAAGACCGGCCCATTTTGTCAAAGCATCGTCTATTATAGCTTTAGTTTCAATCATCCTCGAAGCCAGATTAGACCAAAGCTCTTGAATATTTGCAAGAGATTCATTTATAGCATTGTGGCCATTAGGAGAAGTATTCGCGAGAACGGTTTGAGCAAGTTCCACCAAATTTTGTATCTTGGCAAAACCTTCTTCCTTCGATAAAATCAACTCTTGAACTGTTTCTAACTTCGCTTCTAATTCTTTTTGATTAGAAGAGCCAATATCGGAGCAGTACGTAAGTTTATTGTTGATTTCACCCAACCATTGCTCACAAGAACTAATCTTAGAGTCGAAATCTTGATGACTGTTAACAAACTGTTGCCACCGACCTGTCAAATCTTTCACTTTATGACAAACTTGTTGGTATTTGACCCCTAATTCAGATATTTGTGAATTGCGGCCACACAAACCTTTGTTCACTTGTTGAGCCTTTTCAGTCACTGCATCAATCTCAAATTCTTTTGCTCTAATCTCACCCTGGAGAGTTTTCAAAACTTCTAACTGAGCTTTCTTTTGGGATGCTGTTGCTTTTAAGTCAATAGAGTGTAATTTGTTGTCTATTTCTCTGATCCAGACTAAGCACTGGTCTTTGAGAATTTCATACTCGGACCAATGTTCAAGTTTACTTTCCAACTGGATTATAGTCTGGTCTATTGCCGAGACCAAACCGGCCCATTCTTGTTGCAAATTATCAATTTGTGTCCTTATTGCGGTTTGACCGTAATCAATGGTTCCCGGAATAACTTTACTTCCTAAACTCTTGATGTTTTCAATCCTGTTTTCTTCTTCCGAGAGACTACTCTTCAAACTCTTCAATCTTTCAAGATTCGAATGTAATGAAATTCTTTCTAAATCCAAATCGCCCAAAGTATTAACAGTGTTTAACGTAGCCGCTGTCCACTCTTTCGTGTCCGTAACCACTTTGTTAAATTCTTGATGGTCATTAACAATACTTTCGTACCGTTCTACAAAATTCTGCGCTCGTTTTAACAACTTATCATGATGTTCTATTATCGTGGCCAACTGTTGGTCAATACTTTCATTCCGTTCAGGAAGACTCTCAACTTTGTCCCTCAAATCAACAACGTCTTGTTGATGCGCCAAAGCGTCATGCAACAAGGTGCGATAAATTTGAAGCTGAGTTCTTTTCTCATCGAGGGTAGCTTTGAGCTCGAGTTCTTGTCCCAGATCGGCTTCCTTCAGCCAAGCGCGGATGTTTTTGGCGCATTCTTCGAATCCGGTCCATCTGTAAAAAATTCTGACTTACCTCTGTTTCACACAGAATTGAACTTACCTTGTCAGTTTCGCTTTCAACTCGCGGTCAGTGCTATTAATCCCGTCAAATAGAGCCTCAAAGGCTTGTTGCAACTCCTGAAGTTGGTTACTTATAACTTCGCGGCCATCGGGGCCTGTGCTAAGATAAAGTTTCTCTCCTAGTTCGATGGTGTTGTTGAGGAGGAGTGTAGCACTGGTTTGTTGCGAAAGCAACTCCTCGAGGATTTTGTATTGTTCGGTGAGAATATTGCGCGCTCCTTTCTTAATGTTTTCCTTGCAGGTGTCGAATCGGCCTTGAGCTACGGCAATCCAGTCGGAACACTGGCGGTACTTGTCGTTGTAGAGTTTGTGGTCGGCGACATTTTGCTCGCATTTTTTCACAACTTCCTTTGCAGTGGCTTGGACTGATTGGAAACGTGAAGAAATTTGTTGGACGTTGACAGAAATTCGGCTATCGCCACTACTCTGAAGCAGTTCGGTTGAATCATCGGACATTTTGTCAAATTCGGATTCGTTTTGTCTGAGATTCAGGATAAGTGCCTGCGAAGAAATTATAATTAGTACAAATCGCGAAACGATTTAGATAAAACAGCAAGAAACATAGGAAGACCACCACCAAATAGAGACACCGCTACGACAACAAAAATCTTACTTGTTCTAAATGATCAGTAATGACCACGAAATCCTTCACGTCTCTCCCTCGAGATTCCACCAACCTAGTTAGATCCTAAAGACTTCAATCAAACAAAGCTCAACCAAAACCACCAACACTCACCTGATATTTTTCCAACTGCTCTTGTTTCTCTTCCAGTGTGTTCTTGAGGGTGTAGTTCTTCAAAGCTAGTTCGGCATCAGCCAACCATGATAAAAGTCGTTCGAGAGACTCCTCGTAGTCACTCCAGAGTTTCAATCGACCTTCCAAACCTGACTTAATATCGACCAAAGCAGCGATAAATTTCTCTTGATCAAATTTCAAATTAGCGACGTCTCGGTGCATATTTTCTTGTGCTCTTCCAGACAAAATTGATATTTTTGAATCAACGTGGTCTTGCAATTCTTTCAGTTTAATACTACTCTCGGGGAGGTGTTCTTGTATGTCGATAACATTATCAAGCCGTTCTTGCAAAGCCTGCTTATTGCCAGTTAAATCTGAATAACTGTTCAATTTGTCCCACAGTTGTTTCTGGTTATCTTGGTGTGCTTTCTGCAAGTCGTAGAATTGTTGGTAAACCTCCAAACAATTTTCGAGTTGTTTGAGGTTATTTTGCACGGCTTGCAGCAATTTTTTATACCGTTCATTAATCGACTTGATACTCTCTTCAACTTCAGCAGTTTTGTCTTTATTGTTTGTCAACTGTACAAGAGTTTGAGCTTTCTCTGTAACACCATCTATAATTCTCTTATGCGACACAATCTCCTGATGGATTGTCCGGTGTTTGAGCAGTTTGGACCTAACTTCTTGGATGGACACCCATGTGGATGGATCGACTTGAATCTGCTTCTCCATGGTATCCAACCATGCTAAAGTCTGCTGTAGCATATCCTGATAACTTGACAACTGCAAACTCTGAGCATCTTGTAACTTCTGTTGTTCTTTAATTCCTTCAGCAAGTCGATCCCAACGCTCCCGAATTTCTCTCAACTCATTTCGAATAATCTCGCGACCTTGGGTTGCAGTATCCGGTAGAATTCTCTCACCCAAAAGTGTCAAAGAGTTGATTTTGTGGTCACCTTGATCTTTTTCTCCCAATAACACTTGAAGTCGATTTGTAATAGCTTCCAAATTTGTGGCTAATTCGCCTTTTTGCAACACTGCTAAATTATCCTCGAGATGTTTCAACCAGTTTGAGGTTTCTTCTAATTTCTTCTGATATTTCTGATGGTCGTCGACTACACTTTGCCAACGGTTGATCACATCTTTCGTCGAGGCGTGCAAATTTTGATAACGAGTGCTTATTTGAAACACTAAAGGTTTAATTCTTTGAACACCACTCATGTGTAGAAGCGAGTGACTCTTGTCGACAAAATGATCTATTTCTTTTTCCTTAACAGCGACTTGTTCTCGATCATTTAGACAAGTTTTAAGTTGGTCCTCTTTCTCTTGAAGAGTTGCACGAAGTGACTGGTCCCTGAATTTAACTTCAGCGTTTTTGAACCATTGGTTGAGTGTTTCCAACTCTATTTCAAACTGTTGCCATTGCTTAATGGCGTTTTCTTGTTTCTCAACAATGGCGTCCATATCCTCCAAATGTTGGCTTAACAGTCCATAAAGCTCCTCCAGTTCTTTCTTCAACAGTTCCACTCCTTTCGGAGCTGTGCTTTTAGCAACAATGATAAAGTTTTGTTTGAGACTTTCCAGGAGTTTCGAACCTTCGTCCTCGTTACGTTCTTTGAGATTTTTAACGCTTGAGATTCTCTTCAAAAGCTCAGATTTTTCTCCATTGACCACATTATATTCTTGCAATTTTTCTGCCTGTTCATTCAGCCAGTCTTTGAAAGCAGCAACTTGCTGACTGTACTGATTATGTTTCTCAACACAATCCTCCAAATTAGTAAGTAATTCCTCAGATTTGCTTACGATACTCAAAAATAGTTGTTTAATAGATTGTAGGTAAACATTTAAAGACCTATCTTGGGTTTGATCGACCAATTGTTGTGCTTTGTCACAAACCGATTCGACCAACTGTTGATGGGACATAATTTCCTGATGCATAATTTTATGATTTTGCAATTGTGCTCTTTTTTCTTGAAGAGTCGTTTTCAATTCGGTATGTTGCTGCATAGCTTTTTCAACATCCTTCAACCATTTGGTCAGTTGTTCTTGTGTGGAGGAAAAATCAGAAAATTGAATCAAACACTGATCCAGTTTATTTGTTGCATTTTGTAAATCATCAGTAAAACTATCCCAAATTGTTCTCAAATTTCGTAATTGTTGTCTGATTATTTCTCTACCATCGGGTGAAGTATGTGCGTACAATTTTTCCCCATTATCTATCAAATTCTCAAATTGTTCGCTTTTCATATTTCTGGCTTCAATCAAATTCTTGATGTCTTTTTGCCGTGTTTGCAAGACATCCAAATCGCCGACAATGTGACTCAAATCCGATAATTCCTCCCCTTTTTCTGTTAACCAATGAAGGAAAGTTGCATATTCTTCATTGAAACTTTGATGTTCGTTGACAAAACCTCTATATCTTCCAATCACTTCCTTGAGAAGATTTTTCAAAGCCTGATAGCGAGTCAACAGTTGAGAAACTTTCACATCACCTTCCAAATTCTTCGCCAGTTCGGCCACCTCACCGAAATCTTTCTCCCTCACTAAAACCTCCTTTTCTAAATTTAATAACTTCTCTAAGTGACCTCTTTTTGTTTCTTCCGTGCTCTTCAAACTTTGATCTTTACCTTGTCCTTCTTTTTGTTTCAACCAACTATCAAGATTTTGAATCAATTTTTCGACTTCAGCGTACTTGGAATGAATACTTTGTAATTTCTCTTGAGCGTCAGAACACAATTCTAAGAAGTGTTTCCACGACTTTTCTTGTTCTTCAAAACAATGAATTAAATGGGGATGACCGGGGGTTGAAGTTTGTTTCAAAACAACCTCCAATTGTTGCTTGCACGACTCGATTATCTTATCACCTTCAGGCTTCTGGGCTAGTAGATTCTCAACCATTGCTAATTTAGCTTCAGGGGATTCAGTCGAAGACTCATCTACTAAAAGAGCAGCTTCAGATGTCAACGCACTCAACCAATCGTGGCATTTTTCAATCGCTTGATTGTAAGCTTCGTGATTGGCAACGAAGTCTTCTACCAGCCCAATTCTGCTGTTGACTTCTTCAGCAAGACGATTGTACTTATCTAAATTCTCTTCAAGACTGTTCTCGGCATCGGCGTCTGCTAACTGACCGATTTTTTCTTGCAGTTGCTTCAAAATTTTTTTATGAAGATTAACATCCTGAGCTAGTGTCTTATAGTTGTGCAAAGTTTGCTTCTTTTCGGCTAAAGTAGCATCCAATTTCATTTCAGGCCCTAATTTAGTTTCAGCATCTTCGATCCAGATCCTTACTTGTTGGAGATTGTCGTCAAATGAGTGCCTCTGTATTAAAATTCCCTCAACTTGCTTGTAAATATTATTGACTTTATCGATCAGTCCTTCGGACTTGTCTCTCAAATTCCTCAGTTCGACCCGAATAGCATCTCTATTTTCAGGAGTGATACCTGAAAAAAGTGCCTCTCCGTGTTCCACAGCTTTGGCAAGTAAGACTTGACCGAGTTCTTTTTCGTTTGCAAAACTCTTCAATTCTTGAAGCGTGGCTTGGTTTGGACGTGTTGTAAAATCTGAAAATGTTTTGACTTTCTCTTCGGCTTGGACCAACCAATTTTCGACATCTTGAATACTCTTTCTGTACAAATCTTTGTATCGGTTTAACTCATTTAATTTGTCAAGGTAATTGGTAAGGAATTTGGAAACAGTTTGATATCGAGTTGTCAAATGGTGGGCGTATTGTCCCACACGAGATTCGGGCACTTCTTTAACTAATTGCTCGCTCAGTGGTATCAATTTTCCAATCTCACTCTCATATCTAAGCACTTCAGATTTCAGGTTTTCAATTTCACCAATTTTGGCATCGACTGTATTCAAGTCGATTTGAGTAGTACTTTCTGTTTTGACTCTATTTTCAATTTCTTTCAACCAATTCGAGAGTGAGTCACTCAACTTTTCGTACTGTTCGTGCAAAATTATGTTTCGTTCAAGCAAAGTTTTAGTCTTATTGTAACTCTCTTTAAGGTCATCTAAGTCCAAAAATAAGTGGTCCTTTTCAGCTGTGAGTAATTTTATAGTTTCAGGAGACTCGACTTTCTCTAATAATGTCAAAGACTCTTCCAATTCCTTTCTCCTCGCTTCACAATCTTCCAAAGCGTTTTGGATCGGTACCAATGACTTCAATTTGACTTCTAAATTGTATTTATCACTTGCAGGTTCAGGGAGACACCACTGAATCTTTTCTTTGTGTGTTGCTATAATCCTCTGTAACGCCCCGTATTTCTCATTATGAAACTTCTTCAGGAAACTCATAAGACTGTTTTCAATTTTACTCCCATGGACAATGACACTCTCAAATCTCTTTCTCAACAATTGTTGCTCTTTTGGCAAATTACTCTCGCTGAAACTCGGATAAGTCGCTTTCATTTGTGCAATCTTCCCATCGATTTTCTTAATATCAGGCTCAGAAGCCAAAACTTGGCTCTTCAATTTTCGTACCGTCAAAAGCCGGTCCAATATCTTTTCATTGTCACCTGTTAAATCTTCACATTTAATAATTCCTTCTCTCAAATTTGTAACTGTTGCTCCAACACTCTTTATATTCTCCCTAATCTGGCTTTCCTTATCTCCGTATTTGGAAGCAACCAATTCGAGTTTTTGAGCGTTTGCTTCCACATCTCTAAACTGATCTTCCAATAACTGCATCAAAGACTGAAGAGTTGGAATATCTCTACCATCGGTAAGTTTGACGAGTTGCGCATATTTAGTTGGAACACTTTGACTTAGTCTCTGCTGGGCTGGCAACTCCTCTCGATATCGCGCAAGTTTGGCTTTTGCAGCCTCAACTTCGTTCGGTTTTTCAACAGCCAATGCCAAAATCATATTCTGCTCACCCAACCACTGGAGAAGGCTATTCTTCGTGTCCTCAATATGTTTCCAAATGGTCGCTTGAGATTCAGTCGTTTGGTTGATTTTCATCAATTTTTCGTAAACGCGTGACCAGATCTGGTGGACTTCTTGCACTTCGCTCCGAACTTCAGATTCCGTTCCTGGAAGTAAATCAGCTTTTTTAACAATCGCTTGGCCTTTAAGGTCAACTCTATCGAGATTTATTTTGGACTTTTTTAACGAATCGAGAGCTTTGCGAGCTTTTTCACTATTCAAGTTGGCTTGCATTAAGTCGTTTGGTACTTCCAGACCTTCAACGGTTTGCTCGATTCGCTCGATATCTTTAATTACTCGCTCTTTGGCCTCTTTGAAGTCAGTCCAAGCAAAAATAGTGTCAGATAATTTTAATTTCTGTTCTTTGATATCCTCATTAACACGATTCCAACTGGTCTCAATCTCGGAAATAACACTTTGAATCACTGAAACGTTCTGAATGTCCTCTTTCATCAATTGTAGGGCTTCCTTGCGCAACTCTTCCTTAATTGGCGACTTTTCAATCTGAACTTCGAGTAGTTGATTCAACTGGTCTACTACTAGAGGTAAATCGTGTGAAGTCTTGACACTTCTCAAAATTTCGCCCAGTTTTGCTTCAGTCTGCCCAAGACTGTCTTTGACACGAGTTTGAAGTTCCTCAAATTGTCTCCAATGCGCTTTAACTTTTTCTACATTATCCAACTTATCGGCCAACTGTTGTTTAATATTAGTAGCCCGAATTTCTACTTCTCGGACCATATGGTCAGCACTTCTGGGCAAACCGGTCTGCCGATCCAAAATAATCACATCCATATTGTCAATATCTGGAGCTACTTTCTTCCAAGTTGTAATCTTGGAAATAATTTCCTCGCTTTCTTGAAGAAGTTTTTGAAGATTTTCAGGTGGAACTTTTCCACTGTCTATTTGGTACTTAATATGAGACAATTGGTTAATGGTTTCGCCATGCCAGTTGATCAAATCGCCCCATTTTTCCAAAGCAAGTTTCTTATTTTTTAATTTATCGTCAACTTCTTGGTAACTTTCGACTAAAGTGCTGTATTCGTGGTTGAGACCCTGTGCCTCATCTGGCGACGCTTTTAGGGTGATTTCCTTGATTTCGTCGTATATGCTGTTAAATACCGGTTGTTTTTCCGAATGTTGTTGCATCAAATCATGGACGTTGATAAGTGCGCTTTCCACTTTATCAGCCGGGATTTGATCAATTTCTCCCACGTGACTCTTCAATTGGTCGACCCAATTTGAAAAATCAATCATTTTCGTTTGGAAGTCATGTTTATTTAAAATCGCATCTGAAACTTGATTTATTTTGGCTCTCACTGCTTCGGCCAATTGTCCCACTTGAGTTTTAAGCTCTTGCACTTTTCCTTTCACTAAAGTGGCACCTTCAGGATTCACATGATGACTAATCGAGTCTGCACTTTGTGTCAAAGCTATCACTTTAGCTTGCTGTTCGGAAATCTCATTATTAAACGCCTTCAACTTTGCCAACTCCTTTTCCAACTTCTCGACATGTGGCGTGTTAAGATTTATCGATCGCTCATTCAAAGTTTTCTCACTTTTTTCAATCCATTTCTCTAAATTTTTCGAATTTTTGTCAAAATCATCCCATGTGAGGACTAATTTTTCGAGTTTTTGTCCCCACTGGTGTGTGGTCTCATTGATTATAGTCCACCGAGAGTGAATCGAGTCGATTTCATCCGGTGCGTTTGTTTTCGACGTGATTTGTTGGCTCAAACCAGCGACGTTTTGAATTTTACCAAACTGCAAATCACATTCTTTGGTAAAATTATTGTTCTCTCTTTGAAGAATTAATGCTTCTTCAAGACTTGCCGGTTTTGGGGCTCCCACCTGGATCCGATGTTCGGATTTTTCGATCCATGGTTTAATATCCTGGATGCTAGCCTGGTACACTTGCCAGTTTTTCAAATCTTTGTTAATTGAAGCGGCTTGACTTTCGACGTTTCGGTTAATCGTGACAACGCGTTCTTGCAATTCGACTACTTGAGCTTGGAGTTTTTTCACATCGGGATTGTCCCCAATCATCAAGTTTGAAGCTTCGGCATTCAATTGGTCTAAAAGATTTATCTTGTGGCAGAGCTCCGACTGAAGAAGAGTCGTTTTTGTGACTCGTTCCTCCGGTGGAAGATTGTCTTCTTGTACAGCTGACAACAACTGAGGGGCATTTTGTACCGACCAGTTTTGCAACTCTCCAAGTTTGTTTTGGAAATCGGACCATTTCGTGTTGTATTGTTCTAAGAAAACGACTTTTTCTTGAACATTTTCCAGAGTGGTGTTGAGTCGTTGCTCAATTTCTGTCACTTCTTTCTCAATCTTTTGATCTTGTATACCAAGATTTCGCGAAAGGTCTCTCAACCGGCGTAACATCTCTTCGGTGGCTTCCCTCAAACGTACTGCCATTTCTTGCTTGGCCAACAATTCGGCCGGAAGATTACTCGAGTTGTATTGACTCGGAGAAATCCTCTTCAACTCTTGCTCAGCTCTGTGCAAAAGATCTAAAATCTCTTGTTTTTGTTCCGAGTAATTGAGCCACAAGTGCTGCGTCCCGAGCAATTTGTGATATCTCTCAACTGTCTCATCGTACGTTTCCGTCCATCCACTTTCAAGCCCTTTTACTTCTTCCTGTACAAAAGAGGGCGCATTCGTGTCCTTAACTAACTCTTTACCCTTTTGTAACATTGACATGATATGTGGTCTCTGTTGGTCCAACTGTGAAATTGCAATTTCTTGGTGTTTGATAAGCTCATTGACAGATTCGAGACTCTGAGGCTGTGCCTCACGTTTCGACTGGTCGCGGACACGTTTCAGTAAACTGCAGACTTCTTTAACGTCTCTTCGATAAGTATAACATTTCGAGAGAGTATCGGTTTTGACCATAGTGACCTCAAGAGACGGTATAAGATTTTTATATCGCGTGATTAAAGCTTCTAGTTTCTTCTGCTCGTCAACTGCTTGGTTTTCGGGACAATGTGATGATAGAGAATCCAAAGTTTGGACTAACCATTTCATGTCTTCGCGCTTTGAATCGGCTTCTTTGCAAATATTCTAAAAAAAAAACAGCGGAATTGCAAAACGAGACACAAATTGATTTTTTATGAATTACCATAAGCCTTTTCAACTGATAGCAAAACAGAAATAAAGCTAACGTTATTACAGCAGTTTAAGTCAAGTCAAGTCAAGTCACTTACCTGGAAGATGGCCTTTTCCCGCTCGAATTCCTCCATGGCATTTACATCGTTGAAGATGTTCCTCAACGTGTTGTCAACCTCATCCATCCACTTCACCATAACATCAAATTTCGTATTGTAATGTTCCCACTTTTCCGGAATTTGATCCAACTGTTGCCTCAAAGTCTCAACCTTGCTGTTAAGACTCCTCCACTGTTCTTCTGCTTTGGCCACTGAATCAGCAACCGTTTTATCACCCGGATGATGTTGCGTATACGTCGCTGCGATTTTCCTCAAATTTTCAAGACACCTGGAGGTCTCAGCCATGGGCCCTTGAGCCCCAAAAAATTCTTTGTTTCTGCTCATAATCGATTCGATATTTTCCTGTTTGCTGAACGCGATATACTCGGTTGTAATTTCTTTCTCTATCTCTCTAACGTAATAATTGAAAGCCGATTCGTCCAATCTAAACTCGAGTCGCATCAAATGAAGTGGTGCAAATGAAAGAATTTCTCTCCATTTGTTTTGGAGTTGGTGCACTGAGGCTAGAATTGGTTTGTGTTGCTCTTTCGGAAGACAGTTGCATAAGTCTTGAGCGCTTTGAGAGAGGTCGTGGATCCAGCGCTCGTTCACGCTTTGGAAAAAGTTTTTGTGTTCTTCGACTGTTTCTTTGTTGTCGATTCGTTTTTCGCCGATTAATTTTTCGGCGTTGTTTAGCCAATTGGAAATGACACGTTCGCATTCAGAGAAGTTAAACCAACACCGGATGGCTTCTTGGAGTCTCTGTTCCCACAATTGGGCGTTTTGTGTGACGTAAAGGAACCGGTCGTTCAATTGTTCCATGTTTGCACTCATTTGGGCAACATCTACGTTATCACTTTGGTCCACCGACTTGACAATGTTGGTCAAAACTTTGTTTTTACTATCTAACATTGATTTGTAATACAAGGTTCGAGTAAAGAATTGTTTTAATTTATCTAATTGGTCTTTGAGGGTATCTTTCTCAGCTTCAAGGCTTAGACTACTGAGTAAACTTTCGGCGTTATCTAACCAGTTACTGATTTCTTTCTGACCGAATTCAAGTGACTCCTGCTGGACCAAAAGTTGGTTGTACATGTGTATCTGGGCCGGAAGCAAAGCGCGGACTTTGACAAGACTTTCCTTCTCGTGCTTGAGAATCAACATCATTTTGTCGACCTCCTCTCTAGTCAAATCTTGGATCAAAGTCTGAAACGTTTTGCTGACATTTTTGAAAAGATTTTCAATTTCTTCAACTTCGCCTTGAAGTTTCATCAAATTCTCTATATGTTTTTTGATGCGTTCAGTCGAACCCAGTTGAGGGGAATTTAAAACGCTTTCAGCTTTCCTCAACCATTCTGAGAGAATATCAACTCCAGCACGGAAATCTTTACGATTGCGTAGCAAATCACCAGCTTGGCTATACTTGTTGACTAACGGATAAAGTTTTTCCCAACGATCAGTCATGTTTTGGTAACGTATCTTCAATTCTAAAGCGATTTTGTCTTCACAAGTCGCAATAAGAAAACTCACGGTGTCCCCCAACAACTGGTAATTGTCTCTCCAGACACTAATATCTTGGAAAAACTCCATCTTTTCTTCTTCGGGTAAATTGATTGCCTTTTCTGCTTTGTTGAGCCAGTCGTCAAACTCACCAGAGAGGGAATCCCAGCGGCGCCAATACGCGACAACTTCTTCAATCATGCTTTGAACGCAGCGGAGCTCCATCGAGACGTTTTTCCACCTATCGGCGGTGTCTCTCAGAAAACGATCAATATCGGCCATTTCACGCTTATCTAAAAATATAAACTTAATTCCCTGACGAGCCACACAAAGAGCAGATTTACCAATGCCCCCGTCTCGCTTATACTCCTCAACAACGGCTTGCATGTCAATAAAAGCTTTATTAAACTCTTGAAAAATATGATTCTTCGAAACAAAATTCCTATACTGTTCTAAAATCTGGACGACTCTTTCCAGCCGGCCGTATTTACCACTCCAAGCTTTCAGTTTGGTCTCTGTGAGTTGCAAGAATGCAATAAGGCAACACTAAAAGAAAAACGTTACTCACTCAATTTAAAAATAATAAGTTTGTTACCTTATGTTCAAGGAACTTAAGTTTAACTCGTCTTTGAGCAGCTTTAGGTCCAACTTCGTTCAGTCTAACAGCCATATTTTGTAACTGTTCTGAAGGCACTTCACTTAGAGGAGCTTTACAAGCCTGAGCAAATTTTTCTTGTACCGTAGGCAAGTCGGCAAAGAAAGCTTTATGTTCCTCTAACTTCCTACTAATAATAGATGCAGTCTCTTCGTTCATAATCGTCGGGATTTCGTCACAATAAAGTAATTTCTCGGCTTGTGCTAACCATTCACCCACGTATTTCAAATCGCCCGGTAGGCGTGAATCCAACATCCACAACCAGTACAACAACTGGTTTTGAAGTTTGTCCCATAGTTTCGTAATGTCGTACCAGGATTCTTTCGTTATGGAAATCAAACTCTGACTCTCAATCAGACGTTTCAATTTAAGAAAAACTTTCTCCTTGTCATCTACTTCACTTTTAAAAGCTTGATATTCGGAGTAGTCATTAGGTAATGAATTTGTTTGTTGCAGATGTTCCAAGTATTGTGTTTTCTTCATTAACCAAGACAACAGTTGGCTGTATTCCTCCTGAACTGCTGCTATAGCGTCCGGTCCTGTACTCTTGGGTTCGGGATATTTGTGCAAAAATTGCGCCACGTACGTCATGATCGATCTTTCGTCAGGTTTCGGCACGTCTACGTCTTCAGGATCTAGCAACCTGGTAATTCCTAACTCATTTTCAGCAACGTCAAAAGCTGTTTCAAGTCTAGTCCTATTTGAAGCTTTCTTCAGTTCGGCTATATTAACCAAATTCTTCTTAATTGCGTCTATAATAGCAAGAAAAGCGATGCCATCACGCCAACTAGCGCCAAAATCTTTGATTTCAATCCCGGAATCGTTGGGAAGTGCGTTGGAAACCCAATGGAGGAGAGTTTTGCGCGCTCCTAACTTCCATTTGTCCTTAGAAGATGAAGTTCCAGCACTTTCAAGACTGCTGGAGCTATCCCAATGGGCCAAATATTGCAAAGCTCGAGTGTTTTCTTCAATCTAGTCGGAAAAAATCAAGTGTGAGAGGAGGAAACAAAAATTGGAAAAAATAAAGCGCTACTTACCCATCTAAATGCCCACTCCTTGCGAAGCTTTGAGAAGAAAAATTGAAAAAATGCGAGCTTTTACCGGACTAAGTCTACTCAACGAAGCCACTACACGAAATACAACCACCAAAAATAGACAGTTACCTGGAAGTATAAAATGATGGTCCAAATAAGACCGAGGACGACTGGAGGTCTCCCGTCCACCAAGTCGCTGGCGTTGATGTTGACCAATTTGATGCGTTTCCTGGTGAGGAACTCTAGGGCTGTATTAGCGTTACTCAGAAAGTGGGGTCTTCGCAAGATTCTGCCTCTCTCCACAGGCTGAAAAAATCGATCAAAAGAATACTTTTAAGGGAGGAAAATTGTATTACCAGTTTCTCTCCCGAAAGAACTTCGAGCAATGCGAGCAATTTCGTTCCGTCTTTTAGATCGTCAATCAGATCGTCTACCCGAAGCGGTGGAACTCGCTGGAAAAATGAAATAATGACGTCAGATTTGGTTGCATGAGCTACAGTTCTGTACCAAGCACCGACCCTTCATTCACTAATTACAAAAGTTGTACTCCCATCAATCTGGGCAGATTTGTTTACGTGTAAAGCGGGACATTTACCTTGGATAGATAAGAGTTGATCCAATTGACGAATGTTTTCTTTTGAACTCGTTCCTGTTCATCTGTAACAATAAGAGCCGACAATGAATGGTAATGTCTATTATCGAATTTGAAAAAGTTGCTACAATGGACTTGGCATTATTTTGTTGCAGCCTTGACTCGTAACACTTATCAGCGGTTAATTTTAGATTTTGTTTCTCGGAATTGATTTCATCAATGATCCCTTTAGATTTTAGCGCGGTCGCGACCTATGAACTTTTCCTGGCCTACGGCTTTGACATTTCTGCGTGTTGCGGCTGCATTTCTCTGTATATATCAATACAGAGTGTTTTGAAATTCAAAGAATTATATTTAATCAGTTAATCACAAAAAGAACTTCAAATATTTTCTTTCTCTTTTTTTTAATTTTGAGGCCATTTTTTTATATAGCCAATTGCATAATAAGAGTTTATTAGTGTCAATTGATCCGAACTGAAAAAAAATTCTACAAAGCTGAATGGATACATCTTATGCAAAGGTCAAATGATCGTAAAAGCCACAACAAAACCTTGTGATGGTCAGCAGAGTGACCTTCTCAAACTTTGTTGTTATAATTTTTCACTGTAGATCCCTATTTTTGAAAATGTGACAATTGCTATTTTTATTCATTACGAGATGATTCAGAAAGTAACATAATTATTATCTTGTGTATTTACAAAGATCAGTGCTGAATAGTGCAGTTATATCATGACCTAAACATGTCGCCTACGAGTAAATAAAGTCAGCCAATAATAGCAACAGTTTTAAGTTGCATTACAGACTTAACTGACCTTTTTATATCAATGGGAGTGAACAATTTATTAAGCATACAGATTCAGAAATTACTTCCACCTATCATGTTTAAATTATTATGTTGTTTGTTATATAACCTAAAATAACAAAGATAATTGGAATTGGAAACAATGTGTGTTTACTAAATCGATAACACATTTACGTGCGTGTCTTTGCGGTTGAATTAACCAAATTATTGATTTCGGAATTGATATGTAATTAATTAAAGCATTTAAGTCGTTAGGTCTTTATAAGGACCACACTTTAAATATAATAAGCCATTATCCTATTTGACTGCCTTTTTTTTGAATTCATAAATCGACAAACGAAACTGTAATTTCGTTATTTTTTCTTTCAAAAATTTTCTTAATGAAGTTTGAAAAATTAAATATAATAAGCCATTATCCTATTTGACTGCCTTTTTTTTGAATTCATAAATCGACAAACGAAACTGTAATTTCGCAATTTTTTCTTTCAAAAATTTTCTTAATGAAGTTTGAAAAATTATCAACAAAATTTTAAAAATTAAAACACGTAAGAAAATTTTTGAAAAACCTTTTTTTCATTTCCAGATCCAAAAAATGTTCTATTAAATTTGCTCACAAAAACGTTGTCATGAAAATTTTTGTCAACAGTAGAGAAACCAAATACAAAGTATGCATTATCAAGTTTCATCTTCAGAAAACCACTATCTACGAAAATAAAGAAAATCAGAACCAAAACCTTCGATTTGAAAAAGAAACTACAAATTATGAGTAAGAACTGCCAAACTTGGGAAAAGCGCTTAAAGTTTTCTTTTTCTATTATTCTTTTAGAAAATAAATTTTTTCGGTATATAAAAATATATTTTTAAACTACGTTTTTATTTTTTGTCTTATTTATAACTCGTAACTGTTATGACAGCAACTTTGCAATTTCTTGCAACTCAAAAGATAAGAATGATCTCAATGTAAATATTTTGTCTTCCATAATGTTAAAACTAACGGAAAAAAATTAAACTAATTTGTATATTAACAATATTTTATCTTTACTTTCAGTTCACAACTTGGTCACAATACACATTGTTTCTATTACAAGATAAAAATAGCTGTGCTAAATACACATTTTTTCTTATCCATTAACCAATTTACTGGTTTTAGCTAAATTAGTACCAATGAGTTCAAATTTAGTGGTAAAAATGCAATATGTGCGTTATCAATTATTTTTTAGTTGTTACAACACAGTTAACTGGTATTTTGCACGCAGATATTAAAACAGAGTGTGTAGTTAGGTACTTAACAAATTAACTAAAGACCCGGATTTGAGTTCCAATTTAATTTGTTTGCTGATAAATTTAAACAAAGTTATATTTGTTTTTGCATAACCTCGACTATGACCTTACCAAGATTTTTCTCCTGGCCCTCCGTAAACAATCCAACTTTAACTACGCGATTTAATTATAACAAGCGACACCCGAGATCAGTATCAAGCGCCGGCAATTAAGATAGCGTTGTTTGATAACAAACACCCAAGATGTTCTAAATTCTTCAGCACATTTCGCATCTTAATCGATCATTATTTTGTCGTCAGTGGCAACTGTTGATGACACAGATATCTCCCCGCGGAAATAGGGTCAAAAATTGCGTGACGAAAACCGAAGACATGTGGACAAATACCATCAATAATAGCAATGCAATAAAAATGTCATCATCGTTCCATAAAGGCAAATTGATTATGCACGCGATATCGTAAACTAAAATAATTCGTAAAAATAATCATGATGCGGTTTTTAATTCGCACCGATGGCGTCATGTGCTGTTTGTTTAGTTACGCGACAAGTGGCACCCATCGCGGAAATCTCCCGCGAGAAGACACTTGCGGCACGTGACGGTGCACCAGGCGAGCCATTCAAGGTGTGGAAACAGGAAGTATAACATGTAATCATACTGAAAGTGAGTTAATTGGATTCACGATGATTTTGGAATCTACTATTTTTTGACTTAGTGCCAGTAGAGTTGTAATAAATGGCATTGCGTTAAGTGCACAATGTATAAACACTAGGACATGACAGAAAACATATGGCGAATGTAAAACTTGGAAAAAAGTTGTAAAATAATAGACACTTAAGTGCTTTCAGAAAATAACCATATAAATAAATTGACAGCACATACTTAAACACAACAATAGGTGTAACAATGGATGTGTTAAGCAGTGGCGGCGATTTTTCACACTGTTGTTATTTTAAGGTGCTTACCACACACATCATATTTGGATCTATTCGTTATTTAATAAAAAAGAATAGTCATAAATTTTATGTGACATTATAGAATAATATTATTTTTAAATTTACCGACATTTGTACTTTTTAATAACCATAAATTATTTCTTGCCACACAGGTCATACAGAAAGGAGGGAATATACACAACATAATTCTATTAAAATTTTTGAACAAAACAAAAGAAAATAACAAGAAAAATTGAAATTGAGTATAAAATAATATAGCGTTTCCCAAAAGGGATTTTAAATTTATAAACATCTTTAAATAAGAATTCAAAGATATATTTTTAAATTAACATATCGCACATGGGCGACAACAGTGCCATAAGTCACAAAAACTGATTTTCAAGATCTTTAATGCAATAAGTGTAAAATTACTCATAGTTTACCTATGCTAGAACACTGATATAAAAATATTTTTAAAATTGGTCCCAAAATGGTGAAAATAAATTGATAAATATCTAGGAACTTTATTATGCAAAAAATAAGGCATTAGGTATCTCGAAATTCAGATTTTAGTACTTATGACACTGTTGTCGCCGATATGCGATATGTTTTTTCCAATTTTCCTAAAGTTATTAAACTAACTCCCTAAAATTTAAAGTCGGAGGTTGCTGATAAGATAAAACATAAATTTTGCAAGCAAACAATTTCTTGTGCAAGCATTTAGTTTAGAAGATTTTGCTTTATGTATTATCCTTAAATAAAATGGTATTTAAGAAAAAGACCTTTTTGTCCATATATAAAACCATATAAGTACCCACGCACTTGTTCGCAAACAAGCTATTTTTGTAGTTTGGCATAACTAAATTGTCACTGTCATATCATAAGAGACAATAAAAATAGTTGGTAGGTATCGCAAAAGGATAAAAAGCAATAAACGACTATAAAAATTGCACTATTATTCCCTAATTGCAGTATACTTTGTACCTGATATTGCGGATGGTTTTACTAACATAATTACATTACATTGAAGATTCCATTAACTCATTATAAAATAAATAAATATGTAGATAAGTATTTAAAAAAAAAATTGTGAAAATTCTTAAATCAGCGAATTAATTTGCAACAATTATGCAAACGAAGTGGCTAAAATTGTCTAATTTTAGAAATGATGAAAATATTGATTCAGGAGGAAGTGACCTCAACCTTCATTTTAAAAAAAAACACAAACATTCACCGACGCTGTTTTTAATAACAAATGGCAAAGTATTCACCGGCGCCTCTGCCTCTAATTAATTCAATAAACAATAAATTACACCTTCTATATAATTGATTATTATTATTTGCCACCGGCATTCCATTCCTCTGTCTAGGAAAATGGGGGGTCTAAATGCATCTAACACTCGATGCCATAATAGACCTATTACACAATATTCTCCCAAAAAAATGTTTGTATACTTATTAACAATTTGTCGCCTATTGGTAGATAACTTGAGTATTACGTTGCGTTTTATAAATAGAACGAATTGAATTAGCATTAATTAAGATTTTTACAGGGGTACTCGCGTTGCAGTAAACAGTCAATAGAAAAATTTCAAACCCTGACCTCTAATACTAGCGATGTGCTCGTCGTACTGACTCTTGCTCCGGACGTACTCTAGTTTATTGGAACCACTTTGAAAACTCTGAGTCCTATACTCGCTGTACCATTCCGAACTAGAACTAGTCACTTTGCTGCTATTGCTGGCATTGTCCCATTCGTCTCGATTTAATCGTTCTCTGGAGGGCGTCCTCCTCAGACTCTCCTCTGAAGGAATACGCCCCGTCAGACTCGAAATACTCGAAGTTTTCGAACTTGTCGCCAAATTTCCGTTCGATTGGGTCAAATAGGCCGAATCCTCCAGCAGCAGTTCTTCGGAGGGAGTCCTGCTGCTGATTGTTCGGACCGACTTTCGGACGGTTACTTTTTCGAATTTGACGGTCTTCACGCCGGACCCTAAATCCCCTTCTTCAGTGGTGGTAGTGATCGTCTCCTGTCAAAAGGGCCAACAGGTGAGTATGACGTCAAAAAGGGCCTGCGTCCCGATTAGCCGGCCAGACCCCCATTGACGTTTCACCGCCAATCAAGATCCGGCCCCTCCCATCGCGAATTTGAAAAATCGAAAACCTGCCTGGATGCTGCCGTCCGGATGCACTTCGTGGGTGTGCACATGTCTAGGTGTGTGCCGAAGGGTGACCTGCTCCAGGCGGCTCCTCTCCACGTTCCGCACCCTCTCCTCGGCCAAGCGCCGCTCGAACTCCTCGACGTCGACGCTGCTCACCGCCCCGACGACGCCGGACTTGCCCCCGGACCACACTTTTTCGAAAAAGCTAACGCGGTCTCGGAGCCGTTTGCCGGTCGGAGTAGTCGGACTGTCCGGAGGCCGCTTGGGCCCCTCGGTGGGGTCTTTGTCGGGTGCACTCATGGTGGCGGTTTGTTTTTCCAAGCATCTGTCATCGGTGGATTGTGAAATTGGCTTTTTAATTCGTTTGGAGTTTGCGTTGTCGCGAGTCGCGAGACCGTTCGATACTGAAGTGAACATGAGTGGAAGGACGAGACTCCGGGTACACGGAGCGAATGGACTTCGTCGGACGGAGTCGAGACGTCGATGGCGGGGACCGCCACTAACATGTTTCAATTTATTTAAATCAAAATTTTCTTAAATCAAATTAGACTTTCCACATTTATGTATAATAAAAGCTAGGTAAGGTATGCAATTGCTAAAGTTTTTACAATATTTGCGAAACACTTAGGTATAGTTGTGTTTACTTTTATAAAAGAAAAAACGATAACATATCTGCCGGTGTTATCAAAAAACTTATAACATGAAAGTTTAATTTTTTTAAATCACATGTTTACTTAATTCACAATCAGTTAGATAAATAAAAAGTGATTTTACCGACGCAATACCTGAGTTAAAGTAGAGCTCGTAGAATTTTAATATTTTTGGAGATTTATAATTATTAATATCAGTTCGTGGTCCTAAACTAACAACAATACAAAAGCAAATTTATCTTAAAAGTGTAATTGCTTCTCGGATTATTACCAATATCACTGACGCAAATTCATCTTTAAAAAAAATTAAGCTTTTCATTTAACTTAAAGCTTAATTAAAAATTAGCCCAATTTCTGCACTTGTAATCACTTGTAATATAAATGATATATTCTGTTTTTCTAGACTTATGGTTTAAAAAGTAGTGAAATAGCAACTAAAATGTAAAACTTAAAACATCAAGATTAAGCAACAATAATTTTAATATTTTAAAGTTCTTAAGACATTTGTTTCAGATTCAGATAAATATAACATTTCAAGTAAAAATATAAAGAAATACATAACCAATAGTCGGTAGGTTTGTAGAACTCTTGGGAAAAAAATACAAGATTTTTAAAAAGGTCTAAACCATGGTAATTTATTATAAAATTTAAAAAAGTAATATGCGAAAAATGTGTTACAATCTTCGTAAGTAATGTTGTTTTTGTAGTAAGTATTATTTTTGAGTTGAGATGTCTCAGTGCACAACTCGCTTAAGCGGGCTCCTCCTGCCTTACAAAAAAAAAATATTTTTTAGTTTGTGAACTATTTTCCTTATAAATTAGTAAGTACCTATCAAATTACATAAAAAGTATTTCAAAAAAATCTTTACATCATATTTAAATAAAACAGTCACTTAAATCAAAGTCAAAATATTGACACGTACCAAAATATTATTGCTCTCAGGATTCACTTAATTTTTGTTATCGAATTTTATTTGAGTATATTTTGTTGAATACATAATTTTAATATACGTTTAAATAAAAATTGTCACTTTTTGTTCACACACACAAAGTAAATTACAAATTTTAAAACGTGTTAAATTCAAATTTGAAAACTGTAAAGTCTAAATGTGAATCACCTTTGAAATTATCTTCATCAAAATTACAACTATTAATTAAAAAATATTGTAGAGGTCATATACAAATGATATTCGCTAGATGAATATAATTATAATCCAAATTATTCATTTTTAAATCTTATGAAACTCGTTCCCAAAACTGCAATGACTGTGAAAAAAGCACAATAATTCATCATTCTTATAACTATTAAAATTAATTTAAAAATCCATTTGCACTTAAGAAAGTAAAATTTATTGTAAATACATGACCACAAACACAATGTTTTAAAATAATGTATTATAGAATTATTGTAATGCTACCAAAATTTGAAAGTTATGAACGCTTAAAATCTCTCCAAAAAGAAGAAACATTTAGGCCTTATTTAATCAATAGCAGCTTAGAGATCGTGGTCTTCAAGGGTTCCTGGAGCATCAGCGTAAGACCTTATCGTTCATATAACCCCAACCACCAACAGTTTAAAATCGTTCGATAATTTTAAATTCAAAAAAGGAAAAATCACGCAACTATAAGATTACATCAAAAGAATTTAAAAAACATCAACATTTAAACAAAATCTATTCTTTGTAAAAAAAATCTGTGTATTTTTAACTCCTGTATAATACCTACCATACTACCCTACTATCTTTTAAATTAACTTTCAATTCGAAATTAGAACAATTTACTTATATAAATCGTAAAGTATACGTACACAATATTTCAAAAAATGTTTAACTTATTCCAATAGCTTTTTCCTGGAAATAACTATATCTTAAAATCAATTAATTAATTAATTAAAATATCTATTTTAAATACGCTGACATTCCTAAAAATCCGGATTGTTTCACTATCCAATGCAAATTGACGTTATTCGGGTCAATTCTTGCCCAAAAAAATCAATTCAATCCCCTAAACAAAATGTCAAAAACGCCCAAAATTTCACAACACATTTATATTGCATCTGTTTAGCATTCAGAAAGCGTCACCTTGATACACCAAGGTCGTCCAATTCAGCACCCAACAAAGTGCACTTTATGTGTATTTACTATTAACACAATTACTTTGATTAATGATTTAGCCGAGAACCAGTTTTCAAATAGGATTATTTAACAGCAGTCATCAACTACAATAAAATCACAAAAACATAACGTAGGCGTGTATTTGCATCATCCACTAAATTAAACGCAGAAATCGATCCCCTAAATAATTACTGACCCACTAAGTCCGACGTCTCCCTCAGGAGCGTCGGCGTCCCCCTGTTTTACCGAATTTATGCAAATAACCGGAAGCGCACATGTAGTGTGTGTGAAGTAGGTCAGTAGTCATTATATCAAGCAGCCAGTCATGAAAAAATGAAAATAAGCGAGACCAGCTATCGAGTGGTAGCCCCATGTAATCGATAGCCGATTTTTTCGGAGCGCGGTTAACGACCGACGGTGACACTCGCTCAGAAAGCGCATCGTAACATGCGAACATGCAAACGATGACGTCGGATTTTTCGTATAAATTAACGAAAAAATCAGTGAAAGTCGAGACCTCGGCTGGACGGAACGGTGTCAAGGCTGAACATGTTTCGGATGAGGCGATAGACTAGACTATAATTTTTCAACGCGAGGACGTCTGCAACTACTTATTCGTTGACGCGTTTATGCGAGTTCCCGAGCGATTAACCAATTAAAAATTCATCTTATGGTGTTTCAATTGGCCGACGACGGGAACCGTCTCGAAAATCGATACAATTCCGGTTGTCTTGCCCCACACCCGATTTATTTTCGGATATTACGAGTCAGCAGTCAATTTGAATTGTTTTCTAAAAAATGTTTGTTAAAAACTGACCGATTTAGCCATGAAAACAGTCTGCTACGTCTGATTCATCAGTGGATTTGTATTTATTAATATCCAGTTTAATTCGTTTGAAAATAAACCGCTTTTTCCGATTCGTTGCTCCTAGAAGATTAGTATCGCGGTTTACGAGTTGGTAACACGATAAGATCATTTGCACGCCATCTACCACCAAACGCTATCACTGACTTTGAAAACTATCATTGCTTTTTAAATACTAACTGTAGAAAGAATCAAATTATTCGGCCGTATCGGACCCAAAATAGATCGCATCTCGTTTGACACAAGACAAGTTTCAACAGCTGAAAATACGATATTTACATAATTATGTTGCAGTAGAAACGATTATGCAACATTTTCAATAAACAGGACCATCTTATTCATCGGGCTTAAAATAGCAGCAATGGGGACAATAAAAATAAAAAAAACAAATAGTGTAACTTGGTATTTCCCATTGCAAATGATTTTATGACGCAAATTTGCTATATTGCTTTGTCTCAAATGTCACTGAAGCACTCGAAATGCAAAGCGAGTTCCGCTCAAAGAAAATCATTGAAATTTTAATAAAGCATTGATTAAATTTATAAGAGATTGTCCTGTAATTTCCTCGACCACAAATTTTCTTTCTAAAATTCCCTGATACGTAGGTAGGTACACTTCTAGAATCTGAGCAAAGTTTTATCTTCTGAATTAGAATGTTTGCTTGACATCACACATCATTCTAATTAAATTAAAACTATAGAAAAATTCCTAGGTGATTTTTTCTAATAGAAGAATATTTGTCCAAGTTTTAAATTGTTGTTTTTTTTTCACTTTGAATTAAGTAATTATAACATCGACGATTTTTTTAGGTTTATTTTTATACGAAAATATTGCAGTAAAATAACTAATCAACTTTTTTAAGAAACAAAACTCTTCTACTGATTTCTCAAAATTTATGATATAAAATAGAATCGCCACTACTGTTACTATTCTGTATCCCAGATTGTTAAAAAGTAACAAAAAGACTGTAAAAATTAGGTTAGTGATAATAGAACACACAAATCAACTTTTGCCTCGTGATCATGTTAAGTCTACAACTTCTGTAAATATTTTTTTTTTAATAAAACAATAAAATTATACAAAAAAACGCTTATTTCTCAACCGTCTACTCCCAAATTACCAATCACTCTAATCAAACTAACGCAACGTCATATCTTATCCGTGATAAGATAATAATAAATAAATCATCAGCGTAACACCACCTTCAAAGTCAGAGTGTTAATGAAAAAACACCGAAATGGACGAAATTCCTACCATTTCCAATGAAATTAACGTATTCAAAGATGCCATCATGGACGATAACGTTTTGGTAAAAGGTCCTCCAAATAGCATTAGTTTTAAGCTTGTAGTTTTCAGATTCAAGTGGATGCCATCAAAAGACTTCCAGCTCTGGCTGCCACCATCGACGTCGAGCGTACCCGCGAAGAACTAATACCGTGTTTGGCAAATTGCGTCGATGCATTAACGGATGAGCCGAGTTTCAATCTAGCAGAACAATTGGAACGCTTAGTTCCGTTTGTAGGGGGGAAGGATCATGTGGGGATCCTTTTGAATATATTAGTTAAATTAGCTTGCGAAGATGAGTTAATAGTGAGGGAAAGAGCAGTGGAATCGATGAAAAACATCTGTAAAAGTCTGGATAAAGAGCAATGCGAAAAGTCGTTTTTTCCGTTAATTGAGGGCATGATTAGTAGTGATTGGTTCACGACAAAATGTTCGGCGGGGTGTTTAATAGCTGTACGTGAGAAAAAATTCAAAACAAATCAGTTACACATTACGTTTTTGCAGATGAGCTATGAGAAAATGTCGCAGGAAAAACAAACAGAATTGAGGAACTTTTTCCGCAATTTAATCCAAGATGAATCACCGATGGTAAGACGTTCTAGTGGCACCAGTCTTATCGACTTAATTTCAGTACTTGATGTGGAAGTGATCAAATCTGAATTCGTACCAGTTTTTGATAATTTGGCACAAGACGAACAAGTGAGTTTTCAGTAATAAAATATCAGTTTTCGTGACTAAAAATTTTAGGATTCTGTTAGAACCTTAGCTGTGGATGTTGGAGTAGCCATTTCCAAAAAACTTAAAGATTTTGAAGTTTACGAGTACTTAATGGCAACGTTTAAACAATTATCCGAAGACGAATCGTGGAGAGTCCGTCAAAGAATAGCTTTCACGATCCATGAAATCAGTAATTCAGAAAAAAACCGTGAGGAAATCACTAAAATTTACTCAAAATGTGTCAGCGATGAAGAATCAGAAGTTCGAGTTTATGCTGGGAAAAACATGTACAATTTCACCCTCAACCTCTTGGAAACTTTCAAAAAAGAGGAAAACTGGGAGGACAATTTTGAAAAATATTTTGAGGAGAATATCACACGTGAAATCCATTTAATGTTAAGAGATCCAAACGACGACGTCCGATTGGCTCTTTCCACTAACATTCTTTCTTTGAGTGCTATCCTACGCGACGATTGCTTCAACACCAATATTTTGCCCTTAGTGATCGACGCTTTAGAAAACGAAGAATTCATGCCATTTAAAGAAAACATGCTCAAAAATTTAAATTCACTTCCGACAAACGTTGATATAACCAAATCCCTCAAATCCATAAGAAGCGTCATTCAGAATTTAATCGAAAACTCACAAATGCATTGGAGGACCCGAAGAAACCTCCTCGTGGCATTTATGCACATTTCCAAAACCGCAACAAGCGAATTTTTTGACAAAAATTTGAAATTCTTCTACCAATACCTTCTAAATGATCCAATTTATTCAATTAGACGAACCGCACCGTTGATTCTTCCCTTGTTAGTAAAACAATTTGGAATGAATTGGGCTAAAGAGTCACTTTTTCCGATTTTTGAACCGTTTTCATCAGACCCTCGATATTTGTTTCGATTCAATGCGCTTTTCGCCATAGAAGAATTGTTGGAACCAACTCTAGATTGTGTAAAAGAAACCAGTGTCAAAGACGGGAAATATTTGACCGATTTTAAAGAAATAATCCAACAGTCGGACAAATCAATTAAGACTTTGGCAAAAATAGTCAAGCTAAATGAAAAACTGTGTGGAAAACTCAATTCGTTAGACTTTACCGAAAATTTCAACTCTCAAGACAATTTGAATTTTTATGCCGAGGATACTTTAGAAAATTTAAAAAAGGAGCAAAAGTTTGAAATTTATTTGATCGAACTTGAAGAAGTCGACAATTGTTATTTGGAAGGTATTCTTCAAATGCTTGATCAAAGTTTTATCAACGTTATCAAGGAATTACTTGAGGATTCTACGCAGAATGTCCAAGATCGTGCTAAACAAACTCTGACACTTGTCAAACGTTTTTGTACAAAAGTGAAACAAGAAGCGGACGAAAGTTGGGTACAAGAAGCTCTCAAACTACTAAACGAAGAAGATTTCAAGAAAATAGAAGACGAAATAAATTCCAAACCAAGTGAAGAAAATGTCTCCGAATGTGAGACGATCGATTGTGAAATGATTGAAACAAGTGATGAACAAAATAAAAATGAAAACATTGACGACAATGAAGATAATAATGCTGAATGTAATAATGATCATAAAGAAAATGAAAATAATGATGGTTGTGACAATGATAATTTTAACGCTGAACGTAATAATGATGTACCTGAGGTGGATAATAAATAAAAACACATGTATTATAAAAATATCTCTATTGTTTTTTATTTTTCTTATTTTTACTTTCGCTATCGCTGAACAATTTCTGACTAAGTACTCTGTACTTTAGCCTTACATTTTGCTTAAACTTATCAGGAATGATCATCATCATGGTCGTGATATTTCCAACAGATAAAGTGAAAAACAACTTTGATAACGTACTTACATGCCAAGTGGCATCCTTTAAGTAACTTAAATTGTACAGTGAATAGGCTAAATAGAGTTGAAAGAAGTACACAACAAACAAAAACGGAAATAGAAAACTAAGTCCCCTCCACATCCAATAATGGAACCCTTCAATTGTAATATCCATATTGTCCCTCACTCCCAAGGCTTTAAGTCGATAAAGTACTCCTTGTTGGTACCGAAATTGCAGATACTGCACCACACTGATATAAGCATTGAATATCATAAATTGCGTCCTGAATTGGTTCCAAGACTCGCTTTCTGGCCAAATTAAAAGAATTGCAGCTGTTATCGCCGAGATGTAGTGATGCACCATCCACCATCCCTTAATTTTTGATCCGTTGACCCTTAAAATGCTTTCTCTGATAGTGAGAGTGGAATAATACCAAACCAGTATAAACAAATACAGACGTTCCAATCTCCGACTTATAAAAAGCAAATTGACGATCGAAAAAACAAACGCCAACGCACTCACAATCAACTTGAACTTTTCATACTCGCTCTTATACTTGAGCTTGTCTTCTTTATTCAAAATAGAGACATTGACGTTACCCAAAATCACTTTCAAGTATCTTCCATTTTCCTTCGGCAACGTCTGCTGAATCTCGTGTAGTTGCGCCTCACGCTTGAGAATTTCTTCTTTGAGATCTTCGTATCGGTCATCTTTTGAGCGTTTGATGGTGTTATTGATGATACCGATGCGATATTTTTGATGCTGGATGTGTTTTTGGCACTCCTTTTGGTACTTGGTGACCTCGGTGAGTTTCTCTTGATAAATTTTATTGACGGCTTCTAATTGTTTAAAATCTTGAGACAATTCGCGCCAGTCGTCAAATACTTGCTCGGCCATCGTCACACTTGCACTAACATTGGATTTATGATTGGTTTATTAAAAAAACGGACGTGAACGATTAGATACAAGGAGGGAGAGAGAGATATTAGTGTACTTTGTATTATCTTTGCTCCATGAACCGAGTATTTACCTTGATAATGACCAGGTATAACGACTTGAATTGTCCTCGTTACGTAAAAATTGCTAATCAAAAAATTATTAATTAAATAAAAATTGAATTAATGCCTAGAATGTGGCTTCCAAAAAATAATAAAATACAAATAAAACAATTATTATGATTAATTATCAAACGCGGCTACTCTACTAACACCATTCCCCAAAAATATTTACGCAAATGAACGTATACACCCAAAATTAGACCAAAATCCGTGCCAATTTCAAAAATATTCGGTTAACAACCTCCTTTACATCAAAACCCGATTTTAGTGTGCAATTACGTATTCAAGGCGAGCAACAATCATCCAATTTTGCTATTTACATAATCGACTAGAATAGCCTAATTTTTTCTTACCTTGCAACTGGTAAATGGTGGCTTGATATTCTGCAAGTTTCTCATCGATGTAGTCCTGAGATTGATTCGCAATAATTTCTGCCGTCGAAGGCCCACTTTCTTCTTCATCGGGTTCATAATTTTGGGGCAGAGGTGGCGGTTGAATTGGTACCCCGACGTATTCGAATTCGCGGGATGGGGGGCCAAAATCCGGGGAAAACGTATGCGGGCGAAAATATTCCGGAGTGGGAGAGTAAGGGTGGACACCCCGGAAATATTCAGGGGAAGCACCGCGAGGAGCCGGAGAAGGCTGGAAAAAAATGACAGCTTGTCAAGTTCAAGTTTTTTTGTTGTTAATTTTGATTATTTTAGGAAAAGCAGAAGATTGTACGTTTTATTATCAATCAAATTTTTATTCAAGCATGTTTTGCAGTGAATGAAGGAAATGGCAACAATAACAACAAGTTCAATGTTGTTCTATTTTTGGCCAAAACTAATACCTGTGAGACTTACAGTCAAGACAGTGGAATTCGATTTTTACAATTTACTGAAACTAAAAGAGTTAAAGTAAATACTGTTTTTAACTTTTAAATGAGTTTTTTTTCAAGTTAATTTTAGCACTGTGCCACCAGTATTACCGAAAATCAGCCGGTGGAAACCTGCACATCACAGGGAAATGACTGTGAAGAGTTGCTCAAAACCGGAATTTATTCCTTAATTAGTTTTTGTCGAAACACGATGGGTATGACTACAGCAGTAGCTTCGGTGGACAATGATACATTCAGTGATGGTCTGAGATTCAGAAAATCAACTTCTGAAGATTTAGAAATACGATATCACCACCCTAGAAACATCCGAAGTCGCTTTGGTGTCTCCTCTAATCAAAAAATCCAACCGGATTCACACTTAATAACCCAACCGGAACATACAGAAGTTTTCAGAATTCGATCCAAACGAGAGTTTCATATTGATAACAACAATCAAGGAATGACACCAGTGGATGAAAATGACCCAAACTTTGACATTTTTGGAATTATGGCCAATATTAAGTTAACCTTCTTTGGAAAACTATTCGATCAAGAGAAACCCGCTAACCAAAAACCGATAGCACAGCTACAGAATAATGTCATGAATCAAATAGGGAAAGTCTCAGAAAATTCCCTCTTTGATTTAGTCAAAGAAACACTGAATAACGTCCAGGATTGTCAAAATGGTTTTCTCATGATAGTAATAGGAGGGTGCTTGAAAGACATTTCAGACATCTATTCACCTCTAATGCAAAGTGTTAAACACATTGTGGAGAATACTGATCCACAAAGCACCCTTATTGTCCTTACAGGACAGTGTCCCGCTGGTGAAAATAATAATAACCAAGAGTTCACGATTCCTGTTTATACCAGAGGTCCTCCAAAATGTAGTGGAATCGCAGTTTCAGAACAACTTTACGATGTGCCCTACGCTATAAAAAATATGTTAACCGAGAATTACGGAGGTAAGAAATAACACTATTTATTGTATTTCTGGAAAAATGGGTTTTTAATGGCGTCGTAAAGATTTAACGAGACTTGTGAGGGATTCATTGTTTGATGTCTTAAAGCTTCACAGTTTGCAAATTATTTATTATGATTGCATGTGCTTAAGTCTTTATGGATTAATTTTTTATTTTTTTAAAGTTGGACAATTTAAAATATTAATGTGGGTAATGTGGGCAAATAGGTACTGCAAATAAAATAATCTTATTATTAAACATTATTTTGATTCAAATTTTTTCCTTCTTCAAGTTATCTATTCGTTTTCAGTTATTCTTATTATACTCAACTTTTTTCACGTTTTTATAATTTTTTGGATGTTTGTACAAAGTATTTGGTTATTTAGTAAAACAATGGAAATTCTTAGGAGAATCTTCGACTTTGTTTGGTCACTTCTTAATTAAAATTATTTAAAAAAACTTAAAATTTTACTCTTGCTAAAATTTTTGAATTAAATTAAATTTTAAAAGTACCTACTTATCTTCAACTTAAAATTYAAATCAATTTCTAATAAAGGCCTATTATTATTATGATTATTAATTCTTAAAAATTTAAATTTTTGCATAAAATCACAACAGCCTTTTCGTATAATTTCTCATAAAGCTTGACTATTTTTGCCTGCTAAAATGTGTTCTAATGAAATCCTAAAATTTCCAAAAACTCTGATTTTAAACAATCAAATTTGCTTGTTCGTCTTGTGCTATATTGTAAAAATTGATATAAGAAATGTATTTATTTTAAACTAATTTTAAACAATCCAACTCTTAACATTCAATGCCAAAAATTCACTAACAAAATAATTGTGTTAGTATACTTAATAACACTTTATTAGACATCAATCTGAAGGCCAAGTCTTAATTATCATTAAAAATTTTCCTAGAGCGACTTTGCTCTTAAATCGGACCAACCTTGTCCTACTCCACCCATTTTCTATTCCGTATCAGTAAATCCCCCATTTCTTCCGTTTCAGGGTCCTTCTTCCCAAACATCAAAAGTAAAAGAAGCAAACGCAACACTCAACAAAAACGAAACAGTGCGTCACCCACTCATCCCTCCTTCCTGTTCACCCTTTTCCTTGCATATCTCACAACTTTCTAAAAATAAATTCCTCCCAGACACTCCTTGCTACTTACTGGATGCATGGGCATCCTAAACGGCCTCGGTCCTGGAGGTGGCGAAAATCCGGGGGGCACAGGCGACATCGCTGTCGGCCATCTCGGCCTCGGGCACGCCATGTAAGGCAACCGATTGCCGAACATGTTCATTCCGGGACTTCCCAGTCTTGGGGGCGGCGATTGGGTGTAGGGAGACGGCGGTCGGAAATGGTGCGGCGACCTGCCGCCGCCTCCGCGGCCCCCTTGCCCAGACATCACGCACTTTCACGAACGAGGATCGGTCATCGGATCTACGAAACGTAACGGTTTTTTACGAATTCTCGGAGTCGCAGGTGCGATCGGAAGAATTGTCTTGTCCCTGAGGCCGTGTTGTGGAATTAAGGTCAGAGACGTCCTATTTTTAGGATTCGCTGAGTGGCAAATGGAGTAAAAATAGAGCGATTGTCGAGGAATGGGGTTGGGGGGAGGTCCGACCACTGGAGGTAAATATTTGGGAGTGAGGTTTGTTTTTTCGGACTGGATATTTATAAGAGGCAATGGGTCATAGTAAATGATTTTCAGGATAAAAGGCTGGTGGATGAAAGTCGGACAGCTCTTTGTGGATTTACGACAAATCGCAATTAAACTTAAATTTATCTATACTATTCGGAACGATTCGCGGAGGCGGATCTAGTGAAATTTTCTAAAAATTACTTTTTTACAGCCCGATTTGTTTTTTATTTCAGTGAGACTGTCATAGTTCCAGAAAATTCGCTTATAGAAACTTTACATCACTTTGAGAGATTTTGTTGCCTCGGTTATTCTGGAATGTTTTCAATTTTCCCACGTCTATATGATCACATTTATCAACAATAATTTAAACGCCAAGGCACACAAACATAAAAATTGTGTCAAAAATGTAACAGAAATTTATTAAACGTCCAGGTGTACCGAAATTTTTTCTTACATCATGTCCCACACTTGGACAGATTTAAATAGTTATATTGCACATGTTTATTTTACTTCTGAACGTCATTTCCGGTCCTAGAGGAAACAAAATATTTTTAATTTGTAATTAATAAGCAACAATCAAAAAACGAGAACTTTTACAATTAAAATCAGAAGGTATGTCTTTCTAGTGGTGAAATATTGTAGACATTCGCCCACTCTATCGCAAAAATTATTTTCGAAGATGTAACCATATTTTTAGCCGGCGTTCGTTATTTCAGTTACTTTAGCAAAATTATAAATAATCGTGATGGTTACTCTAAACTGCCACACTCACCCCGATCGCACCTAAAGAAAACGAAATTTACCGTAAAAAAATCGCTGGCGGTTGAATTCGATGATCGCGGATGTGTCCCCTTGTGGGCAACACCAAAAACTGCAAAATCTAGACATCGACTAGCCAAAGCTGTACGTGTACGTTACCCCCTTCTTAAAACCGGCTTTTAATTTTAGAATTGGCACCGCGACGCTTTCTGACGTTGAATTCGTCGAGAACACACGCAGACCGACGCTCTTTCCATTCTTATTATAATAACAGGCGATTTGGTGGTCCGTTATGATTAAAATGTCTGAGTTGGGCCAACAAAGTTGAATGATTTAAGAACCAAATTGAACGGCGTCGCGGCGCCTGGTGCAACATCATTGCCCAATATAAACGACAGGTACAAATAAGAAACTGATTCACTGATTTAAATAAATAGTAAGTCTCGCTTTATAAAAACTAAAGGACCTAGATATACATATAGTATACTTAAATCCCACATGTTTTTAAATATAAAATTCTTCTTTTACAAAAAGAAAAAACAATTTAATCATCAAAAATTATTATGCAAAAAGCAATTAAAGTTAAATATTAAACAAATATTTGTCCTAAAAAATTTAACCCGGCGCATCCACCAATTTGACAACACCATTAAAAAAGAATAAAATACAATAAAGTTTTTGTATCTTTATTTTAATTATTGTAAACATACATAATTGCTTATAGGAATTATTAAAGAAACTCCTAGGTTGGCATAATAAAAACTTTAGGAAGTCACTGAAACAAGAAAATGAGATTAAAATCCCCCTAAAGGACTCAAGTTTAACATTTGTCGATTTATTCGAATCAAGATTATTTTTAATCTTCATTTAAAAAATTCATAGTTGTCACTTGTAATTTTACAATTATTACGAGTTATTTGTGTACGATAAATATTTTACAGTGTAACAACTACAAAAAAAAAAACTAACACTTTTTGGTTAATCACTTAGACGGTGCTAAAATCTATTCGATTTTCAAGTGAAGAAGAATGTAAATTAGGCACTAATAAAAGTAATGGTTTATTATGTATACCTAACTCGAATTTACCACCATACAAAGCAAATTTATTCACCTAAATGTCTATAAAATTTTTCGATTTAACTAATGACTTTTTTTCTCATGTGGAGACCGCGACCTCGACTTAGATCGTGAGTTACTTTGTTTACTATTCGATTCCCCAGAATCACCCCAATCTGACAAATCATATTTTGATAAGTCTCCATCGTCGTCATCCTCCTCCTCGTCTTCTTCCTGTTCCTCCCCTTCCTCCTCAACGGCAACCTTCTTCTCCACCTTATCTACACTATTTTTCTCAATATCCTCATTTTTCTTCTTTTTCCTCCTTCCGAATTCGTCATATTCATCGTCAGACTCGTGTTCTTTATATTCAACCACCCCCCTATCGTTATATCCCCCACCGAACCCCGTCCTCTCTTCCACCTCACCAAATTTGGGGGCGTTACAAACATTACACTGCTGCCTCCGCGCCCAATTCACGTTACCGCATTTGTTACACTGCCAATCGTCGGCACTAAACAACCCTCTACTTTTCTCAGCCGCCGCTTTACCGATTTCGTGCCCCAATTTGCGTTTTTTCGCCGATACCGGCCCCCGACTTTTGTAACAACGGTTACAGTTGTTGCGACGAGCGAAATTCACATTACCGCAGTCTGGACACGTCCAATCGCCCTCGTTCGACGCCGATGAACTTTTCATCGACGGCGGAGGGGGTGGTGTCACTTCCGCCTCTTCCATGGGGGCGATACTAGACTAGAAAAGGTGTAAAGAGTAGTGGCTAGAGGTTGCACTACTAAAGAGAACGGAGGAGCAAATGTTAACATCTGGCGGTACTGGTACTGTTTTTACCTTTACTGAACCTTTTTCCAGCGATTATTTCAACAATTGGAATAAATTTGTTGATAAAAAAAGTAACGTCAAACCGAAGATGCACCAAAATATCACTAAACCGACATAGGGATTTTCGACCCGTGACGTTGGCTGATTAACCAGGACATGATCATTAAAACAATAATAATTTGATTTTTTTCACTTAACACTTTTTTTACAGTTTTCATGAAAACATTTTTTTCTTTCCTTTTTTAATTACTTGTATTAGAAATGTAAAAAAATTAAGACAACTAATCGTGTTGTAATCTTGTCCTGTATTTAGCGGTTGTCAAATGTCAAATTTGTCATTTGTCACTACATCAAGCGTCCAAAAAACGTTTTGAATTTAAAAAACTTAAAAATAATACAAAATGTCGAAGGCACATCCTCCAGAATTGAAAAAGTAACTATTTGCTTTGGTTTAGAATATATTATTGGTTTTATATTGCAGATTTATGGATAAAAAATTGTGTTTAAAATTGAATGGGGGCCGACAGGTCGTGGGCATTTTGCGTGGCTTCGATCCATTTATGAATCTGGTGGTGGATGAAAGTGTGGAAGAATGTAGAGATGGAAAGAAAAATAATATAGGAATGGTGGTACGTTTTTTAGAGATTATTTGAAATAAAAATTATAGGTTATGTTTATTGCAGGTGATTCGGGGAAATAGTATCGTCATGTTGGAGGCTTTAGATAGGATTTAGTTTGTAATTTTTAATCGATAATTATTTGTAATAAAAGCGTTCGATTCTGACCGAGTTTTCTTTTATTGACTTGGGGTAGGGTGAAAATAACTGAATTAGGGTAATAATAAAGAAAGCATTATCGTCGTCGCTTTTGTGCTTTCATTCACAAAAAAATTCAATTCGGATTGTTTTCCCGAACGGTTTGTCCGTAACAGTGTATGAAAAGCGTATAATAAAATGTCGCATGCGCGCCGCCACTGTTCCACCGTCGGGAAAATATTGGAAACGTTCGCTAGTTTGGCATAAAAGCGTCTCGACGGCGACGTTCCAGTGAAATTGTTCGTGTAGTGACGAGTTTTCCAGTGCCACATCACAATCAGCGTCAGGTATTACCAATTGACAGTTTTTCCGGAAAAATATCCGGAGCGAAATTAACACCCACTCGATTTTAATGTCATTTTCCAAGGAGTATTTTGAGAGACAATTTCGAAGTGGTCCCAGCAACCACCCTTGTTGTCTAGGTCAAAAGAACACTCTGAAATTTATTGCCCTATAACAGACGAATAATGAATTCATTTCGCATTGATTAGGAGACTACAATTCTGAAATTAAAATGGAATTATTTTTCAGATATATTTTTTTTATTGAAACTCTTGAAAAAGGTGAAGGGTGAATATTGGATGTGCGATAAAATCGGCAATCAAACTTTAAAGATGACACTAAGAGACTTTCCAACGTCATATTGACCCGTCTTTTTCATGTCAAAACAGCATTTGTAATAATGCCACCCTAGAGCGAATTCTATTTTTATTTTTCCTGGAAATTCTCCAAGTTTTACCCGTTTTCCGATACAAAAAATTCAATTGTAATATTTAATCTATGACTTGGTATAATTGGTTTCTAAGACTTTTTCTCATCGCCCCAGGATATTTTTCAGAATGAGAATCACGTTTCAAATGAAACATCTAACAACCTTCGTTATGTAACGCTATCAAATTTCGCCGTTTATTTACTCATTATTTACGTCTTCAAATCACTGAAAAATCCTGAAAGGGACATCGTAAGCCGTCAGTTTCGCTCGTAAAATAGATATCCGTTTAAATATTAATCAATCAAAATCCTTTTAATCTCGTAAAATTTTAATTGAATTTCACGAAGACAGCCTTGCTCATTTCTCTGAATGTGATGAAAAGAAAATTTTCATACAATTCTCATCAGGTGAGTTTATTTAACTTTGATAACAGTTTTAATTAGCAAATCCTGGGACGCCAACAAAACGAAATTTAATCAAGAAATTTAAGAAAACGTTGGCGGAGATGCGATGAGATTTTCAAGCAAAAATGTGTATTTTTCACCAAATCTGGATCGATTCAAATCCGGTCCTTGTACCGCAAACAGAGTTCCATTAAAGTATTAGTATATAATGTTTCCACATTGTCGGCTCGTTTTCTATATACACTTGGTTTATTGATCAAAGTGAATGCAGCAAGCAGAGACGTACCCGCTCAACCCCATTCACAAAATTCGCAAACCCAATTCATTATTACAAAGTACGGTTCTGATATTTATCAACAAATCTGGAATTACTTTCACCTCCCGGCGGTAATTAACATCTGACTGTAACATCTGACTGTCGTCAGATTTCCCGATACTCGTTCCACAACAAATAGTATTGATTTGATGAATTTTCCGAGCACATAATAACCACAAATCGTGATTTTGTCTTGTGGGCGTCACAGTGACGCTCATATTCGCACCAATAAAAAAGTGTTTGTCAGTTTATAAGGAAGGAAATTTTAACAAACAGAATTTATTCTACAGGTCATGAGACGCACACGTCGCCACAAATTCCTCCAGATTTCGGTTTTCTTTTTGATTTATTCAATAATTCACGTCTTGTCCGAAAATTCGACCCAAACAAACGAAAAAAATGCGACCGACACAACCACTGAAATTTCAACAACCGTTATCAAATTACTAACTAGCCCGACCGAAACAACGCCGAAAACGACAACTTCCAGAGTATTGTTGCTAGCGAAGAAAAGAAACGCCAGCGGAACTGAGGATTGCACACCTCCAGCTATTCAACAGGTAAAGATTTTTTTTTTAATTTGAACAACGTCCCCTGTACTGATTGAATCATCATTTCCGGTTTGACACTATTGTTCATAGAATTTGATTCGTTCACGTCGCCACACTAGACACCGTCGGTTAATTGATTGGACACACCATCTCTTGGCTCCTAATAACAAAACCAAAACCACAACCACCACAACAACAACGACAACAAAACCCATCACTCGAAAACTAACACAAACCCCACACAAAAAACTAAACGAGACAAAAATTCCTGAAAACAGAAACAAGACGACAACTACACTTCCAACACCTCCATCTAACGAAACAGAATCTACTACAAATGCCACTTTTTGTATTCCTCCTGCTCTACAACAGGTAAGTTATCAAACAAATGCAAAAATAAATGACTCGATGAGGAACTGTATACGTCACAAGTTATGTTTGAACAAAGCTCAAAGATAAACATGGAAAATGTCTTTTGATGTCGTAATTGATAAAAGTTGTACGCCTACAAGGGAAACGATCAAAGGATTTTTTTCTTTTATGTCTAATATGTAATTGCTCGTTCATAAAATCAATTTTTTTGACAAATTTAAATAATCGGACATAATAATATAATATAGTAGCTTACACACCGAGCCAGAAAGTGTGTCACCACCAAGGCGCAAAGCAATAAGCCGAGCTAGATGAAACAACGACCGGCAAAGTTTGTATACTATTTTATTCACTATCATCCTCCTTAAAGACCAGAAAAGCAATAAAGAATTTATCAAATTTTAAAAAAACATGACATATGAGTCATATAACAGTTCAGGTTGGGTCACTTCCAAGGGGTCGTTCACTCTGGAATTAGTTGTACAAATTTTTTGAATTTAAGCGGAAATTGCTTGGAAGTATTTGGAATTATTGAAATTATCTTTGGATTGTTTGGAATTACCGGAATTACTTGTGAATTACTGGAATTAAATGTGAATTACCATATTGATACCAATTGTTCTTGAGCGCTTGGCACTTCAAGGACACTTATTCAGGGTGATTCTTAAATATACCGACAAAATTTTATCCTTTTGGTAGTATCAAATGAGAACATGCTGGAAAAAATATTTAAAAAATTCATTGTTTAAACGTTCTCCAAATAAAATTTATTAAAGTTATTGTCGAGCGTAAAGCGTACGCCACTGATGTGTTCGTAAATAGTATTAGCACAGGTAGTGGAAACCATGGTATTAACTTGATGAAAATGTATTTGATCATTGCAACAATTCCGTAAGTGGCACGAATCAAAGGCGTTTTGCCCGTAAAAGATATAAACGTAAAAAGGGTACAGTTTGTCTCCATTTATCCTTGGGAAGCTGTGTTAAAATTTTGTCCGTCTATTTAAGAATCAGCCTGTATGTTTAATTTCCTTTCAAAATTAAGTTGAATTTTTTGGAACTATTTAATTTGGAGTTATAGGAATTATTTTGGTATTATACGGGCATTAATTTGGAATTAGAGGAATCAATTTGGAATTACAGGAATTAATTTGAACTTATAGAAATTACTCTGAAAAAATTGAAATTACGATGGATTATTGGAATTACTGAATTTTTTTTGGAATTACTGGCATTTTGGTGGAATTTTTTGGAATTACTGGAATTTCGGAGGAATTGGAATTAGTTGTACACATTTTTTTCAACTTAACGGCCCCTAGATCACTTCCTTGTCAATCAACTGTCATTACATTATCATTACATTATACATATACCAACTTGAACCTGATATTTCATATCAATTGTTTAATGAAGTTGAAATGCCATACTTTCCAACTTTTCACATGCAAGGTAATTTGATCATTACTTTATGATTGTGAATAAAAACCATTGTTTATTATTAGGGTAAACGTTCAAAATTTTTTCATTTTTTTTAACTACTGGGTAGAATTTTTTAATAAATCTGAATAATAATAATTTAACTTTGTTCCGGAAGCAGCGCTAAAAATGTAGATTAGATAAAGAATATTAAAATTGAATACTTAATTAAAGAAAATTCCTACCATAGGTACCGCACATTAATTTTCCTACTAAATAAATATTAATACGAGTATCATTACTTCTTCAAAAGTTATGAAATTACCTATTATGACTAGTAGGTAAACACTTCAAAAAAAAAAACAAGAAAGCTCAATTTTATACAATAACTCCAACATTTAGGACCGATTTACATAAAGCGAATTAAAATTTAATTACGTAAATGAATCGCAATTTACATTGGTAAAAAATATTTCACATCCGTTTAGCTCTAGACGATACATTTTCTCGATCATATGGTACGAGTATAAAAAACAACTCCTATGAATATTCACTGTCCATATTCGTTGTATAAGTACATTTTAATTAGGTACCTACCTAATCCTCTTGATTCCATTCAGGATCGATCCCGGATAAATTTCTAATTGCGTTACGAGTACCCAATCGACCTTCGACTATCCTCCCCCAACAACAATTTCAAAGATTACAAAGAACCGCCAACTTGAATTAGATTACTTTTTCCAAGTCTTCACGCTCCACGTTACCACAAACACTTTTTTAAACAAATTATTTTTGCAGTTTCCTCGGCCTCTAATAGGTCCAACTTCACGTAAACATGGGGGTATAATAGTCCACATAATCGTTGCGGTTTACACCTTCTTAGGTTTGGCGATAGTTTGCGACGAGTATTTTGTCGCGTCCCTGGACCGCATTTGCGAAGGTATCCCTCGTAGAGCCTTATCTCAAGCAAATACAATTCAATCATTCCAGAACTAAAAATGTCACCGGATGTTGCCGGAGCCACTTTCATGGCTGCCGGAAGTTCCGCTCCGGAATTGGCGACGGTGATCATCGGGGTTTTCTTCGCGAAAGACGACATAGGTGAGAATTTAAAACGAAAGTGGAAACACAAGTGGCAGTGTTCTATTTTCAGGAATTTCTGGTGTGATCGGATCGGCAGTTTTTAATATAATGTTTGTGATTTCTGTTTGCGCGTTATGTACCACAACGGTCATATACCTAAATTGGTGGCCGCTGATTCGCGATTGTTTCTTCTACGCTGTCTCGATTCTAGTCATGCTTGTTACTATTCAAGATAAAATGATTTCATGGATAGAATCATTGTTTATGATTCTGATGTATGTTGTATACTGTATTGCTCTTCATTACAATAATTATCTGGAACAATGGGCGCAAAAACTACCGGTTCCTTGCAAGAAAATTGCACCGGATGAGCAATCGGGTCTAGTGAGTTATAAGACACTAGAAGAAGAGAGAAAGCATCCGAGTTATGGGTGCAGCCCTGATAAACCATCACAGGAAAGTTTCGAACAAGGCAAGTTACCATTACCATAATTTTTGAAACATTTCTTAGAGAGAATATTTTATCGGTATTTAGTTTGCTAGTGCTCATTTTCCATCCTCTAGGCTTTGATAACAATCAGCTCAGCGGTCCCGCTTTAAACCAGGCTAGTGGCGGTGTGGCCCCCGCTCCAGCCCCCATCCAACGCGATTATTATCGACCTAAGGAGTACGACCCTGCAAACACTGTAGACCCTTTGGTCAAGCCCACTGGTACAATATCCCAATTCATTTGCCCAATAAAGTGTCCCACTTCTTGTAGATGGTGGGTTATACAAACAGATCACGTGGGGTATAGTTTTCCCCATTCACTACTTGTGTAGGAAAACAATGCCGGATTGTCGTTCAGAGCAGTACAAGAACTGGTATCCTTTTACATTTTTTATGTCAATGTTATGGATTTCGTTCTACTCTTATTTCATGGTGTGGATGATTACCATAATCGGGACAACACTTGGAATCCCTGACACGGTGATGGGGCTGACTTTTGTCGCAGCTGGGGTGTCAGTACCGGACGCTTTGTCAAGTATAGCAGTAATAAAGGAAGGGTAATTTTTGTAAATCAGTTTTTTACTTATTTTAATAAAAATTATTTACAGTTATGGGGACATGGCAGTCTCCAATGCTGTCGGATCGAACGTTTTCGATATTTTGATATGTTTAGGTCTTCCTTGGTTCATCAAAACGGCGATAATTAAACCGGGATCAGACGTCCCTGTGATCAGTAAAGGTATGTTTGGTTGTAGAAAAAATCAAGTGTACATCGCCGTTTTTAGGCTTAACATATTCAACCCTTTCTCTTTTATCCACGGTGGTGTTCCTAGTCGCCGCAACCCACCTCAACGGTTGGAAATTAGATCGCAAATACGGTATCATCTTGATGGCTTGGTATTTAATTTTTATAACGTTTGCCAGCATGTACGAATTGAATGTTTTCGGTTACCTCAATCCACCTGAATGTTCCAGTGACTATTAATCACGTTTTTTATGTTACTTATAATGCTCAAAACTAAATTATATGAAAGTGTTAAACGTTTTCAAATGTTACCCAAAAATGTGACTAAGATGTTTATAGTTGTTTATTAGCATTGTTAGTAGCCGTCCTAAAGTTCAATTATTTTTGTTTGTATAAAAACTGAACAGTGTATTTTAAAAAAAACCTTAATAATACATGATTACATTTAGAGTATATAATTCGTAGACATACAAATTTAGCTTTTTCTTATATAAATGTTGAGAAAAAGCTTCCATAGCTGTTCAATTAATGTTAAGTCAATAGTATCTATAAGTGTGCTGATTTCTTTTAATTTGGCACAGACTGTACAACAAACTTATGAAAAACAAAATAATGCTAAGGGTCGTCATCTTCCTACCACTATTATTGTAATTTCACATCGAAAGTTGGCCTGTACAGAATGGAAAAGTTCGAATCCACTCTGTATAGTTTTTATATAATTCCTATTTCTTTAAGACTGATTTATCTTCCGTTAAGTTTGTCATATTCATCGTAACATATTTTTGTAGTTAATTTAATTTTTCAAGTACATTATGTTCATTTTCACTGTGATTTTTGTTCATTCTTATACCCAAAGAGGTTGCAGTTTTCAGATTTAAGAAAACAATAAATTAGTGAAACTTACGACAATAATACCGCCTTATGGTCAATAGAATAGGCTAATTATAGAATTTAAATATGATCAAATTCGTTATGAATCTGCGGTTTCATAACGAATGCTTCACCCATGAACTATTGGCAATTAAAAACTAAAAAAAACGTTAAGACTGGTCATTATATTTTTTGTCCATCTACAACTAACTCTTGCCAATAATTCTTGGAACTTTTACATTTTAACGAATTAGATTGATATTAAAGAATAGTATTATGCACCCAAAATTAGCTTGGAGATTTCTAAAAAACCAATGATTGCTTCCTAAAATTAAATAAAGAGCTAATTATACAATAGATCAGTATTCAAAAAAATATGTACTAAAGCTTAATGATTGTAGTTAATGTTTGATATCATATTTATAAAACTGGTGTTTCCTAATGAATGTAGCTATTTTTAGGAAACTCAGATATGTATTTCCTTTTAAAAGGCTTTTATTGAAATAAACGTTGATTGTAAATTGTTTCTAAAGGATAAAAACAAAAATGATCGAATGTAGCACTAGTCAACTATAAACTGCACTTTAAATGTTGGAATGTAACAATAAAAATTTTTAAAAACTGTATTTTATTGTATAATTTTATTATAAAGAGTAACCAACATATTTAAAGAAAACATTGTTACGCCAAATCACTATTACATATGACTCCTATCCTAAAATCCAGTAAGATCAGTAAATAAAAATCAGTTTTCTAAATGTCGCTTATGATTGGTCAAACACATAAAACATTTTGTACTTGTACCACAAATACAGAGTATTTAATCTTCGTAATCAAAAAACTTTACATAATCGAGCACCAGCGCCTTTCTCCATCTTTAACTTCACACATTTGCGAATTAACACAATCGTCTTCGATGAGACACTTCTCATCCTTGTACCCCGTCAATTTCGGCGTACTAGACGGAATATCGGCGCGAAATGGATTCCTGAAACTCGCCAAGGGACTCGTTAACCTGGCAAAGAATCCTGGCGAGTCACCTTTGAACCTTTTGGTGCACTCTTCCGCCTCGCGGCTGCAGCTTTTCCTCTTGATCCCCACTGCCGATATTCTCTCCACACTATTCCGACTCGGATACTCATTCTTCCCTACATTATTCTGAAGCAGTCTTTTTCTGTAATCTTCACTGATCGGTCTGATAGTTCTCCTCGTCGATAGGCGTCTCAAGGTCTCTCCAAAGGATTTATTCTTTGCTTCCTGAAGAAAAAAACTATTGCCTTCTTCGCGGTCCGTGTAATCCAGACGGGTGGAGTCTCCCCCGACTTGCACTTTCGTGGAGGTGTCCTCAGAGCACGACTCAAACGTCGCATTCATCTCATCTTCAACGGCGACTTCGCTCTCCACTGATTTGGGAGTTTTCGGCGTTGGAATATTCCGCGAGATCGACCTTCGAGTCTTGCACCGACTAAGCACCGGCGAGCCTTTCCCGGATTCCAAATCCGAGTTTTCCTCAAACATCAACTCCGGGTGCTGTTCATCAGTTGCGATTGACGGGTCCGGCTCCAAATCTGCCTCCGAAACATCTCCCCCGTCGGTCTTTTGCTCTTCTTCTTCATGTCCGTTTACTTTCTTTACTTGTGGCGTCGCCGAGCGGCTTCTGGTCACGATACTGTTTTCATTTTCTGTCACTTCTTTTGGCGTCGGTTCTTTGGGAGATTCTTCTAGTGGCGAGGGTGGTGGCGGATGAGCATCAACCACTGGTTCTTCTGTCGGAGGTGTAAGTTCGGGAGGCGTTTCTTCAATTCCGTTCGGTTTCGGTGTTGGTGATTTGAATGACGACGTCTCCTCCTCGCTGGTGTGACGACGGCCACGACGTGAGGCTTTTTGACTCATGTCTTCCTGTAATTACTGCGTTGAGAACGTGGAGGATGGAAATATGCGGTTTTGTGATAAAGCACAAGGCTAACTACACGGTTCATTGTGGAGAAAATAGGGAAGTAGAACGGAAAACTAGTGGGAAACTGGTGTGAAAGTTCGAAATTTTCAAGATCTGTCAGAAACCTGTCAATTCGAAATATCCAGTGGGTTCTGCGAAATGACATACAATGCCAACCAGATAACAAATAACATGATGAATATTATTTTCTAAGTTCAATGAACTTGTTTTAAATAATAAATTATAAAAAAAATGTGTCTTTGTTGTATTTGTAAATACTGTAAAACTCTTACTGTAACTAAGCCAATGATAACATCATTAATTTACTACAGGTTTGACATCCGATATGAAAAAAACACTCGCCGTTGGCGATAGTATTGAATTCTCGGAAAGTACAGTTAAATAGGTAAAAAACCGCGTTCTTACATAACCAAAAGCCAAAAATATCCCAAATTTGAAACCCGGGATGGGTCACAATAATTATAGCGCACTAAACGCTCTCAATATTTTTTAATTCCGGTCTAATTACAATGAAGGAGTGTCTCTAAAGCGGTGCATGAAGCACGACGAGTAATTATAAGGAGATAAGTATTGAGTTGAATGGAATGTGGAGGAATGGTATTTCTACTGCATCTATTTACAAACATTCCACTACTTACGACGGTACAGATAAGAGCTAACGGCAACAATTTTCACTCATCATAACCATCACCACAATCACTTTAATGAAAAAATTACTCTTTTAGGCCCAGTGTGTGAAAATTTTCACCGTTGCTTTTAAACCACAACTGACTTACTACAAACAAACTAAAAGCATTGAACAATGTTAAAAAGCATGAAATTCCTACCTTTTTACCCGTTTTTCATTCAAAAATAACCCGGCAAAGACACAGCGTCGTTCCACAACATAAACGGTTTTTTAAATGACTAAAATGGCGACTGCATCATCTTGAATGTAATCTACTTTACCGACCTGTCACAAAAAAAGTGACAGACACAGGAAAGGTTATCTTTTACAAAATGCCCCCATGTTCGGCCAAATGTGGCAAAAACGCAATACTCAAGGTAAAACTCGCATATACAATTACTCTCATCATGTAATTACTTTTTAGAGACCAAAAACCGGTGACACGTTGTGTAAGGAATGTTTTTTCGAAGCGTTTGAAAATGAGATTCATTTCACAATTACGAGGGCAAAATTGTTCAAGCCGGGGAGTAAAGTCGCAATTGCGGCTTCCGGTGGTAAAGACTCCACAGTTTTGGCTTATGTCATGAAGTTACTTAATGAAAAGTATGATTATAAGCTGGATTTAGTGCTTTTATCAATTGATGAGGGTATAACAGGGTACAGAGACGATAGTTTAGATACTGTGAAACAAAATCGGGACGATTATAAAATGCCTTTGAAAATACTGTCATATAAAGATTTGTATGGGTGGACTATGGACGAAATTGTGGCCGAGGTGTGCCCCTTCATTTATTTATTTCTGTTTAAAGATTTTTATTGCAGATTGGGAGGAAAAATAATTGCACTTTCTGTGGAGTATTCAGACGTCAGGCTTTAGACAGAGGGGCAACTCTACTAAATGTTGATTATTTAGCAACAGGTCATAATGCTGATGATATTGCAGAGACTGTACTAATGAATATTTTAAGGGGCGATCTGGCACGACTCAGCCGTTGTACTTCCATTATTACGGTAATTGAGACCTTTTGCATTTATCCAAGTAATTATAAAGTAATTTTAGGACAGTGGCGATGGGATACCACGCGTTAAACCCCTCAAATATACCTATGAAAAAGAAATCGTAATGTATGCCTACTTCAGGAAATTGGTATATTTTTCCACTGAGTGTGTCTTTGCCCCCAACGCATACAGGGGACACGCACGAGTGTTGCTCAAAGACTTAGAAAAAATTGATCCTGCTGTTATTATGAATATTATCCAATCAGGTGAGTGAGAGAATTACGGCCAAAAATTCTGATCGATGTTTCACAGGGGAATCCCTCAAAATCAACGAAAATGCAAATATGCCAACTTTGAAGAAATGTACCAGGTGTGGATATGTATCATCACAGGACGTGTGCAAAGCTTGCGTCCTTTTGGAAGGACTCAATAAAGGATTACCGAAATTAGGAATAGGAAAATCGAGTAAAGTTAAACGACATATACAAGAAAACAGTCCGTGTTGTAAAACGCAGAGTTGCTTATGTAACAATAAATAACTTTTCTCGATGTTACGCAACATAGGCTACTGATTTTTTCTCTATTGAAGCCCTGCAAACAGGACAGTTGGCAGAGATATCAAGTGAGCAATCCTCACATAAACATACGTGGCCGCAAGGAAGTAAAATAATCTGTTGAGAAAACCAAATAGCAAACGAAAACTTTTGACACAATATTTACCTCAATTGGATTATTTTTACAAACGACACAAATTTGGTTTTCTGGTAAATTTTGATCACGCATTTGTCTTCTTCTTTTTCGTCTTGATTCTTCTAATTGTTGTTTTCTCTTACTTTCCTCCAATTTTCTGTCTTTATGACGCAAATATTTGCGAATTATTAAACCCCCAATTACTAAACCAATTGTACCAAATAACATACACAATAATCTGTAAAAAAAATACTTAATGGCAGGCCCAAACATTTTTTTCTATTACTTATAATTTCTTTTGGACCCATCTAACTTTTTAACAAGCGACGTAACTTGCATATTTGTTAAATAAAATGGTGCACCATTCGACGGAGGCTGCAGCCGCAACATATTAGAATCTTGTGAATAAACCAATTCCCCAATCCCTGTAATAGTGGTTCCCTCCCTTAACATTTTTTCTGTTGACTGAACTCCTCTTTGCCTTATCCCCGCAAAGAAGCCCCAAATGTGGTCCATCACACTTGGTACAGTTGGATTAAATACGTCCGATATTGTATCCATATCTAGATATACATGTGCTTTAAAAAATTAAAATGAGCCCTGTAACCCACCTAAGACATCAGCTGCTAACGGGTCTGCAACTTCGACATGAACCCCCTTATTGCCAATTGAAAAGGGCATAACATTGTGGACTTCCTGCACAACGCGTTCAGAGTCTGACCAAAAACCTGTTGTACTTCTCTGTATTACATGTTCTTTAATTCTTAATAATTGCACAACACCAGTTACATTTGGATTATTACTGCTGACAATAGGCCTACCAAGTGGTTTAACAGTTCCTCTTATGGATACGTATGACAATTTTTTCTCTGGATGGGTTTCAACAATTTCTTTTAAATCTTTATTAATTGCGAGATATGGAGCCCCCTACAAATTTTATAATTAATACAATATCACACAATTAATATTGTTACCTGGATCATAGCCATGGCATTCTTGTTTTTGTAGTATTGCTTGATACATGCCGCCAAGATCACGAGATCTACACCCAGGGCTATGCCCTCCGTTAAATAATCCATTTCTTTTTTTAAATTTTATAATAAAAATGGGGATTTACAAACTTATCATTATCGAAGGAAGTAGATAAAATAACTAATTTGTGACTGATAACAATCTCAATTTTAATTAAAAAATTATACTGACAATTTAACCTAACTCCTATCAGCAGATTGGTAACACTGAATGACAACTGTTGGTTCGATTTTATTACAATTTGCAAATGCACACAGGATTTTATTGAAAAAAGAATGTAAAGCCTAAATTACCAAAGTTATTTTATAAACTTTTGCTTTTTCATAAAAAAAATAAATCGACTACAGGAAACTGTTTTGACACGATTGTCAAAAATGTCAAAATATACTGTCCAATATGGCGTAACAACATTATTTAGTTAATCGAACATTGTTTGTTTATATTTTAAACAGCTTCATCACTTATTTGATGATACTAGCGTAACATAAACTTTGGTAACGATGTCTCGCGTTAAGTCCCGTCAGAATGTCGAAATTTGTGGCGACTGTGGTGCCCCTGGTGAGTCACCCCGTCAAGTTTAAATTCATTAATTCCCAATTAATTACAGATGCGACTTGGGCTTCCATAAATAAAGGCATTTTGCTTTGTACACAATGCTGTAGCATACATCGCAGTCTTGGAAGACACATTTCACAAGTGAAATCACTTCAAAAGAGCAGTTGGAACCCTAATCAATTAGCTGTCCGTCCATTTATTTTTCTAATTAACAATTAAGTAATTTTGACTTGTAGATGGTCTGTACATTGAATAATAACGGGGCTAATAGCATATGGGAACATACTCTTCTGGAAAACAACTCAAAACTGATGAAAAAGAAACCTAATCCCAAAGATCTCATCAGGTGGGCATACACAAACTTGAAACAAGTTGTATAAAAGTTTTTTCAGTATCAAAAGCGAATTTATTAGGGCCAAACATCTTCAGTGTGCTTATACGTTTCGCGACAACGCCGCTTATGATGAAGGGCTTGAAAATGAATTGGGAAAACAGCTACACGCTAGCGTGAGAACACCAAACTTAGAAACATCATTCAGGCTTCTTGTACAAGGAGCCGATCCAAATTATTTTCATGATGTATGATTTAAACATTTTTTAATAAACAGTTTTTAAAGTTGCAATTCCAGGAAAAGGGTACTACACCTCTACATATAGCAGCTAAAAGTGAGCAGAAATTACAAGTGGAACTTTTATTAGTTTACGGCGCTGATCCAACATTCCCCGATGCCCATGGCAAAACACCAATCGATTATGCAAAGTAAATATCCACCGATGACATCATCTGTTTGTATATTTTTTTTTATCTCTGTTTCAGGAAAAATGTCAATAAAGATTTGTTAAACAGATTAATAGAAAGCCAATATGAAGTGACAGATGCGTTCATACAGTATTTGACTCACAAAAGGCCGGATCACCAAAATGGAATACACTTTATTTTACCACAAGGTGGCTTTGAATCAAATCCTAATTCCTTAACAAAATTGCAAAAGGTGTGATTTTTCTCATAAATAAAATATGCTATAATTCAGTTTTTAGATGAAAAATGCGCTGTTTGAACAGTTGGCTATGGACGTGTATGACGAAATTGATAGACGAGAAACAGAAGCAAGTAAGTAACAAAAACAATTTGAAAATCATTATTTATCTAATCAGTGTCATTCTTTTTTACTGTTGAATAAGTATGAGGAAGTTGGTAAGTGCCAACTATTGGAACTTTAGATAATAAAGTTGTAATAGATATTTTGTAATAGCAAAAAATGTTTTTAGTTTGGTTGAGTTGCGTGGACGCTATTGATCTAAACGTGGTTCCCTTTCTTCCCGTGGATTCAACAATGTCAAAACCAAGAAATCAAGGTCGGCAAAAATTAGCACGTTTTTCAACTCCCGAACTAAAAAGTTTAGTGTTTGATATCTTAATTGACACACAAAGACGTCAAATGCTAGCTGAAGCAGGTGAAAATTATTCCAAATTTGTCAACACTCTACTAAATCCCCTAAATAGGCCCCAATAGAACGCATCTTCGTGAATATTCGCCAGTTTCCGACGACGATCCGCTTTATGATTCTGTCGCACCCGATGAAGATTACGCATTGCCTCCAATCCAAGAAAACGAAAAACCTCAAAGTCCAAGTCTCCAGAAACCCGTGGATGTCACTGTTGAACAACTTACTAAACAATTGAAAGAGTCAGACACCACCATCTGTGATTTGAAAGCAGAAGTAAATCAATTAAAAGCGCACCTTCAAAATTTAAAATGTGAAAATATCGAACTGAAAACGCGATTGTCCCAGTGTAAAGTTCCAGAGACCAACAACAGTATTAACGGCGACGAGTTTAATTCGTTACAACCGACAATATTGAATGGTGATGTCGACTTGCGACAAAATCGTAAAAACCAACGCCCGTCCAGTATGTACGAGACACGCGAAGGTCTCAAAACACCAAATTGGCAGTTATTAAAAAATCAACTTAAACAAAACGACCAATTACGTAACGCCACTCAGAGTTTGTATGGAACGGCTCAAGATAAACAAACCGTTTTTGAATGCACGGAATTGATAACAAGAAGTATTCAACAGTTATGTAAAAGTATTCAAGACAGAGATAAAGAAGATTGTGTCGAGAGCGGAGAAAAAGTCAAGTTTGCCGTCCTCAGACTCGTCTCGATCTTGCCGAAAGTAAGTTGGCGAAACTGACAGGCACTTCATCCAATTTCTTCATTTTTGTAGGAAACAGAGGGAAAAAGTATCAAGTTTATGTGCGATATTCTACCGTATTTGTTAGCGGAATGTTCGTCGTTACAAACTGACCATAAAGAGGGCGACGTGACTAAAATTGATCATCATCTTACTAAAATAAGAGAATTATCATTTTATTTAGCTAAACACACAAAAGAAATACTAACGAGATATTCATCCACGCATTGATTAATTCCAATGTTCAGTTTTTAATTCCTTATTTATTACAAATAACTGTAGGGTAAACTATTAATTGTTTCTCAAAAAAAAATTAATACAAGTGTTACGATGGAATGTGCAATTTGAATAATTATTTTAAAAAATGTTGCTCCAGATTGTTTTAAATGAAATTTTAACTTAGTTGAGACTATTTCGTAGTTAATAGACTGATTTTTCTGTTTATCCATTGATATGAATTGACATAAGGTGCTAAAATGAATCTTCCTACATCACTGTTGCCAGTTTAATGATGTTCCACAAACGATTATGTCAATAGATTATTTTATTTTATTTGTATAAAAAGTGACTGAAATATTATATATTTAAAGACAGTATATACTAATAAGAGACGCTTTTATATAATCCAATAAATAATTTTAATTAATATTTGACGTGGTTTCACTAGCACTTCCAAATGACTATAGCCAAGTTCCCCCCGAAAAACATATAAAGCAGATTTTGGCATTCAAACGAAATTTCAAACCCGAACCCTTCACCCACCACGACGTGAAAAGGGGGGCCGAATTTCTTGTCCATTTCGTCTTTTATCATTCTGGCGGCCGCTTCATTGTTCGTTGAATGTTTTTCACAAGCAGTCACCACCAATTCCATAGATTCCTGTTTCATTTCTTCAGGCATATCTGAATGCTAAAGTAACACAATTACGTCCCCTCATTAAAATCGATAAGGTGACTCACCCTTATAAGGGGGTAAGTGTGGACGATCTTTTTCGTTTCTTCCGGCTTTTCGCGTCCCTCGCCATCTCCCATTTTACCATTAACACCCCTAACTTAAAAATACAACCCTTCAATTCTTTTCTCTTAAATGAGAATGAAAATGCAATTACTTGACGGCAAAATTGTAAATTGGCGCGCGTGACGTTTTATCAACAAAACAAAGTGCAGCCAACATGAAGATAAAAATGTCCCAACTGTCATGTTTTAATAAAAATTAATAATAAAAGCAATTTTACTATTTAACGCGTAGAGAAAAATGTCGCGATTCAGTGGAGTGCTACAATTAACTGATTTGGATGATTTCATAACACCGTCACAGGTATTTTTATAAAAAAGCGTAACGTAACCTCACTTTCATTTCACGTCAGGAGTGTATCAAACCTGTCCAAATTGAGAAAAGTAAAAGCAGTACTGGCGCTAAGATTACAATACAAGATGATGGATCTTATCTACAAGTTGGAACCGTAATAAATTCTCTATTATTATTCAACCTACTAAATAATATAATAAAATCATTTCAGGATGGGTCTACACAAAAGTTGCAAAAAGTTGAAATTTCTCTGTCTGATTGTTTGGCTTGTTCAGGTTGTATAACATCTGCTGAGAGCGTATTAATTACACAACAAAGCCAAGAAGAAATATTGCGTGTGTTTGAGGAAAATACAGCATTAAAAAATGTAAATGTAACTCCTAAATAACGCCAAATAACACATTTTTGTAGGCAGGGAAATCGCAAGATGCCAAATTAATTGTAGTGTCCCTTTCCATTCAACCAGTTTTATCAGTAGCGAGTCGTTACAACCTCCCTGTTAATGAATGTGCCGCTAAACTTGTAACATATTTTAAAAAATTAGGTGCTGATATGGTCATTGATATGAGCATAGCTGACGATTTTGCCCTACTTGAGAGTCAAAGAGAATTTGTTCGTCGCTTTAGAGCTACAGAAAGTGATGGAGTTAAAAACGTAATCCCTATGTTGGCTTCCAGTTGTCCAGGATGGGTCTGTTATGCGGAAAAAACCCATGGCAGTTACATTCTGCCTTATATTTCAACCACCAAGTCCCCACAACAAATTATGGGGTCTTTGATAAAACACTGGGTTGGTAATAACTTGGGGGGTCGGTCTATATACCACGTGACACTTATGCCTTGCTACGATAAAAAATTAGAAGCCGCACGTGAGGATTTTTTTAATAAAGAAACGCAAAATCGGGACGTTGATTGCGTCATTACAGCCAGTAATTAATTTGGAATATTATAAGAACATTTTTTTGAAATTTATTTTTGCAGTTGAACTGCAACAGATGCTAGAAAAAGATGGATGTGTTTTAGAAAACCTTGAACAATCCCAATTTTCACAGCCTTGGTTATTGAAACAAGATACAGACGTTGTCCCTAACTTAACTCGCCGTTTAGGATCGGGCTCGGGGGGTTACGCTGATCACATTTTTAAATATGCAGCCAAGGAATTATTTGGCTTTGAAGTTGAAAACTTGGAGTATCACAATTTAAGGTAACTCTGAAAAAAGTATTGGGGATACACATTGAAATTTATTGTAGGAATCCAGATTTTCGTGAAGTGATTTTAGAAAAAGAGGGGAAAGTTTTATTGCGTTTTGCAATTGCTAATGGTTTTAGAAATATCCAAAACTTGGTCCAGAAACTAAAAAGAGGCAAATCGCAATATCACTATGTTGAAATAATGGCTTGTCCTTCAGGTATTTTATTATCATTGCGAAACTAGATTACATTTTTGTGTACAGGATGTCTCAACGGAGGGGCCCAAATTCGACCTAAAGACGGCACTGTGTTAAAAGAATTGACTACTGAATTGGAAAATTTATATTCGTCACTTCCGGTCAAAAAACCCGAAGAAAATAAAATCGTAAAAGAATTATATGAGGGATGGTTAGGAGGAATGGAAAGTGATAAATGTACGGCGATTTTGCACACCCAGTATCACGCCGTGGAAAAAACGACAAACGCTCTTAATATAAAATGGTAATATGGTGTAATTTTTACAACAAAATAGTTAATTACACACTTGCTGTTTTAATAAAATTAGCAACACCTACTTAGGAACAAAAACATTAGAGGCTTGTCTGAAGTCGGATGAGTTAGTGCCATGTCAGTTCTAGTTGTTTTCGCAAAACTCCGCCCCTTCGGACAAGCTCCGCCCACACAAGACATTAAAAATAAATACGATTCTCTCAATAAATAGGTTACTACTTTATATATAAAAATACCTAAAATAAAATATCACTTTTTCGAGTCTTTGCAGGTTCGTCAACCAAAATGATCTACGGTTCATGTAATTTGACGAAACATTCAAGAGTTTTGGGTATCTGATTTTTATACGGTATTTGAAATTTACTAATGACGGTAGCGCATAAACATTTCAAATTGATATAATTTAAAATGTGAATCTCAACAACATCTGAACGTTTGCTTACGTCAGAAATGTAATCTGAAGGACAAATTCCGCGTATATTCGGTTGATCAATGTGAGCTCCGTATTGTAACAGTAACTTGATTAGCTAAAACAAATAATTACCATGACAACGTCATACCCACGGTGCAACTTACCCAATCAGAGTAATTGTCCGGTTCTGTAGCGATGTGTAAAGGGGTGGAGCCTAACTCGTTCTTAGCATTCACGTGAGCGCCACACTCCAATAAGAATTTAATAACGCTAGGCTTTGGGAATATCACCTACGAAAAAAGAAACTATAATATGTAAAACAAAAACATGATAACTCACGATTGTATCATCATCTACAAAGTAACTTGAACGAATTGTGTTACATTTTGAGACGCATAAATGAAGCAACGAGTCTTCTGTTAGAACACTTCTGGGGTCCATTTTGACTAAATTACCTATTAATTGCACAACAGTCTCAATTTGTTCGCTAGTTTTTGCCGTTTCGATCATTAAATAAATTAAATGAGTCACGCATTTAAGAATCTTATCGAAAAAGTCGACTTGACGTTTATATACTGGTCTAATAGTTAAAAGTTGTCTTATTTCTACAAAAAAATAGTCAGTAAAACATCATTGAAAAATCATTAATTAATACCTAAAATGTCTTTCGTAATCAATTTGAAAGTGGATACAACGTCGTGGAACCTCTGCCTAGCATCGTCTTCGTTTTTCGGCACCGTTTTTTCATTATAATCGACCATCTGTCTGACTAAAGCCTGGGCGGTAAAACAGGTATCAGTATACAAAATCGAGTCTTTCTCAACCCTTATTTCCAAAGCCCGCCTCCACAAATCGATACAACGTTGGTACCTCAACATATCGGCATACGCAGCCCCCCTGTACATCAAGCGAAAAATCGTATCTTTATGATGCGGCCCCAAAATTCTTTCAGCAATGATCAAACTTTGGGTCCGAATCAAATCCAAATCTGTCGCGATATTATCTAAATCCTCTAAAGTCTCAAACTCGCATTGGTACCGGTACCCCTCTTTGGGTTCCTGAACTGGCTGTTTGGGCAACAAACTGTGGTTCAACCGACACGCCAAGCCCTCCCGCCAGTGAAACAACGCAACGACGGCATCGTTGTGCTCCTCGAGGAACGTCGCCCCCATTAATTCATGCGCGTTTGCGAGCTTTTCACTAGAGTAACAGATATTTACAGTAAGATAATCGAAGATGCGGGCAGCCCCCTTGAGACAAGCCATTTGTAACGCATCGTCGCCGTAACGTGACTTGGCATTATAATTAGCCCCGTTTTTGAGCAGTAATTTGGTTGTTTCAAGCCTGACAAAAATGAGGTTAAGTAATTGACCTAAAAGGGTCTTGTGAGTACCTGTGTTCCTGGATTGCGTAGTGTAGTGCAGTTTTGTTCTGAATGTCGCGTGCGTTGACGTCAGCACCGTGTTTGAGGAGAAAGTCGCACAAGGGGGCACTCTGAACTGAATTTATGAGACAAGTGCCCCCGTTGTAATTGGGGCGGTTGATATCGGCCCCGTGCTCGACTAAATATTTGACGATGTCAAAATGTGTCATGAAACAAGCGGAACGGACTGGGGTCGAGCCCGTGTCTGAGACAGCGTTGATATCAGCATTGTGTCGGAGTAAAATTTCAACTACTGATAATTTTCCGGAGACTGCAGCGCACCAAAGAGGAGTTACGACGTGAGTCGACCTGAAACAGATGTTAGAGGCGGAGGACCAGTTAAGTGGGCTCACCTGTCGTCAGCAACTTCGTATAAGCCCCGTTGTTCGATATCAGCTTGGCACACTGTTATGAGATATTCAACAATTTCGGTTTGGCCTTTCTTGCATGCTAGAAATAAGGGAGAACAACCGACTTTCACTCGATTTACGATTTCGCGGCGGACGTTCGGGGGATACTTTTCCAGACGGTTTCGCAAAGAATATGAAAGACGCGAACCTGGGATCGAATATTTGCAGGCCTCGAGGAGGTCGTGAAATATATTGTTTTTTTCGTTAACAGGGTCCATTTTCGATGACTTCCACATCTTTTAAAGCTTTTTGTAATATTTAAATAATTGTTTTTATTTTGACACCTTTTTTGACAGGTCAGATAAACTTTCACCAATACCAACCTAACGACGTGAAATAGATTGATGACTCAACCAACCACCCATGACCCTTCATCAATGACCCAAAAAAAATTAAACAAACAAGTTTAATTTGTATAAAGACTATATTTTTGAATTAAAAGGACTGTAGAAACATGAAACGACTTTAAACATTAGAGACATAACACGTAATAAACTTTAATCCACCTAACAACTAAATTTGAATTTTGTCACAATTTCATCACCACTTTTTATCTTAACTAAGCTTTGAATGTTCTCACTACTCTAGAAACATACTGTCTGCAAATCGGACATTCTGCCAATTTCTTGCCACAATTGATACAAGTGGCGATATGTCCGCATTCCAAAAGAACACAGTCCAGTGGCGCATCCATACACAACTTGCACAAATCTTCAACATTTTCTGGCAATTCCTGTTTATGTTTCATATTGTCTTGCCACAAACGCTCAGCCTTTTCCAACAATTCGCTTTTCTCAACGCATCCCTTATAATCAACCCTATTGTAAGCCAACAAAGTCTTCAATTCCTTTGCTGAGAGATTTCCTAATTCCTCAACAGTGACATAATCAGCCAATTTCGGAATTTTTCGTAAAATAGGACTTGATTCGGCCGTCGATGTTGTTGGTTGAGGTGGGTCAGGACTTAGTGACGGCTGAGGCGGCCGTGGAGGGGGCGCCCGCCGTTCTTTCGGTAAAGTGTTTGAATTCTGACTCTGACTAAATCTTGGATCAGTAAAGAGATTCCCTGAGCTGCTTGCTGCAAATACTGGACGTTCAGGAGGGGACCTCCTGCTTTCTTGGCCATTTATTCTGTCTGGCAAACTCAAAACTGACTCAAAATTACCTTAAAGTAACGAATTAAAAAAGAAAAAGAATAAGTGACTTCGCTTTTACTGAAAATCTTGTTTAAAACTGTGGAACTTTTGGTATTCTTGACTGGAATTGTCCTGTTACACAATAAATCTACCAATTCACGTTTTTCTGCAAGAATCGTCGAGTTTGGTCAATTTTTAAAGAAGAGATAGTTCAGTTACCCACCAACTAGACCAAAAGTAGTCACATTGTGACGATTCAAATATTCTTGTAAATCTTTGGATTTCAGTTTCATCAGTTTGTTTATGTCAGGCGGTCGGGTGATTAAAATAGTGCATTTCTCGCAATAACAGATCCTAAAGTGAGAATATTTAATTAATTTCGCGGAATTATTAAAGTAATTTACCCATTCATCCGTTTCATGCATTTGGTACAATATTGTTCCTTGCATTCCCCACACTGCATTATCCATATCGAAAGGCGAAATGACGAGCCACATTGTTTGCAACGCATTTTACTAAATACTTTGTCATCTGCTTGTCAGCATTAATTGTTGAAGTTATTATTTTAAATTAAATGAATCACATCTGATTGTGAAAACGCGATAACCCCCCTTAAACATGACCACCAACATGACGTTTGTGATGGTCGTCAAAGCGCCCTCTATGAGTAAATGTCCAAATTTTTCGATTTTTTTTCAAATTAGTAATTAGTAGTAAGTGGGCCCCTTCAGCACACAGCTACTTTTTAAGGAAAAACACCCTGATTTTCAAGGCTAAACAAATGGCTCATAATATGTGGGCCGTTTCAGCACAATGCCACTTTTTAAGGAAAAACACCCTGATTTTCAAGGCTAATAAACAGAAAAGCGCAAAAAATCGTGAAAACACCCCGATCTTAAAGGTATATTTTAAAATTAACATTTTTAAGGAAAACACTCCTGATTTTTAAGGGTAAACAAAAAAGCAGAAAAAAATCGTGAAAACACCCCGGTTTTAAAGGATAAACAGAAAAGCAGAAAAAATCGTAAAAACTCCCCGGTTTTAAGGTATATTTTAAATTTCTCAATCAGTTGTGTGAAAAATCAGAAGAAGATAAGGTGTCAACCGAAATGGTTGACACCCCAGAAAATGACCAAGTCTTTAAGGTCATTTAAAAAATATAGGAGTACCTATACATATTTCAAGTATAATAAATTCTTTCAGTTAATGAAAGTATGAAAATGTGTAGCATACAGCATACCTTAGGTGATTCACAGACGATTAATTAGTTTTATTATTTGATCGATAAGACCACATTTAAATCCAAAAACTGTCAAGTCAAATTTATCAGATTTAACTAATGTATTCGAAATATCATYAAATTCATAAAACATTTTATCTTTAAAGAAATATAAATTTCTATATCTGAATGCTCTGCTTATATTTGGAGGTATTCCAGCAAATAATTCTGAAATAAGGCCGTTTTTCTTTGATCTAAACAAACACTCATCAAACTCAATATACAAAACTTTATCATAAAATATATACTTATGTTTTTCCAGAATAAGTTCTAAATATCGCTTGACTATTATATCCACTTTTAACATTAAAACTTGGAAAATCAATTAAATAATATAAATTTTTAACAACTATTAAAACATCACCTGAAGGTCTTTGATAAATATGCGAAATTTCTTTAAAATCATCTGGTAAAAAATATAAATAATCTCTAATTAATTTCGGTTCTTAATCATAAGTCATGTCTTTTAAATTGACTAACCAAACATATTTCTTATAAAAAATATACATATGATGATTTGCAATTAAAAATGTGTCAATTTCTTTATTAAAATCACATAAATTCACCATAGGCTCATGAGTCGAAGACGAATTACCAACAGTATCTTTTACTCCGACTTCAGGGACGCTTTGCCAGAGTTTGCTTACAGTAGGTTTAACTGTTGTTGTTGTTGTTGGTATTAATTCATATTTTAATCGTTCAGGTCGCCCATATAAATATTGAATTGCCCACATATCGTCTTGAGTTAATTTATCAATATCACCTTTATAATAGGCATACATAATTGAATTATTATTTGCAGAATGTTCAATACCTAACGTATGTCCGATTTCGTGTAATAAAACAGTATAAAAATTAGTTTGATCATCAGGTGTATTGCTTGATTCACCAAAATACCAATTTTCTTTTTTTTTTAAATTAAAAATCATTGCAAAAAGACTATTCACAATACAACTCGAAGACTAAATCAGACCTCATAAAATTAATTCTAAAAGAAGAGCTCGATGCTGGCGACTGGTTTAATAAATTAAGTAGACTCAATATTAAAAAATTAAAATCGATTACTGAAAAACTAGTTATAAAAATAAAGCAAAATAGTAAAAAAACAGATCTAGTGAATCGAATTTCAGATAATGTAAACAATGAAAATTTAAATACTGTTCTTAAAGAAATCGGGTCGCAAAGTTTAGAGGAATTATTAGAGGAAACCATGTCAAAAAACGAATCGACTCAGAATACAACGATAAAAGAATTAAGAAAAATTGCTAAAGAAAAGAATATCAAAGGTTACTCCAAAATGAAGAACGCAGGATTATTACAAAAAATTAACGACCAACCGTTCGCTTTCGAAGATAGTTATTTTATAGAGTTTTCAAAAAAAATCTAAAATTAAAATAATAGAAGAAAAAACAAAAGCTGAATACACTAAAAAAAAGTTTACTATAAGGTTATATTAGTGGAAGACGAAGAAACATCCGAGTCTGATCTTTCAGACATAATTATGAAAAAAATTACTACCTACCATTAGAGAGGGATTAAATGAAATGATTAAAATAGTAAAACAGAAAACAAATTTCAAAGAAGGAGATTTAATGAATGCTATAGTGGTTAATCATCCTGATCTTTGGAATCCTATTTCCACAGGGTTCAAGAACTTCTGAAATTGATAATTTATTAAACAAAATTCAAAGTATCTTAACTTCAAATCAAGATTTAGATATATATACGGTTGTACATTTCATGCCGAAGTTGTTAATATACCTAGAGGTGGTACTAATGCGAAAAGATTATTAAATATAGCAGAAGACTCACGAACAAAGAAAAGTATAATACAAATAAAAAACAAAGATAATTTGTGTTGTCCAAGAGCTGTTATTGTTGGTTTAACTTATCATACAAATATTATACTTGGTAAAGAATATGATCGTAATGATATAAAATATATTAGAGTGGGAAGAAATTTACAAACGACTTTAGCTCAAGAGCTGTGTAATCAACTTGGAGAATATAATAAATAGTTATTTACATTCGTGTGCGGTAACTTACATTTTACAGTGCGAAATGAATTTGAAGCACGACGCGCAGCGGAGTGCTTTAATAATTGAGCACTGTAAAATGGTTAACGCACAAGATTTGTATTAAGCTTTTTGGCCGACGTTTAAACAAAAATCCACAAAATTCAGAATTAATACAAATAAATACGTTTGACATTAAATATCACGGTGGCTATGCACTCTAATGTCAAACAATTAAAAAAGACTCAAAAACGTCTCAGACACAAAGTTTTGTTATCGTTGTCTTGTTGATGAATTTATGCTTCAAAATGCGATAATAGCCCCATGTGTACCCCACCAGAAATCAGAAGTGCTGCAGAAAATGTTACAACCGAGCTATTGCCCGAAAAATCGCGAGCAAGGTATGAAGCCCAGTACAATGTGTTTATAATTATAAAGTGGTGTGAAGAAAAAAGAGTTCTAAGATTGAAAGGTTGTGTGTAGAGCGTTTTATTAAAAATGTTATCATCTTACAAACAGTTTTTTTTATAAATGTCTATGAAGATAATTTTGGCCGTGCGGTAAAACTGTCACTTTACACACGTCCGTGCGTAAAATACCCAGGCGACTGTAAATACAGTCTTTCAATAGGTGTCAATTGTACGTTAATTTGACATTTACATGTCAGGAGGCCAAAAAATTATTTTACTTTAGACGATATTAAAAATTTAGAAAAAGTATTAAATATTCAAATAAAAGTGGTAGCAGCAGAATGCTTTAATTCCATAATATAATCGGGGGCTGAGAAAGACGTAAAAGTTTATTTATATAAAAATGGAAATCATTTTGATACAATCAGTAGTATGCCAGCTTTCCACGGTGAGTCTTATTATTGTAAAAAATGTGATAAACCATATCAAAAAAAATACGGACATAAATGCAAAACGAAGGATAAAATATGCGTAATGTGTTTCAAGTCTAGTCACAAAGAAGACTCTTCAAAAAGAATATATTGTGAAAAATGTAATAGATATTGCTTTAATCAAGAATGTTTAGAAAATGATTCAGAAGTTTGTGAAAGATTTCATAAATGCTTAAAGTGTAATAAAATACTCAAAAGAGGTGATAAAATGCTTGACGAAGGTACAAAAATGATTGAAGAAGGAAATAACAAGAAGGGTAATCAAATCATTAAAAAAGGTAACAAAATGATAGAAGAGGGTAGTAAAGAACACAGATGTGAATGGGAAAAATGTCGAACTTGTTATAAAGAAGTTGAAATATTAAAACATAAATGTTATATGCAATGGAAACGACAAACAGGTGGAATCTGTCAAACAACAATGAAAGACGGTGATAAAATATATAAAGTAAAAAGTTGTAAAAATTGTGATAGAAAAGGTTGTACAACAATGTTTCCTGATAAAACAAACATGAGAGTAAAATATCACATTTATCAATGTAAAGATTGTAAAAATTTTGTTAAAATACCTAGAAAGAACGAAGACGGCTTTCAATGTCATAAATGCGGGTGTTTATTTGATACAACTAAATGCACTTATACTGAAAAATATTTATTCTTTGATTATGAAGCGATGCAAGAAACAGGCAAACAGTTCGCTAATTTAGTTATATCTCACGATTTTAGCGGAAATGTTAATTCTTTTAAGACTAACGAAGATTTCTGTAAATGGTTAATTTCTAGAGATCATCGAGGACACACAGCTATTGCACATTATTCTAAAGGTTATGATTCTTACTTTATTCTAAAATATTGCGTTGAAAACAGTATTAAACCTTTCTGCGTATACATATCATTATACATTTTTTTTAGATCCATTGATCTAAAATAATATTAATGGAAATAAAGTCAATTAATTTAAGAATTATTGATAGTAGTAATTTTGTTCAAGGACCTTTAAAAAACTTCCCTAACTTCCCTAAAACATTCGGTCTAAAAGAACTTAAAAAAGGTTATTTTCCACATTTCTTCAATACAACAGAAAATCAGAATTATATTGGAAAAATACCTGATACAGAATACTATGGTGTTAATTCTATGAAACCAAAAGAAAGGGAAGAGTTTTTAGAATGGCATAAACAAAAAAGAAAAGAAAATTGATTTGATTTTAAAAAAGAACTTTATGATTATTGTAATTCTGATGTTGATATATTAAGAAGAGGATGTCTTGAATTAAGAAATCAGTTTCTAGAAATTGCTAATATAGATCCTTTTAAATATATTATTGGAGGTGTTTGCTTGGCTATATATAGATCAAAATATATTAGGAAAGATACAATAGCTGTTGTTGATAATCTGAAAAAGATCAATATTCTCAACAATCAATTTCATGGTTAAATAGTTTTCATAATCCAAATATAAAACACGCATTAAACAATGGTGAAGTGAAAATATGTGGATCAAAAGTTGACGGATTTGATAAAAAATCCAATACTGTTTACCAATATCACGGGTGTTTTTGGCATGGTTGTACTAAATGTTATAGTTCAGATTTTATTAATAATAAGAATAAAACAACTATGAAAGATCTTTATGAGAAAACAATAGAAAGAAGCGAGCAATTAAAAAAAGCTGGTTATAACTTCATAGAAATGTGGGAATGTGAGTGGACGAAGTCAAAAGAATATAAGAAAGAAATGAAACAAATTGAAGAAGAAATTAAGGAATTGGAAGAACTTAATCCTAGAAACGCATTCTTTGGAGGAAGAACGAATGCAACAAAATTGCGCGTTAAGGGGAAGAAAATGAAATATATAGATATTTGCAGTTTATATCCAACAGTACAATGTTACGATCATTATCCAGTTGGACATCCTACTAAAATATTCAAACCTCGTACGTATAATTCAGATTGGTATGGTTTAATAAAATGTGCAATTTTACCACCAAAAAGTCTGTATCACCCCGTTTTACCTGTTAAGAATAAAACCAAATCTGGTGATGAAAAACTAACATTTCCATTATGTCAATTGTGTGCAAAATTAAATAATCAAAAAGATAAATGTTCTCATAGAGAATTATCAGAGGAACTTGGTGTACAAACGGGGTAGAAAAAGCTATTGAAAAGGGTTACAAAATAATAACTATTGATGAAGTTTGGCATTTTTACAAAAAATCATCAAATTTATTTAAAGGATATGTGAAAGCGTTTATGAAAATTAAATTAGAAACAAGTCATTGGCAGGATGATTTTGAATCAGAAGAGGGATATAGAAAAGCTGTAAAAGAAAATCTAGGTATTGAATTGGGTAAAATAGAAAATAACCCTGAAAAGAGGGCTGTTGCGAAAATATGCTTAAATTCCTTATGGGGTAAATTTGGACAAAGATAAAATATGGGTACAACAGAATATGTTACAGATGTTAAAAGGTTTTATGAAATTTTATTAGACGAGAAACTTGATAATATACGTATAAACGATATAAATAAAAATATGTTACAAATTGATTATAAGTTAAAAGATTGCTATATAGAAAATGATTTCAATACCAATATATTTATAGCTGCTTTTACAACTGCAAATGCTAGACTAAGATTGTACGAAATGTTAGATAAATTAGGAAAAAGCGTAGCATATTATGATACAGATAGTATTGTATATATAGATGATGGAAAAAACATTGTTAAAACAGGCTGTCTATTGGGAGATTGGACAGACGAATTAGGTAAAGGCGTATGGATAATAGACTGGATATCAACAGGCCCAAAAAGTTATTGTTATAAAACCAACATAGGTAAAGTTGTTTGTAGAATAAAAGGATTTACGTTAAATTATGAAACGTCCGAAAAGATTAATTCCGATAGTATAAATAATATTTTAGAATACAAAGACAAAAAAATCAGTACACAATATAATCGAATTACCAGAGATTCTAAAACTAAAGAACTTTTAAATAAAATAGAAACAAAAGAATTTGGTTTTGTTTATGACAAGAGAGTTATTCTAGAAAACTTTGATACAATACCGTTTGGATATTAATCCTTTTAGAGTAAAACACATTAAACACAAAAAAATTAATGTTAAAAAAGTATTTTATCGTTTTTATTCCATTGTATTACTTTTTAGAAACAAATTAGAGATTTGATATACAAAGAGTAACTGAAGACTTGTAAAGGTCTAATTTATTTATTAGAAAATCTAAATATTTTCAATTTTCAAAAATAGATAAATTGCATGCAGAAACGTTAACTGAGTTGCCTGCTTCCGAAAGCGCGAAGTCAAATGTCAAAGTATTGTAAAATCACTTTCATCTTTTCTTACGTGACTTTTCTTGAGTTTATTGAAGAACACAAAATAATGTAAAGAGAATTGTTATTAATTTTTGTGTATTTCGATGGTTCCTTCTGTGGTTCATTAAAATTCAAAACTCATGGAAGGGGGCTGTCCTATTTTATGTGGTTGAATACGCTAGGTACACAACAACTTTTTATGTATTTTTTTTATCTGTTACAGAAAAACAATGGTACAAGAAAAACGATATGGTGTTGATAGTCGATTGCTTGACGAATTAAAAATTATACAGTTAAAGAGAAGGAAAAGATCAATGTTTCAACAATTGGCCTTTGTTTCTTGCAATAACGTTGGAGGAAGTGAATTAATGGTCACGGCTACCCACAACGACTAACAATTGATTCAACGCCCATACAGAATTTTCGCCCGCCGGTGCAGGAGATTGATAGAATTGATGACACAACTGTGGAATTAGTGATAAGCGTTGTTCAGTTTATAAGAATAAGATTCAGAAGTATTGCTAGTTTAGCCGCCTTTATGAGAGCGCTCGGAGATCTAGCTGAAAATGATTCATCATCCTCAAACACGAGTGAAGAATCCAATGCGTCTGTTTCGACAGAGGGGTCACAAACATCAATTTCAACCACAGACGAAACTGTGCTCATGTTCCCAGGTGAAGTTTAAGGTTGTTAAAAAGCAAATTATCTGAAGTTTTTTATATTTTTATTATATATTTTCATGGCAACTTATTCAGCTAACTCTGATATTTTTCTCATTTTTTCATTTTTCCATTAACAAATGTGTATCATCAATAAAATAATAAATTATTCATAGTTTTATTTATGTCAAGAACACAAATCTTTTTTGATAATTGCAATTTTAGTCAATTCTAATATAATTCATTTGTTCAATCGATGACAATATTTGATTTTTAATTTTAAATATTTAAAAAAAATGTTGAATATTCAAAGGTGAATTTGTTTGGCCGGAATCGTATTCCAATGTGTGCTAAAGTGGCCCAAGAGAAAAACGTAAAATCTTTGAAAATGTTAATTTTAAAATATACCTTTAAAACGGGGGTGTTTTCACGATTTTTTCTGCTTTTCAGTTTACCCTTGAAAATCGGGGTGTTTTTCCTTAAAAATGTTAATTTTAAAATATACCTTTTTTACGATTTTCTGTTTATTAGCCTTGAAAATCAGGGTGTTTTTCCTTAAAAAGTGGCAGTGTGCTGAAACGGCCCACATATTATGAGCCATTTGTTTAGCCTTGAAAATCAGGGTGTTTTTCCTTAAAAAGTAGCTGTGTGCTGAAGGGGCCCACTTACTACCAATCTGAAGTAAAATTCACGGCAGTATTTCACACAAGGAAGAAAAAAAAAATATCTTTTTACTTTGGTTATGTTATATGTCAGTCATGTGATGTATGCATAGTCGTCCCTTTTGGCTTGAGGGGATCATTAAAATAAAACAAAACTTATTGAAAAATTAGTTTTAACAAATTTATAAAACTGGTTTATACCACACAATCTCTCCATTGAGGCAACCGCTAACCAACATAAAATTCCTAGGATTAAATTTACAAGACACAACAATTTGACTGTGATAATCGTTCAGTTCTAGCAGCGTTGTCAATTGTCTGGGTTTTTCAGGCACACAATAAGACAGTTCTTCATATTTCTCACTGAAACCTAATAGTCTAATTCCTTTATTATACGGAGAACAGATGACTCGGCCATCAGGTGAGTAACACAGCTCTTTGATGTATCCTCTCCCAACGTTCTCTTCTTTAATATAATGAGTCAAACGAGGTAAATTCACTATAACTTTGTTACGTTCTTCTGGATGTTGTTGGAAATAATCACTGTAACTATTTCTACCAATCAGTCCACTATTAATAATTCCCATTGAGGGCAATTGGAGATTCTCAAACATATTTGGCTGCGCTTGTCTATCACTTGTATACTGATAATTCGAGATGTAACCCATCCAGAGATCTGTCGGTCTTGGATTTGCGGTGCCTTCATCAGAATCGGAATTCTGAGACGCTTCACCTTCGTCCAAATCGTAATTATCGCAGCTTTCGTATTGGAACATAAAGACTTCGCGTTTTTGAATATCATGAACACAAGTGGCCTAAAAAGTTAATTAAGTTAAATCAGTTTTCAGTAATGGGAACAGACCTCTTCACTTTCGTTCCCACTCAAACTTCTCGAAACGGCGTTCCAACCGTGGGGATGTATTTGTAACGAACTTATAACTTCCGCATCTATTGTAAAATCGTCAATAAACTCGACTCGATTTCGTCGCCTTGATGGAAGAAATAAATAATTAAAAATAGTCCCCGCGGGAAAGCTCTGACCACTCATTTGCATCAGACGGTATAGAACTGGCTAAAAACAAAAAAATACATAACGTCATCTATCAACTCAATTAATCAAGTGCCACCTTAAATGATCTGAAATCGTTAGCTAGTGTGGCTAAATTAAGGTCGTGGACAATAATCATGTAACCACTAGTAGTTGATATGACCATTTTTGAACCATCTGGAGACAATTTTGTCCTCATAAGGCCATTCATTAGGAAGACTTTATCATACAGCATACTATTCTCAGTTGGGCTTTTCAAATCCCAAGCATAAATACTCCCATCAAAAGCTGACGTTACCATTACATTATCACGTTCCGAGAATTCGATATTCTTGACCTAGCAAACACTATCAATAAACGAAATCTAAAATCTAAGCCATTTTCAAATTACCCAATTTGAGTGCCCATGTAAAGTTTTCGTCTCATTTTTTAAATTCCGAGTATCCCACAGTTTGATAGTGTTATCGTCTGAACACGTGGCGAATTGTCTATCATCCAGAAATCTGAAAAAGCGGGTCAAATGCGCATTTTCTTGGGGTTATGTTCACCTGACACAATTTACGCAATTATCGTGTGCTTTTTCCATCGTTTTTATCAACCTTTGTGTGGAGGCATCATAAATTAATACACAACTGTGTTCACATGCAGCTACTAGAAGTTTTCTACAAGAAAAAATGTTGGAGAAACTCTTGAGAAGCAGAAAGGGGTTACCCATCAAGGCTAAATTCCAAGTTAAAAATTCCTCCACCCTTATTTCCAGGATTGTGTTTACCCTCCAGAGAATAGCAATCAATTTTATTGTACAGTTTAGCATAAATATCGTCGTCACAGCCAATGTATGATTTTAGTCCTAATTCTCGCATTCGCAGGATTTCATTTAAACTGTGCTTAAAAGTAGGATTGTGGGCTATACGGGACGATGGTTGGGGGTTACTCATTGTAACGTTTCCCAATATTACATAATACTTTCAAAATTAATTCAGTTTATTTTAAAAACTGCATTTTACACATATTTGTTGTTGTAAAAGTCGAAACGTCAAACATCTGTCAAGTTTAGTTTCTAGTAAAAATTTAAACATCCCTACGTTGACGCGGTATTATTTGAAAGTGCAGGATTTGCGTTCAGTTTATTAGCTGAAAGGATTACTCTTAGACTGCAATTATGTTTGTACCACTCTCGCCAATAATCGACGTATTTTTCTATTGTTAAAACTAACCAAGATGTATAAGTAAAATTAATTGCCGCAATACCTTAAAACATAAATATAATACACAAAACACTTTGTTTTCTTTACCAAAAATAGAAATAAATGCCATAACATGTGAAAGAATAGTTTTTCGAAATTTTGGGCTTGCCTTAGCCATAGACTCGCATAGTAACATTAACATATAGGTGGAAGTCACCGTCGACGGTGTATAAACAACCAAAGTAATAATATCAACTAATAATTCCCTAAAATGATCTCCAGGATGTCTTAAAAAAACAATAATTGACCGTAGAATCCCATATCTTAAAAAAATGTAGTCCTTATTAAAAAGAAATAACCGTGTTATAAAATTACTTCGGTTCTCTCACTACTCTGAAGTGGTATTGGCATAGCTCACATTCATTCCTATTTGATTCGTTCAGCCAAATCTCCAAACAGTTCAAATGAGCTAAAGCTATCGACCCTTTACATTTACAAGGAGTGAGTAAATCCCCGGAACTGTAACCGCCATGACAAATCCGGCAAATATAATCCTTCCCCTAAAAGAGAATTCTCCAATACGAATCAATAGAAGCACTGACCTAACATCAATGTGAATGCACATTTCGTCACAATTCGGTCCTTTTTTAGCCAGTAGAGGCCGCGTCACGGCATTCGATGATGCGAAAATGTCGGGGAGACCCCGCATTTGTAACGATCTCTGACTACCCACCGAATCATCTATGGAAGTTTTTTACTTCTAATTCAGAAATCCAGAACTTACTGTCAGATGCTGCTGATGTGGATTCTGTTATCATTTGAGAAAATTAAAATACAAGAATTTTGATTACAACATCGCGTTAAATTTGAAAGGTGAATGACGTTTCGTAGGTCTTCTAGATTTATTTTTTATTCGCTAGAAATTTATGTTTTGCAAAATCAAATCCGTTTTTGTCTTTGAGACTTTTTGAGGCTCCATTTTCGAGCAAGATAGTCACAATTTCATCACTACAAGACAAAATGGCTGCTCTCATTAGTGGAGTCCATCCGTTACAGTCTTTAGCATCCACACATAAACCAATTTTTAAAGCGAATTTAACACTTTCAATGTTATCAGAATCAACAGCATGGTGTAGTAGAGTAAGTCCGTTGATGTCGGTTGTGTTGGTGTCACAACCTTTATCAACCAATAAATGTGCTACTGATAAGTGGCCGAGAGATACAGCTATTGCTAAAGGACTCTTTTTAGTGTAGAAAGCCGGAGTGTTAATATTTGCACCAAGAGTTATTAAAAAGTTGACTAAAGTGGGATCATTTTTCTCAATTGCTTGAACTAGAGGAGTCTTCATATATTTGTTTTCAACTTCGAGTAAAATTGGACTAAAAAAAACTGTCCATTTGTGAATTTTGACTAAAAATGGAATACCGAGCGTGTGCAATTTTCCGGATCAAGGGTGTCTTCCCAGTTTTGATGGCTCGAGTAAAGTGCATAGTCATATAAGGGCTATCTAACGTTGCTCCTTTAAAATGTGTCCATTTCTCACTTGACTCGGGTTTTATCCTAAAATCGTAACAAGTACATGGAGCCAAATCCTTTACTTTGACTTCATTTTTGGGTCCCCAGTATATCACAACCCACTCTTTTAACTCATTTAACATTTGAACGACACAAGTGAAGTCATTTAACTCTTTTATATCGTTCCACGAGAAAATTACGTGGTTTTGTCCCCGATTAATCATCACAGGTTTCTGATTCAACGCCATTTTCGTATCTGCGATGATCGATCAAACAAACCGCTCGTCTTCTCATCGCCTGTTAAAATTCCCGGTCTTGAAGAAAGTCGAACGTGGCCGAGGTCAGCAAGAGATTGTAGAAAGTTAACAGCAGTTCGTGTAACTATGTGGCTCCGTTAGTTACAAGAAATTCGACAAAATGAAACGGTGTTCGTACTGAAAATGTTATTACTCTTCGTTTTACTCTTGACAAGTTCAGGTAAGGTCGATCAAAATCAAAAATGAGGGTTCATCCCCTGGTTCCAGGTTCATGTCAAGACAGTGAAGGCCCCTACCGAGGCAAACATATCGGGAAACTAAATTCGTACCACCATGAAGTCGGGGGCGACGTGTACGCGGTGGACGACTACACCATCTTATTAACATCGTTTAGTTATGACGGAAACGGCGCTGATACCTTCTTCTGGGCGGGGGCGTCCAACCGGCCGGGACCCCAAGGGTTCATCGTACCGGACGAATACGGAAAGTAATAATTCGCTACGTCTCAAAACAAATTTTACAATATTGACTCTAGGACTAACGTTTTGGGGCGTTATTTCCAAAAAGACTTCACCCTGACTCTCCCCGATAACAAAAAAATCACAGATATTAAATGGTTTGCTATTTACGACCTTTTGAGCCAAAATACATTTGGGGACATTTACATCCCGGAAGAATTCGAGCCGCCAACCGTCCAAAAAATACCTCAACTGGCTTCAAAATCTCATTCAGTGTCTTCGGGGGCCGTTGAAATCATTGACGCTAAAAGAATCCGACTAAATGACTTTCGCTATAATGGACAAGCCAAAAATGCCCATTTTTGGGTCGGAGTTGGTGCTCAACCTGTGTCCAAGGGGCATAAAGTACCCGACGAAAACGGATAGTGAGTCAAAAAAAAACAACAAAATTATTGTATTACTGGTTGCCTAAATTCTAGTTTGGATCCTCTGCGCGCCTATAAAGGCGAGACTGTCACTCTTGAACTTCCCGGGGATTTAACAATATTCAACATCGCCTGGTTTAGTGTTTTTGATCTTGAAACTAACGAAAATTTAGGTTCGATTATTATACCAGATGGACTTAACGTCCCTCCGTCTCTAGTCAAAGTTATTGTAAGACGGGGATTCCCCCAAGTATCTAATTTTCACAACAAGAGTAAAATTGTAGCCTTACGAACACCATCTACCTAATTGTTTGCAACTACATAAAGATTTTCAAGTCTCATGGGACATTTTTGGGCCCGCAATTACCATCCAAATGGCCGGACAAGTCGATGAAAATTCCTACTTGGCATTTGGTTTATCTGGGTCAAGAGAAAAGAGTCAAATGTTGGGTTCTGATGTCACTGTAGCCTATTTAGACGGTTATAGAGGCTTCGCCACCGATTATAACATCACAGCTTTAACTCCTTGTGTTAAAGTTTTAGGACAATATAAAGGTGTATGTAAGGACGATCTTGTAGGGGGCCAAGAGAGCAATCAAATGCACACAGCCACCCGAGAGAATGGCATCAATATTATCACTTTTCGGCGCTCTCTTATCTCACGTAAGTCACTCAAAAGAAATATTAATAAAAATTATTAATTATTAATTTTTAGCCGACCCAGGCGACCAGGAATACCCCACCGAGGGCTCAGTTTACATAATTTGGGCCATGGGTCGCCTTGACCACAACAAGGAGCCCACTTTTCACGACATTTACCCCAAGTCCAACATCAGTATAGAACTGCAACCCAAAGAACCTTCATCAAATTGCTTCTCCTTCACACGTTCGGATACCCAACTTCGAGAGCCCTGGATCAAAGGCCAGATCTACGATAAGACCATCAGGACATTTAAGGCCTATTTGGGACCTTCGGGGGGCCGAAGAGGCTACCAAGGAACCACCGGACAAACGTCCACGACTCTAGCATGGTACATTAACGGATTGTTAGCCCCCGAATTGTGGCTGAGGCGAGGCTTGACTTATGTTTTCCGCGTTTATGGTGGAAATAACCCCCACAGTGCTGAGTTTTATCACCCTTTGATTATCACCGATGAGCCTCATGGAGGGTTTGACCGGTTATCTGACGAGGCACAGGCCAAAATAAGGGTTTTAGCAGGGGTGGAGTACTCGAGAAGAGGACGGCCAAGACCCACCACAGGTATTTTATAGAAGAAATCAAAATTAAAAGTGTGTTTACAATTTTTCCAAATATTTTAGCGGGTCCGTTGTGTTTAGCCAAACATCAAGATGCGAATGACCGTCGCCTCGATGATGACTTTCCCACTTTTAAGAAATTCAACCGGTCTTTGGTCTATTCTTGTCAGGAGGGCGAGCCGGGGGTTTTGGAATTTACGCCAAACTCGTCATGGCCCGATATTGTTTATTACAATTCGTTTACACAGTCGAACATGGGATGGAAAATTCACATAATTGATAGCTTTTCATCGCGATCGAAAGGAATTTCTTTACGTGGAAACGTTTTTGTCTTATTATCAATTTTGTTTGTTAAGCAATTAGTGTAATTGTTTATTTAAACAAAGATGCCATAAACAGATTTGTCTTAAATTTTGGGTGATTGTGTAATTGACCAGGACTTAATTATTTATTGTAATTAACACGCCTGAACTGTAATTTATTTATAAATAAAGTGATATAATGTACGTAATGAGTGTTTCATTGAGGATAACAAGGTTAAAAAATCATAGATAAACAAACATGTAAAAATGTCGAGTTATAATAAGAAAGTAGGAGATTTAAAAATGTTTATGACAGGTTCCGTCAGTAGGAAGTCGTATCTTAAGAATTTTTATTACAAATATTAAATAGATGTAAATATCGACGACAGCAGAGCCGCACTAGGAATATCGTGTCTCAGAGTAATAAAAAAGATAAACGTGGAAATGTACAACTAATTTTACACATAAAATTTTTCTCGTAAATTAGTTTATAAAATAACAGAAAACTGAAGAAATAAAAATATTTTATCCACAATCACTCTATAAAGAGACTTTATTCCACACTTTAGATGCGTATAAAGTACCACTTTATCCACTAGTGGAATAATGTAACTTTATTCCACTGTTAGTAACCGGCGCACCGCGTAACAGCTTACTACGTTTAACCGAAAGCACATTTGGTGTGACGTTTAAATGTCAGTTTAATTTTTAATTAAGTTTGGAATAATTTGGGTCTGTGATTGTGGATAAAACGATATATTGCAGTCGTGTGTTAGTCGCGTTTTATCCACTTATGAAAATTAATCAAACTGACGTTCTCGCGGTTAAACATTCTTGCGTGGATAAAACGCTATCTAACACACTCTTACAATAAATAACTATTCCGTAAAATCTATTAAAAAGAAAATTTTTAAATAAGAAAATAAAGACGAAGGAAATAAAGATAAAATTTATAAATAAAAATATGCTTTATTTTCAAAACATTGAAAACCAATAAAATATAAAAAACAACTAGATAATTTTAATTTCTTTAAATTAATTAAGTTAATAATAAGTTTCACTTATTATTATCATTTAGTTTTAAAAAATATTGCTTTAAGAGTCCTAACAATAGGGAAATGATAGATACCTACTCTACTATACGAGTATTCTAAAAAGTACTAATATTTAAATGAGGGTCTTTTAATTAAAAGATGTTGCATCGCTAATAAAGTTTATTATATTTGAAAAGTATATTTAAAAAAGATGTTTTAAAAACAAATTATGGAAAATATTGTAATGAATTATTTATTACTTCCTAATCCTAAAATTGTATTATTGGAACGGCAATAATTCTCATCACTTTTATGCGCAAATATTTAAGTTTTATTTGTGAGAATCCTGGTAATAACTCAAACGTCCATAACAATAAATAAAACTTCTTGATAAAAGATAAGAGAAATAAGCTAGTCACAGTAGGTGTTTGGTAGATAATCCAGCCCTGCTTGGTGATTGTGAATTCCTCAACAAATAAACAAATCTGTCGTTGGCGGAAATTGGGTCAATGGATTTTACTGGTTGCCTACCTGTAGATAATTATTATCTTTCTGTATTTTCCCCAACAATAAACATTTTCGCGTCAAAACACGTCCATCAGCGAGCATTTAAATTTAGCCACCATTTAGCTCCAACAATAAACAGACCATCCGAATCCACTCGAAATAATTAATTCGCATAAAATTTATTTATAAGCCATAATCCATCATTGACATAAGTTTGAAATCCGCGCACTTGAATTATCGTTTCGGACAAAAATAAAACAATAAATTAAATACGCACGAGTTTATTTAAGAGAAAATTAACGAGTCTAGATAGCGCCCCGTAAATATTTTATCGAGTTCGTGAAATATTATTTATGTCACCCCACACCCCCATAAGCCCATTCGTTCTATTTTATTTGTCACTGGAGCTGTCGAAGCGTGTTAAACAGATTTATTTTTACAGTGGCGCCGACAGACCCACCAAAACAAACACGGGTTTTAGACAGAGACGAGAGAAACGGTCTTTTTATTTAATCTCCGGAGTCTAGACTCACCCCACGATAGGGGATTGATAATCTGAATCTCTACAAGGGATGATGATTGCTTTTCAGCCAGTTGAAAATTTATGAGTTGAGTCACTGTGTTGAAGAACTGCGGTTTGCAAGTCTTTGTCGGTCTCTTGTTATTAATATAAGCACGTTATTGAACTTTGCCACTTATTCGTTATTGTTGTCGAATTGAAAGAAATATTTAGCACAGAAAGTGCGACGATAATGTTTTAATAACAACGAAAATGTTTCAATGACACATTCCTCAGCGACACAATGCAATGAAAAGAAAAATCGCAGTGCTAACATTCATGTATGAATTTTTTATGTTGATATTTAAATGAGAAAATTAGGGAATGTGGTTTTTAAATTGGTGACATTGTTAATGTTTCGTAACGTTGTCAATCCGGGTATTAAAATTGTTTATTTTTGTAAGAAAATAGCTACAGGCCGTTCGACAATAGAATGGACAAAAGCCGTTGTGCCAAGCTGTTATTATGTGAAAGTATTTGCTAGTTATGTTAGTCGCACCGCATCGATTAAGATTTTGTGTACAAAACTGTGACCTTTTCCTTGTTTGTGAGTCTATTTATAAGCAATCAGTTCTAATTTAGTTTTTCCTAGTCTATTCCAATGCAATTGCATGTTTTTCAGTGTAAAATAATTAAATTGACAGAATAGAAATAACGTATTTTGGTGCCTCACGAGAGTGCCTCACACGCCTTGATCGCATTGGTGCTCACACAAAGGTAAGACAGTGGCTCGAGTGGGGAGAGACCGGTCCACTGCAACTGTTAACTACTTGAAATCGGAAGGAAAATAAAATCAGTCGACGAAAGCGCGTCTTGGTGTGCAGATCCGAATGTAAAATGCCGCGCCGCGTCCTTCTGCTCCTCCTCAGTGCCTTCTCCATAGTGCACTCTGCGAAGAACGTCTCCTTCCTCGCGAAGAACGTCACCATCTCCAAATGCTGTTCCTTCACAGACACCCTCAACAACGAGAACAAATGCATCCCTATACTAACCCCAAAATGGACTCTCAAAGTGTTCAGCCCCCGCAGTCACAACTACCTCCCCGATAACCAGGTGCCCCCCAACTGGCACTTGAAGCCGGCGTCCAAGCCCCCATGCGCCCTACCGGCGTTACTCACCCCCAATCTGGGCAACTACATCTCCTTCCAAAACGGCTCGCTGTACGTGCTGGAGTACAACGAGATCGTGCACCCGGACAACTTCTGCATAGACTATGCCGCTGTTTTGGTGTGTCTCAAAGCGCAACAAGCGGAAAGTGTGACGGCCGTCAGGGTGAAGAAGTGCTGCGGGGAAAATGCCATCTTCTCAGAGACCAATAAGACGTGCATACATTTCAAAGACGCGGGGTACAAAATCGATATAGGGCCCGATAAGACATTCACCGCGGGATTTCCCACGTGCGACCACCAGGAGGTCGTCATCACGGAGATGCTGAAGGAAGCGGAAATGCACAAAAATGGCAGTTTGTGGCTACCGAAGATGAAGGTGCTCCTACCTGCCGCCAATTACTGTCTGGAGAATATCCTGGAGGATGCCGGTAAGCAAACAGTCACCATTTTTCAGTTTTTTGAGGGTTTTGTACAACACTGTTGATTACGAACTAAATTAAATTTTAATTATAATTATTTACCACTCGTATACAATTTTTTGTCGCACACAAAATGAGTGGCACCCCTGAGCGAAATGACAGAAGTTTTTACAAATGCATTACAACATAATCACCACGTAATTTATTGTCACTGATTAGGTGATTAGTTGGGTTATAATAAAAAGTAATTATCTATTAATATTTGAATTTCATTATTTTAATTTTAGTGTTTTTTATCGATCTTCACTCTTCAGAGAAATTGGCTGGTTAACGCACCTACATACTTTTTCGTCATATACAGATGTCCCAGCGAGTTAGTAAGATCCTTTAGTAACCTTTAAATGGTAAATCGCCTAAATTTATTTTCAACTATACAGCGTGTCTCAAAAATAAGTTAAACAAGCTTGTGTTTTTTAAATGAAACACTATATGTTCCTTAGCATTTTTGGATCTAGATTTTTATGACAATGTTTTCAAACTAAACTTTTATTGGTCGATTTTGCTTAGTTTTAAAAATAAGACGGTTTTTTGATTAAAACATAAACATGCACTTTTTAAAAATTCATTACACTAAAACTAAGACATCTAGAAATATTTTTTTTACTACCGCAAAGAAGAAGACACATGCTAGAAGGCTGTAACATATTTTAGTGTGTTGCATTTTTTGCAAAGATAAAAAAAATAAGACGTTTGTTAAAAGTTCAATAACTTAAAAAAAATTAATAGAACACCTATTTACTATTTTTGCATTTAAGAGATTATTAAATTATCTTTTCAAATCATTTACTTTTCGATGTTTATAATCAATAACTAAAAAGATAGGTACCTATTTAACTTTAAACATTAAAAAAATAACTATTGTTTCAATAGCCAAAAAGTGCACAGTTGCACAAGAGATGGAAGAAAAAAACGTCTTATTATTTCTAAAACTAAGCAAAATCGACTAATAAAACTTTAGCATAAAAACATTATCTTAAAAGTCTACATCCAAAAATGCCAAGAAACATATGGTGTTTCTTTTAAAAAACACACGTTTGTATTGTAACTTATTTTTGGGTCCTGCTGTATGGTTGAAAATAATTTTACGTGATGCGCTAGATTACTTTCCTATATACATCTTTTAAAATTTCATCATTTAACGTCAATATGGTCAATATTGGACAATATTGTACTTTACCAACTCACTGGGACACCCTGTATTAGGGTGATCCATAATTTAATAATTAGTGATAACATCAAAATTATTAATTATTTCAATAAGAAATTAAGTCTATTTTTTGCATCATGAAGATTTATCAGTACCATTACCATATATTATGTAAAGTGACAAGTTTCATTTATAGGGTGATTCGGTAAAAACTGTTATTAAAACGCTAATAAAATCTAATTATTCTTTGATGTTTCTTTGCGTAACTGTAGAATTGCAGGAAATTGAACGACTTTAAGTGTAATTAATAATTTTATGTAAGTAAATTGTTTAAAGAAATGATTTTATTGGTTCTTTGGTACTGCAAGATGTTAGATGCTTGAATGTTAATGTAACTCTTAACGGTGATTTTAATGAGTATTTTAATAATAAAATGGCGTACTTTATTTTAATGGAATAAAAACAAACGACATATGGTTTAGTTCACTTGTTCACTAATGAAACAGTTATTTATACAGGATGGAGTATAAAAATATGTAAATTTGTTTAGATTTTCGTTCGTGGAAGTTGAAATAGTGAAAAAAAAAAAGTTAAAGCAACAAACTATGTTTTGTTTTTGTTGTAACGTAAAATGCATATCAATATAAAGGTGTACAAAGCATGAATGACCTTTGCATTCAACGTGACATTGATTCTCATGGTTGTTAACATTTTCTTAATGCCTCATACGTTCGAATTACCTAAATTTCCTCAACAATTGCGGCCTGAATGCCTTGACTGGCCAAGCGTAGAAAAAATCGCCAAGATTCCCAAAAACCCATTTTACGACTTTGTGTATGTAATTTAAACGAAATTACATGTTGATCGTTATTTCCTTTTCACTTATTGTACCGACAAAGAAATCTGACCCAAATTCTCAAATTTACCATTGTCTTCTTGTTATTACCGTTACAACCATCCATTGAACTCGAATTACGGTCAAGTCGTCGAAATTCTTCCGAATCGGTCTAAATTTTCCGTTTTGCTCTAATGATGCGAAAAGTATCGATCAAGGACACGCATGAGGACATCCAGGCCGCTACTAACGTCAAATTTTGTTCCAGGTCATTCCCCGAAGATAATGATTTGCCAGGAGCATGTGACGGTGGAGAAGGCCGAGAGCCACGACATCCGTTTCATCATCTACCCAATAAGTCTGGCCCTTAGCGCGGTTTTTTTGGCGGCGACGCTGGCGGCGGGGGCCATTCTGCCCGCCAGCCACCACGTGCTGCACTGGCGGTGCCAGACCAACCACGTGGTGTGCCTCCTCGTCGGCAACGTTCTGCTGTGCATAACCCAGCTCTCGGGCCGGATGGATCCGACTGTGTGCTTCTCGATCGGTGAGTACAATTCTTCGTGAGTCACTAGGAGGAACTCTCGGTTTTTGGCCCAACTTTGGCCATCTGGCCGTGAGTCATCCGTTGAGAGTTTTGTTTTTCCTAATAACACGACGCCATCGTGAGTCTGCGAAAAATCAACGCTTGGCGTGGTCACTCAGCCGACTGTGAAGCACGTAATTAAAGAGATGGTTCGAGGAAGGTTCGTTTTTCTGACGCGTTTACACGCTATGAAAATCGATCTAGGGACATTAGTTCCGGCGATTGTTATGACCAGAAATGCCTGAAGAAATTCTAATTCGCTTAATTGTCTCACGGATGGGTTTTAAGACCGGATTAGATGATTATCGTTCGAGCTTAGAGCCATTAAGGAGGATAATTGAGATCTAATCGATGTAAATTTTGCTTGTGAGCTACAAAAATATTTTTGCCGGTCTTTCACCTTCCGAGAACGCCCTTCATTTATTTGCCCGATCTTTGGAACCATTATCACGTCTATTTACATTTGGAAGATAATAAAGCCCCTTCGAGTGGTTCCATTCAATTTGAACAGGGTAATAAAAGTGACTATTGAAATTTCAAAAAACTACTACTTCTGCATTTTATTGGGTCCTTTGGTACCGTTATTTAGGATACTTACAAATTCAAAATTCTTTGCGCAATAAAGTCAGTCACTGACCCGTTCTGCTTAGAATGTGAGTATTTGGCGGGCTATAAATGTGTGGAATTGTCCAGTCTTAGGTCATTTAAAGCGAATTTTACCATTTTTATGATTCTCTGAAAAATGTGCGAAGCATTTTAACGCTATTTTAAAATGTCATCTAGGTGTAACTTTTTATTCTACTTGATCGTTTATCGTTTTTTTAAAACCGATGTCCATTAATAAATCCTCATTAATAGATGTTGATTAAAATTAGTAGTAACGAAATATCGAACCCGAATTTATAAAGTTTGATCAACGAAACGTTATAACTCGTTTATTATTTGGTGATTAGTAATCTCGACAGTTGTCTTATTATTAATAGTTTTCATTAATAAACTCGTTTATTAATTACTTTTGAAAAATAACAAAAAATAACGAGTATCAAGGTCCTGAAAATTTCCCAATCAAATGAGTAGCAATTAGAAATAGATCAAATATAATACATAAAACCTAAAACGACAAATTGTATGTTTGTCATTCTTTGCTTTATTTATTTATTTTTTTGAAAACTGAGGAAATCTTAATTTTATTGGGTCATACTGGGAAAAGTTTCTTGCGCAATCGAGTCACTGACCCGTGCAGGTTAGAACGCGAATGGATGTCATTTATGACGGTTGTAGATCACCGTTTCAGGTAGCAATGTCCACTTTCGGCTTCAGGAGAAATTGGGAATTCTGATGAATCGTTGAAAGCGATTGTGCAATTACCGCACGCGTAATAACATCCGTGAAGGTTGAAAAATTGTTTGTGCAAAAATCGAAATATGAGTAATTTTCAATATTGAGAATAATAATTGTCTCATGACCTAGTGAGTCGAGTTGCACCTGCCATAAAAGGAAGTAATTAAAAGGCGAGCAGCGACTGATTTGTACATGGGAGAAATCTCATGTGAAATAAATTGCAAGAATTGAATATTTTCAGAAATTTACGCATCTGAAAGTTTCCAAAATCGCTGTAATAAATAAGCCATTAAATGTGAATAAATGTGATCATTAATCCAATCAAGATTTTCAGAATCTAGATTTATTATTTACGAGCCATCTTTCTAACGAACACATCCTGCGATAAATTGCATGAAGAGGCGTCCAACTCAGAAAATTTAATTTCAACAATTTATTTAAATTAATTCTGATGGAGTCTCCACACCTACGGTCCATCCCAATTGCTGGAACCGTTAAATTCGTGTCAAAAATCGATTCGTTATGTTTTATCAATATCTAAAATTAAATCTTCCAAACATAATTAGGTCAACAATTTATTTTTTGTTGCAGCTGTGTCGATGCATTTCCTCTTTTTGGCGGCCTTCTTCTGGCTCAACACAATGTGTTTCAACATCTGGTGGACTTTTCGGTGAGTTGATCTATTATTGTTATAAATTTTGCAAGACAAATTAAAATTAGCGATGCGGAACGTGGGTACACGCAGATGTGTGTTTAGCAAAAATTCATTCGAGAGGAAACCTTGGGTTTATGGGTCAGGCGACAAAGTTCATCGCGATAGATACGAATAAAATTTTAATTTTTTCGAAATCTCTTAAAACGTCCTGCAGGAAGCTTTCCAAGATTCAAGAAATAAATTTTTGTGGCGTCGTTACTTTTAGAATTTTTTAGATAAACAATAATCGCGACTTTGTAGGATTATAAAATCTCTTTATGTAAACACACGTACGGATTAAGAACATCTGTTCTCAAAGACCTGGACGTCCAAATTTGAATAATTTTTTTTTTAATGTTGCAATTTTGCAAATTATCAGCTCGGCAATAAATCTTGTCCAAATAAATCAGAAACAGGTGTCAAAAGGCAGCCTTGAATTCAGTCCGGTTTCAAAAACGTTGTAACACATTATGTGTAAAATGTCGAGATCGGATGGTTATAAATATAATTTTTCTAAATCGACTGTCCGATTAGCTGGCGCCGCGTTGTTTGTTCATTAATATAAAGTTCTAACCCGGAATTATTCTATAATTAGAAGCGCGTGCATATTTCAAATGCAAAATTTTCAAAGTTTGTTCACCGACAACTAAATATAACTGAAGACTAGTCGTTTGACCTTACTAGTTCCATCACTGACGGCTTTACGAGCGAATTCTGTTATAACACACTTGTACGCATTCCTATACCGCCAGCAAGAAGCAACAAATTGATACCGAGAACTGGTGGAATGTCTTCGGCGCTTCGACCACCAAACGAGACGGCATTTTTCAGATAACGAGGTCGCGGGAACACCCCCACAAGGGGAAAAACACATAAATAAGGCTATTTTTATCCGGTGAGACACCCACCGATCAGGAAGAGTCAAGCTTGACGTTTTGACGGCTTTTTAGGAAACGAAGGTTGAAGTGATAAAAAATTCTGGAGAGGGCTACTCGTACAAATAATTCACTAAAAATAATAGATTTTGTTAACTAATAAGAACAGATTTAGGAGAATTATTATTTAAAAAAATATCTTAATTTCGTAAACCTTCAGTTTTAGTTCTAAATAATTGTTCAAAGAAAAGTGTTACAAAAAACTACAAAAATTCTGATGAATTCTGTAAAAACACTTTTGTCTGGTTGCTATTTTGGACAACAAAAAATATGTGTATTTTTAGTAGTCGTACCATCAGGTATTTCTTTTATTTGAAAATTCCATTTTTATTTTTATACTGGTAGCAACACTGCAAAATTTTTCCGCTTTTTGTGGCTGGAATGTCTTTTGTTTATGTAAAGGAATGTATTTATTTCAAATCTAACTATTTAAAAATATGATTTCTACTCAGGATTTTTCTATTTTAAAATAGCACTTTATTATTTTTTAATTTTCCATTTTACGCCGGGAATATAATTGCATTGACTCTTTTTTATGTTTGATCAGCCATTTCAGTAAATTGTTTCGACAGTTTTTCTAACAACTGTGCTTAATTTTTGTTAAAGTTTACACAGAAACTTTTACAGTCCTATAAAATCTTTCAAGTCAGAATTATTGTTTATGTAAAAAATGCTAAAAGTAGACTTGGCTGCAAGAACGGTCGGAATGCCTCCTGCAGCTCCTTGCAGGAATCTCGCTGCAGGTATAATAATTACGTGGCCGCGACTCGTAATTATACCTATTAATATTCCAATGTCCAATGCCCCTTGCTTGAAAAGTTGCCAATCTCTCGGTGTCATTCCACGCAATTAATTGCCGTCTTTGAATACACATGAGATGGAACAATTCCTGCTATTGCAAGTACCGTAAGCCGATTAACTAAAGGAAACGAGTTCCGTTCCTTACAAAGCACCATTTCGGGCCACTAAAGAGGCAGTTTTATTTATTGTGATAAGCCGGAAGAGCACCTAATGCAACTTGAATCCATTTTAAGACCTTATTCAAACAAACAGGCTCATAAATTGACTTCTTTCGGTGACGACATAGAGTAAATTCAAAATGTATTAGCCATTAATTTTGTCACCGGCATTTTTCCGGATGCTATCCCAACCTTGGGAGTCGTCTCAACACTTTCTCCTCTCACGGATGTGGCGTGTTATTATTGTTACATTTGGGATTGTTTGAGCACGTGTTCCCTGTGTAAAAATGTGTTGGGGAACCGGAAGTGACTGGGGAAATCTCAAGCCGATTCAAAATTGAGACGTTTAATTAATGAAAGTTTGGGTGTCTTAGGTCGTGGCTGATATCTAAATATATTTAGTTCATTAAGAACCATCACTTGTGAAGAGATATATGGATGGCTGGTGTTAAAAGGGGAGATGGCGTCTTACCATGACCCAGATCGGTTTACACCAGTCCAAGTATTATAATTGGCAAATGCAAATGTCTAGACAGTTAATTGTGCACTTGCAAGATGGCCGACTTGAGAAATTTGTCGGGAAATAGAGCGTTTGATATGGGAAAAAACGTCATGTCCGGCGAAAGCTGCAAGTTGTCACAGTTTTTCTTAACACAAAAAAGAAAATGTTTTACCTCATTTTGAAACATTTTTCCCAAAATTAGTATTCTTTTCATTAAATGAAAGATATTATGGACCTCTGTTCGCTTTGAAAGAAACAAATAAGGCCAAAATAACGGCAAAAATTGTTTGTTTGAAGACATACAAATACCAACTTAGTGTTTTTTTTTCTTCAATAATAATAATATTAACTAATTTTTAAGTCATGATAATAATAACCGTTTCACTAACTGAATTTAAGAGCTTTTAATAGTAATACCAATGATATTGCACAATATTCTCTCCAAAATTTCAAGAGCAAGGAGAGAAGAAAAAAATTGCTTTTAGAGAAGATAAAGAGTTGAGAGAGTTGATAATACGAAGGTAGAAAAAGAGAAAAAAAATATTCAATTAAGAAAAGACAGTGAAAGGTTGAGAGAAAACCGAAATTGAAAAAAAAGCATAAAAAAGAAGAAAAAAAAATATTGGCGAAGAAAAAAAAGATATATTTAAAAAAAGGAAAGCAAGTAACTTGCAAAAGGAAGTTGTTTCTGAAATTAGTTTTGAGTTTCATCTTTTTTTAAAAATTCTAAAGAAAGCAATATGTACTTACATTTGGAAACTTGGAAAATTATTCTTCCAACAGGAAAAAGTCAAAGTGCAAAACTTAAAATCCTCATAACTTCAAAATTTTTATAGATGGATTTTTTAAACATTTTTCTTGTTATCTAGGGCATCGCCCAATGATACAGTGTCACGAAAGTGCGCGACTTTCCGGACAGCCTGTATTCAAATACATATAAGTACATATATTTTTTTTATTTTTGTTTCACCAATTTGCTATAACATTAAAGATGTAACATTAATTAAGTTTTTTACAAAATCGCAATAATAATATGCGCAGTGAGAATCCTATTTTAGTGTTTAAATTTTAAACAAATATACAGGGTGCGCCAGAACTCGCGCCCCAGAGAAAAATGCCATATAAGTAAGATGCCAGGAACATGGAAAAAATATTGTCTATAAAAATTTCGAAGTTATGAGAGTTTAAATTTTGCATTATGACTCTATTTATTTCTGTTTGAAAAATACTTTTCCAAATTTTTTTGCTATAGGCTATTAGAAGAGGAAACGAGGAAGCTGTAACCTAAATTGTAACTCTGTTCAATGTTATTTGTGGCTTTTATTGCCAAAATTTTTGTACCTTTATTAAATAATTGTAAAAAAGCATATACAAGATCATCAGTTCATTAAATAGACATAAAAAATATCAAATGTTAAAATTTTTTGACATAAAATTTTTTAAACATTTTTTTCATGTTCCTGGTATCTTATCTTACTTGAAAATTTTCTCTGGAGCGCGAGTTCTGGCGCACCCTGTATAAATAAATAAATAGAAATAAAAGGTCCTAGGGATTATTTTTTAAAAAACGCTGCAAAAAGCTGCATGATTGGTTAATTATTTTATTTACGTGTATCTTACCCACTTTAGTTTTACAAAATATCCATAATACTACCAACCTAAAACAAGATTAATTTTTCTGAAGTCTAAAGAAAAAAAAATATTCATGCGAGAAAGTTTTATAATATGATATATTCTATCATTCATCAAATTGTTTTTTCATTCTGTAAGTAAATTTTTGCCCTATGAGAACTTGTTTGTTGTGAACATCTTTATTTTTCTTATGAAAACAACTCTGTTTCAATTAAACTTAATATCTCTGAATGTGGTTTTCTCGTATTTGAATTAAAAACCACAAGTCAAGCAACCTAATCCGGGAATCTCACTATTCGTAACCCTATTCTGTCAGTTGGTACTCGATCTGTAAGGTCATCCACGCCATTTCCCCAAAAAGCCCTAATTTACGGTATCCTACCCGAAATAATCCTCCTTACCGTTGTTTTTCCGTTACTTCACAGTTCACAGTTGTTTCCCTCATTATCCGTAATTACGAAAATCGTGTCGGAAGAGGAAACCTGCCTCAAGCAATTAAAACGGTCATAAAAGCAATCAAGGCCGATCAAAGATTCGTTCCTTTCATGATAATCTCTTTGTTCCAGCGATCTGCGGCCGCAAAGCGTCGAAAAGAGTCAAGAGTGGTACCGTTTGCGCCTTTACGAACTCTACGCGTGGGGAGTCCCCGTGGTCATCGCCGGAACGGCCGCCATCTTGGACCAAGTGGCCGACAGTTCGAACTTTCTCCGGCCCAAGTTCGGGGACAACACTTGCTGGTTCCACGGTAAGGGTCATGGGTCAACGGACCGCAGATGGTGCACTTGCCGCCCCAAAAATCCAGCGGTCAAGGTTTGCGATTGATCGTGCCGCAAATTTCGTCGCAATTGTGATAAGAGATAAGGACAGTTGCCATGCCGTCTGCAACTGGCGATTATGCAAAACATATTTTCATGGCATTATCAGAGAAGCGTCATGGTGTAATGATAAAACGCTTGTAAATAAGTAAATTTAGAAATTATCGCTCGTAATTGAATACGATTACGACATACAAACTACAAATCATTTTTCACGGCTCGGGATGTTTCAATTGCGTTTTGATTTATTGACAATTATTTCCAAAACCTGTCGTCGTAAATTAAGGTTTTTCAGTTTGATGCCACCCTGGAATAGTCGCAAAATTGTATTTCAGAGAAATGTGCGGAAATTTTACCAGACACTTGTGTTATTTATGGAGCTACTGTTCTTGATAATTTATTTTCAATCTTGAAACGCAACATTTTTTTTTGATAATAATTATAAACTTGAGGATAAAAATATCGTACGTTATACGATAACACAAATAAACGGAATTTAAATTAATTGGAGTAAACAATAACACAGCTTTCGATTAATTCTATTTCAGTTTTTTTCCGAAAACGTCAGGCAAGCTGTTAACGAAATGTGTTTTGAAAAATGTTATTTTTAAAAATATACAGAAAAATAGACGGTTTTCTAAAGAGATTCAATGGAAATTCCTCTTAGCTTTTGCAGGAAATCAATTCAATTTGTTTTTCTCACATAATGATTACCTATACCTACTTAACTATTTTTGAGAGTAGAAATCTATACTTAAGTTTATTAATTTAAATTTGTGATGAAAAAAATAATAATCCACATTTGCTCTATTTTTCTGTTTTTTTTTTCTACCGACTTATTACTTCAAGTCCTAAGCTCGATGTTCTTGGTTCCAAACTCATTTTCGAAAAAAGGTTAATTTCTGAATGCCTAGCAAGAAGTAGACTTTTTCTGACTTTAAACCTCGAATTCTGACGTTTACACTAGAAATTCTAACTTTCTGAGCCCGACATAGAAATTGAGAACATTTTAATAAAAGAATTCTATGAAAGCTGTAATTTCCTTTAAATTTATTGTTATCAGAATTCTCACTTTTAAACTCGGGGTTAGAACTTTTGAAGTTAAAATGTTGGGATTTGCGACTTTTAACTTTATTATTCCGAAGTCTGTTCCAAGTTTAGAAAGACAAAAAAAGTTACACATCCTTCTATAAACTAAAACATTTAGTGATTTTAACCTTATTGAACTCTACCTATTGCTAGTTCAAATTTCGGGCTTAAAAACTCTTAATTTTTTCATCACAAGTCTAGATTTTTCAAATTTAGAATAAGGAAACATAATTCCAAACGAAAAGCCATAGTTCTGAGTCAAGTGCGAGACGTGGAAATTATGGAAACAATCCATGTTTTATAACTTCAAATTTTTAATCGCTAAGCTTAATTCGAGTAAGACTACAAGAATTTTTGGTTGATAAAAAAAGTGCTAATTAGAAAAATTATTATTCACAATCGCGTAATTAATGCGAGATAAGAGAACAACGGTTGTTCTGAGTAATACGGTAGCGCCGTGTCAGTTTATTAAGTTGGCATTTTTTTTGCTAAGTAAGTTAAAAATCCAACGGAATAAAATAATTCCGGAAATAACTATTGTATTCTTTTTTTTATCAATTCCAGGATATCGTTCGTGTAACATGAGAAAAACATTTGAAAATCTAACTTTAGCCCGATTTGTTTAGGTTTGAATTTCTAATAAATCAGAATAGTTGGGATTGGAAATGTTGAATCGCTTGATGTTATAAATTCCTTTGGAAATCCATCGAGTAATAAATCACAAGAATGCATTAACAACCCATCTCGCATAATCCGGCAATGCAATTACAATAATAAAACAATCAGTAAAAAGCTATAAAGCTGCATTTCCCAAGCTCCATTATTATATCATCAAGATATCGCAATCCGCACTAATTACACGGAATTATCGGAACGACAGTGAAGGCAAATCCATAAATAGTAAATACCTAGCAGACCTTGATCCATCCCAAAGTTATTTATTTACCAACAGCGCGGAAACGCACCCAACAATCAAAGAGAAATTTCAATTAAATAAAAATTAGTGGTAGGCGTGTATGATTCACGCGTTTTAGATTCATAAAGCGTCTTTTGTCCGGCACTTAGCACCGTGAAAGAAACCAATTTCGATGGAGGTCATTCAAGGCTGTTCGTTTCAGGTAACAAGGAGAAGTTTACGTTTTTCTACGGCCCCATCGGCATCCTCCTCTTGATCAACTTGGCCCTATTCGCACTCACGGCGCGAGAATTGACTTGCGGCTTGTGGAAAAGAGAGCTGGTCAAGAGCACGTCCGAGAGGTAAGAATGCGACTTGTTTTTTACTGGAAAATGTCCCAGTTGGATGGTCGGCATTCCTGCATTCAAGGACGGACATCGACTGTTATTTTTTTTTCCAGAGCCGCGCTGGGCCGCGTCTGCATCAAGCTGGTGGTGGTGATGGGCGTCAGCTGGATAGCGGAAATCATCTCATGGTTGGTGGGTGGGCCTCAGGAATTGTGGTACTTGACCGACTTAATCAACTGTTTCCAAGGGGTCTTTATTTTCATTGTGGTGGGATGCCAGCCTCAGGTAAGGCACCCCTAACGGTTAGTTGGCGTTTTTAATGGGAGTTTTAGGTTTTGTCTGCCGTGAAACGGCTGTGGTGTTTGAGGAAGCACAGGGCGAATGGTACCGCGGGTACCACCAACCATCACTCGTCGAGCTCGCAGGGTATGCCTTCGATGGGTGATACTGTGACGAATCACAGTGTTACCAACAATACGACCAAGTCGGTGCCACTGGAGACGAGTTGCTGATGACGGGTGATACGAATGCATTTTCGGACAATAAATAACTTTATTTTTTTTACTGTAACAAATTAGGCTAGTCAGCTATTGACAAATTGGACGTTGTGTGCAGCATTCCGTTGTGTTCTTTTTTTTTTGACTGATTATTGTGTATTTAGGTTTAGTTCCTTTATTTATGTTGTTTGTTAATGTTAAGTCGACGTAAAAAGTTTTTCTTATTTATCTCTTATGATCTTGTGTTATAAACGACGCCCAGTATTATATCAATTTTGGTAGTTATGTTTTTAGCCTGTTTTGTGTATGTTGTATGTTTTTGTAAATAAAGAGTACAAAGTAAGATTTCAACCATAGTTATTGCACTTTACAACTTTTTGTTTTCTAAACATGTTTAAAATAAAAATATACAAACCCAAGCACTTAATGTTAATAGCACCCACGCTTATGCAAAAGTTATAGAACTATTCGTCAAACAATCATGATCGTATTTCCTCAATCCTAACAGATTGAAATAGGAAATGAGGAGTTTTTTGTTGTGTCTGTAAAACTGCTTTACGAAGATTATGAGGTAACGGATTTCTCTCTTAATCTCATTTATGTTGAAAATAGATTAATTTGATTAAAATGTACCATACATATTAGTTTCCATATTTTAAAATACTCGCTAAGGTAGCACGAAAGCCTCTCGGGTGTTTAACACTCAATCTGTTTAAAGAAATTTTAACTTTTGCGTGGATGTCATATCTGTATACCCGGTGGGGTATCCGTTAAATAAAATTGTTGAAATATTTCACACTCACCTGGACATTGATAAGATACATTCCATTTTTTGGTATTTTTTTATTTACAAAGCCAAAAAAAGTAATTTTCTTTCAAAAAGTTAAATTCTAATTTTTATACTGACCTATGCAAATTCACTTGTAATTGTTTACAAAATCAGAAAAAAAAATACCAGTTAGATTTTGAATTAAATGCAATTTTCCATCTTAACTTTGAAAATCATGACCTGCTACTTGTGCCATCGTAAATTTAGGTAACAACAGGGAACTGTAATTGGGGTAAGATTCCTAGATTTACAACAATAAGAGACTTCAAAGTGGTCAGCCACCAGTAAATGATTCTTTTGTTGGCAAATTATACCATTTAGTCATAAATCACGGGTCTAGTTTGTGTTTAAATAAAAAAGCGATTATGTATTTTGCTAACCAAGTCAAAATTTGTAATTGTGATGCCAAAGTTTGATGCGCTAGCAGGTACAGATTCATTTAGTGTAAAAGCTTTATAGGTAAATTAACAGAAAGTATTCATAAAACATACAAAACTCTTAAAATTCTCAAATATACCCTATTAATCATTAGTTAGGTGTATGAAATATCGCTAGTTTTAATTAATTAGATGTCGCGATTTATCAAGTGCGCGTAACCGATGCCCCTTCCAGCACATTATTCAGTTGAAAGTGTAAGTTCTACAGATACTCCTGTAAACGAATTATCCTATTATTTTATTTTTCTAATCTGCTCTGACCTCTTGTGATTCATTGTAATCAAATATGGCAACGTTAGAAAAGTCACGTCAAAGTAGTTAAATGTTCTACTTAGCGAACTAGAAGTTTTTAGATCAAACTTTCTCTTCTATTCATTTTACAAGAAAATTTTTATCTTACAGGTTGAGTTTTTGAACTACCTTAGACCATTGTTTTCGGTGACAGAAATCAAATATTATTCACAAGTGATAAAGTACTCACAAGTGAGTAAATTTGACTATTACATTATATTTTTATAGGTGAATATTTTACTTGAATGAAACTTCATTTTTTGGATAGTTGCACCTGTAAGATAAGATAAGATCGAAATGCCATTATGAAACTCGTGAGAAAAAATTCTCACTGGCGTATAATGATGCATTTCTATAATGTACTATTATTAACTTGTAAATCCCGTTCAATGGTGGATGTTTCTTGTGCTATTTATTCAGCTTGGAAGGTTTAAGTTATTTGAAACTCATTAAAATAATGGAGAAATAGTCGTTTATTTTACAAGAATTTGAATACAAGTATTATAATAATCTTTGGTATTATATACAAAATTACGAACGTAAAAGGTGTACTATAAAGTAAAAATGTGAAAAAATCACATTATTTGTAATAGGAAAACTTAAATTTAACAAAATCGACGAGTGTAGGCTATCGGACAAACAGGTCCCTGTAATTGTAAATACAAACTTGAGCTGCCAAGTTGAGCAAGCATATAGTTGGTTAAAGCTACTATGATGCGGATAGACTAGTAAATTTCATAAAAACAGATGAAAAAGCTGTAGAAATCACTGGTTTTCCGACCTACTTTGCTAAAAGAAGGTCCCAGAAACAGCAACTTCTTTCCGAGAGTATATCAAAGTTCGTCCAACAGCCGACACAAGCAATAATAATAAATTACTCATCAAATTTATATACAAGTCTCGACAGACTGATTGTCCTTTAAGGCCTTTTTGACACAATTTTATCACAATCAACACGCCTTGTTAGTTTTCGCGTTTAAAGTCTTATTTTCAAATTTCTGCTGCAACGACGCCACATTCGACGACGACCTCGCTGCATTCCTCACCCCAGAGGGCACAGTTTTCGCATCGGATTGGCTCTTACTCACAGTAGCTACTTTTTTATCTCCAGGTTTATTAAAACTAACCGCTTTCGGTTTCACCGGACCTCTCGGTAATCCGTTGAGATTCGGTTTCGTTGTAGCAATTGTTGGTTTTTTCGTATTGACGACATCCGGGCCTTTATTCCCAGGTTTGGTGTTACAACTGATTACGACATCCGGGCTGTTGGACGCCGTGCGTGTCTTCGGAGCCCCAGGGGCGGGTCTAGACGGTGACGGTCTGCGTGTCCGTAGATTGGGAGGCGTGGTTTGGCGACTAATCGTGGTTTTATTGGGTGCACGTTTCGTAGGGGTGGGACTACGTGATTTTGCTTTGAAAGTTGATAGTTTGGGTTCCTCGGGTTTAGGCGGATCGGCTGGTTTGATTGGAGGGTTGACCGCTGATGGGAGGATGTAACCACTGGAGGTGGAGCTTGTCATATTGCTGTAGACGCTTTCTGGTGTTTTGTAAATCGAGGAAGTGTTGACATAAGTGTCAGATCCAGGACTTTTCATTTTTGCTTCTTCTTCTTGTTTTTTCTTACGTGCTAGAGTAGAAGTTGAGTAAATTGAGTCAAAGTTGCGATTTTGAATTTCTGAAACTATTTCTCCGAGAAGGCCCATGCTTTCATTCGAACTTGAACTGTTTTTGGTTTTGTCTTCGACTGAATTAACACTTTCAGGGGGCGAGACTGGAGATTCTTCAATAACCGCATAAATGTTATCACTACTTAATTCCTCGGTTAATTTTGCTAAAGGAGCTGCTTTATTTAAACAATCGTCATATTGGTTTTGAGATGTTTTAACTGTAGGTTTTTGATATCCAGGTAGGCTTGGTATTTGCAGTTTTTTTTCGTGGGCGTCTGATATTGGTGGAGCTGGGGGCGGAGGACTTTTCGGTCTACTACCTGAGGGTATACTTAAAGGGCGTCTGGCACCTCCTGGTTGTCTCATTGAGCCAAAAGTCTGTATATTGGGTCTAGGGGTGACACTAGTGCCTCTCATACTTTGAGCCCTCATTATCACCGTTTTATTGCCCTCCCCTCCCACACTAACAGTAGTACCTTCAGATTGGAGTATAGGATTTGAAATTTCAATTGACCTTAAAGCATTCTTATCCATGATTTTACTCGCCTTTCTCGGCAAAGTACTAGTATTAATGTTAGTACTAGCAGTACCCACAGTACTAGTACTAGTGCCAGGAGTAGGTTTCTTCAAAAACGAAGTGATTCTATTTAAAGTATTCACCCCTTTTTTCCCGTCATCCACTGTAATATCAGACAAGGGCCTTTGTTGAGTGGGCAGAGCTTCAGGGGCGGGCCTTGCCGGTATCTTAGGGGCGTTCCTTAAGGGCGAAATCAGTTCTTTCGCTGTGCAAGTCGAATTTTCCAAAATCGGCGACGATATGATTGGTTTAGCCGTACTGCCAGGATTAGGAGGTGGTAGTGTTGGAGCACTCGCGTTCTGATTAATTCCAGCCAAAGCTTGCTTAAAAGAATGAGATCTTGACATTGACCTACTCAAAAAATTGTTTTTAGGTGCTGGTGGCGGATTCGAAGGAAGTACAATCGGGGGCGGTGGTGCTGCCCTCGCTGGTTGATTTTCAACTTTCTTTAACGGCGTTATCGAGAAGCCTTTAAAATAGCCGAAAAATTCGCATTGGAGAGGCGAAGTGGGCGGATCATTTTGTAAGAGTGAGTGGTTGTCTTCTGTCCGTTTTGCAGAATCGGGGACGAACGGGGCGGTGCGTGTTTTCGCTGGTGACTTGATCCTAAAGCGGGAAAAAAATAAGCGATCGGGTTATAGGGGATTGCGGTTACAGAAAAAGCCAAAGCTGTATAAAAATAAACAAATATAACAAAAAGATTAAAATGTATTTATTGTACAGGATTAACATCGATTTTAGTTAATCGCATGCAAAAGACACCACAGAGGATAAATAAAAAAAAAACAGATTGAAAGACTAAATACACTAAGGGAAAGCTTATTAGAGTCCCCAGGCGGTGTGGACTGGCGTAACAAAACACTGTGCTACTTTTTTAAATTGTTACAAGCACGCAACAGTTACACTTCACCTGTTACGTAATGTGCGAACTTGTAACAATTTCAATGTAGGCCTTAATAAAAACGTTACATTTTTGGCGGAGTATCGTTGAATTTTTTCGCGAGATCCTTGACACTGACAACTAGATTCGGAGTGTCACATAGAGTCTCAGTGGTCACAGGCGTTTCGATTTGACTAGATCTATCTTTCTTCCTTAAATTCGTGTTGAGTTTAAGTCCTTTGATATTTCGCAAAGATAAGCGTCGAATACCACCACTTTCCGGATTAGTACTGTTTGTTATGGTGTTACTTCTAATAATAACGTCAGTGTTTGTTGTGGAGACCAAACCCGTCTGTTTGATCTCCAAGTTACGAATGTTTTGAACACGTTCAGACACTGTAGGAATTGAATTGGAAAAAAGACTACCACCACGACATGCAGACACAACATGCTGGAAACTGTTAGACAGACAATTTTTTACGTACGTAGGAGCCGCTGATTTCGAACGAATGTGCAGAACGTTGTGTTTGATATAATACGTTAGGAACGCGATCAACACCAAACCGGGAATTATTCCCAAGAATATCACAAAAAGAGCAACGACAAACTCTTTGCGAGCTAAAACAAAATAAAACGTCAAAAAACTGAAACAAAAAAATCACAATTAATATACCATCAGGATCTGAAGCTGGGCCGCTATCTTCGGATCCCCCAGGTCCCGGATCTTCGCAAAATGGCGGCGCGTAGCCATCTTTACAGTGACAGTGACCCAAATTGTTGCACCAACCGTTGTTGTTACAATTGTGAGGACAAGTCTTTCCAGCTAGTTGGAGACTAGCCACGGACATACACTTCTGGTTCACGCACATCTTGCCCTCACCACATTTGGCGCCATCTGGTGCCAGACCCGGATCAACTTGGTTGATGCCCAAGTCGACGATGGCCGTCCTGCAGGCCACTATCGAACCTTTCAAGTTAAGAAAACTGTGGCTCAAAATAGACACGGATTCCATGCCGAATTCCAAACGCTCGTTCAAATGTTTGCAATGAAGCATTCCACATAAGACGTTCCTAAAAAATTAAACAAAACCGTTAAAAATAGTTGGTGATTCTTAAAAATCTACTAACAAATCGCCAAAAATTTTCAGTATCTAAAAATCTTTAAAATTGGGGCAAAAACCCCTACTTACTCATCGTTGCACTTGAAAAAACTCTTGTTGAACTTATCATAACCGCAATTTCCATGCCGATTTCCTTTAATATTCATTTTGTAACACTGATCGTCACTGGATTTGCCAGTTTCGCCCCACAAAAGCTTGCACTGGTCAGTCCTAGTCCTGCAAAACCCGTGGTAACAAAACGCTTTCCCGCCATCACACATTTCAGCATCCATCTTGTAAATATCAGCTGGACAATATTCACTATGACCGGTGCAATACTCCGGCAAATCACATTCGTAATCGGCCGATCGACACAAAGTACCCGCCGATTTAGGTTTACAAGTCTACAAAGAAAACGAATAACTTTTGTAACAACTCTTTAAAAATTGACCTACCGTCAAATCGCAGCACTCGCCAGTTGCACAACTGGCATTTGGGTGCAACATACACGTGGTTGCATTGCAGCAAGTGTTATCGCAATGCTCAGGAAGCCCACAATCGCACTGTTCTCCCGGTTCCACGAAACCGTTACCACAAACCGGGCTATCGAAAAGTGCCGTTGGTTTGTTTTTAAGACAATAGTCCATGCCGTGAGTAAATGCAAGAAGGAGGTAGTTGAGACTGCAGGACGACCAGTGGGTTGGCGCCACTGTCGAGCTACTGGGAGCCATAATGCATCGATCATCAGGACAGGTGCACTCATTCGTATCGTGCTCCATGCCGAAATTGTGGCCCATTTCGTGAGCCACTGTTGTGGCGACGAGTCCCACGACCGGGGAATGATCAGTGTTGACACCCCCCGAGTACTCGTAAGTACAAATCGGCCCTTTGAGGGCCTTCCCGACGACGCCGTTGTCGAAATTGTATTTCCTGAAATATTTTAGGTGACTTTGGATCAAGTTGCTTGGTTTGACTTACGTTAAGAGTTGGGCATTGTCGTTGGGGTGTTCCTTGACTAGTTTGTTGCGTCGGTAGTGAAGAAAGCTGGTCAGGGTGGTGTCGCCATTTGGGGAAAAACTGATTTCATCATGCTCCGTCCAAATAACTACACCTACTAAAGCTATGAATATATTAAGAGGGGCGTAGAGCTAAAAAATCTAATAAATTTCGAGTGATTTTGAAGTGGAAATATAGTACCCCATTTATAATGTTGGCAATGGTTTTGCAATGGTGTTCCACTTTACTTGTACTCTCACCCAATTCTTTATACTCGCGATTGTCAACTACTAAAACTAATTCCACGTATTTGGACTTCTTATTCGCGTTGTAGGGCCCTCTCACCAGTGCGTTTTGTTCCGCAGCTCTTTTATACTAAAAAGATATTTCATTTTAAAGTTGGCAACAATAAAATTACAATTTTTTACCCTAAGTATTCTATTGTGATCGTGGCTTTTTTCGGGATCGACTGCATCCCCCGCATACCCGCAAGTCTTATTGCCCTCCACCAGATCCGAGTGTTTGTACATGTAATGTGAATCCCCGTCTTTATTCTCTATGTAGTGCATTTCGTTCCCGTCAAAAACCACTCCCGACAGCCCTTCACATGTGGATAGAGCGACCCATGATCCCGGTTTGTTCCTGACTTTCCCCCCATAGTGACACAAGTCGACTTCTTCCTGCTTGGGTCGTACGACTTGGTGAGTTCCGTTCTGTTGAACCTTCCGAAAAAATCCTTTCGGTATGAGCTGTCTGTTCAAGGTCAAGTCTAGGAGGAAGTCTTCGCCGTCGATTGGCAGTGATATGGTCAAGTGGTCGAGGTGATATGGTCCATTCTATGAACGGAAAAGATAATTATGTCATTGAACTGGTAGGGTTTATCGCGGAAAAGTGGGTGGAAATTACCTCGTCTTTGCTTGTTGAGATCTGACGTTTCTCTCGTCCGTGGTAAATCCGAGGCTTGACGAGCGTATGGCGGCTGAAGTCTCTGGCAGGATGTTGTTCAGCTGGAACAGTTTTTTCGCATTATAGGTTTACCTGTACCAGTTTCGCAATTGTCGCTTTCTACGTAGCGACACTTTAAATTATTTTTAACACGGATAGGTCAATTTGTACGAGTGAAACTAGTTAGAGCTAAGAGAAAAATTGCTACAATTAACCGAAACTGACTCAATTTTTATTAAGAGAAAGCGTAATCTTGAAATACACTGCTGGAAGACGGCCAGAAAAATGCAGACTGGAGCAAAATTAGATTCTCTGCAGGGGATATGCCTTTTTGGAATTTCTGCACTATTTGGTTCCGTCGCGCCTTGTGAACGTGTGACAATCGGACGAGAAAAAACCGTAACTGAACATCCGCAAGAGATTCAAAAAAAGTGCTTAGCTCAAAATAAACTGTGAACAAACGGAATCGAAAATTATATTGTGTAAAAAAAAATCTTTCAGTAAAACAAACTAAACAAATTCAAAAAAATATAGAAACGCACAATATTAGACTGCAAGTAAGTATGAAAATAAACATTGTACATTCAATCGGAAGTGTTAAGTGAGACTCTAAAATTAAATTTAGCTAATTATATATACGCTGCAATATGCAATATTCTGTAAAAACTCTTTCAACAGAAGTATAGGAAAAACATCAAAGATTATAATTTTGCACAGCGTTATTTCAAAACACTGTCAAAGGAAGCCAAAAAACAGATAGCAACAGAAACTATTGCGAGAAAGAATAATAATAAAATATAAATAATTATTTAATATTAATCACGTTTTGGTCAGAATAAACTATAATTAAAAATCTTATAATTATAATCACAATAGAGAATACAAAAAATTAATTTCTTTCATTAATTTAGGGAATTCGGTCTCTGCGCATTCTACAAATTATCAAATTAGTAAAAACAATTTTCATATTATGCTTATGAATTGGTGAGTATGTATCCAAATTCTGAAAAAAAAATTCTTCCAAATCTCTACTTAAGACCATTTTAAAACTGTTTTTAGTTTTTAACATTTAGAAATCAAGTCCTTTATTTGAATTTTCCACTCAAGCATTTTTTCAACGTTTCAACTTCTATTATAAATTATAAGATATTAATTTAAACAGGAAAACAATGTAAATATTGAAATCTTGAAAATTCTTTCAGTTATTCGTAATTTCTAAAATTTCCCAGCTTGTATCTGGTATTAACTTTTGCAATCAAATACATAGAGTAGGTGAAATAAACAATAGTTCCATTATAGTAATTCGACAACCTTGTTCGTTGAGGAGCGCTGGTTTTTCCTAAACTTCGTAGTGCAAACAATTTTGCTGAATTTACTGACAAATTAATGACAAGTTGCTTAAAGAGTTTGTTTATATTTGCTTTAAATTTGTAATTTCGTTCCATCCAAAAAAGGGATACTACGATTTTACGAGTCTCGTTTTGGGAAAATGAAACATTATTGAATTAATTAGTCTCAAGAACTATAAAAATATTGCCCCCGCCTGATTTTAACGGCAAATTCAAACACGTCAAGGTTATCTCAAGACAATATTTCCTTTGTTGATTGTGCTTTACAAACAGAAAAATCGAATATAGGTAACAAGAGGTCAATTGTCGCAGCGACGCGCCACTGGTTTATTGACCTCGGTCGAGTGAAAATGTAGCGAGGAAGACTTACAACATGCATTTCCTTGACGAAAAAAATAAACAAAAATTTTTTTTTCAAATATTTACTTTTTTTAATAGCTAATATCGGCCCAAGGTCAGTTTTGGCAAATTCAAGGCCGTTTACATAAGTTCCCCTAAAACGATTAGAAAGTAAAATGGAATTACATCAGTGTTACGGTTATTGTTTCAAGATTAATTAAATTATGTATGGATATGGGACGTGGTCTTGTTAACTTTTTTACTAAATACTAAATGAATTGATTGAGGAAGCAATTTAAAAATTTTCTGGACAATTTCCAAAACGAACTAATAAACAAATCGTTGATAAACTATCCACTCTGTGTACCAGTTATTACGTTACGAAATAATAATCATCAGCTGCACACTAGACCCTTGTTACTATTTTAATCTCTCCCAGAATAAACTTGGGTAAACTTTAATATTAGAGCGCAGGTGAAGTCTAGAAAGGCACGATCAGGATGTTTATTATTACTTAATAAGCGAAACCTACTTTCTACCCAAAAATATTGCAAATTATGCAACATTTATCGGTTGTTGTCTTCCGAATTTGTCTTTGACCATGAGTTCAGCAATTTTCTAATTTAACTAAAACTCCGTCTAAATATTTATCAATGGAAGATTTTTGTAAACAAATCGCAAACTGTATAATGCTCTGATAATTAACTCCAACCTTCTACTTCAGCAGCGCCACTTCCATCACTTCTTGACATTTAATCAGACTTAAGTGAGTTAAACTGGGACATTAATTAGTCATCGACCTTTGACATAAACTGCCGGTTCTTCGTACCTAACTGGCGGATATTCAAGACATCTGCTAAGAAATAAGCAGCACCTGTCTGTGCAGATGCAGCTTTACAAACAAAAATTGGTACAATAACTTTCTTTTGTCGCGTGTAATTTTGACTCAAATCACCTGTTATTACTCTATTCATCCACCATTTCCCTAGTTAGATGACATTCTCTCGTTTATTTTTACTGCAAGTCTTGCATGTGATTTACTTTCAAAACAGATTTTTTTCAGTGCTCCTATTATGTCTGAATTTAAAATGAGCCTGTCAGGCAACTAGATTGGAATATGGGGCTTTCGGTGGGGAGCTAACGGAGACATTCATATTTCGAAATAATAGAAATAACTTTTAAAGGATGGTAAGGAATTATAACAAAATTAATAAATAATTAATTTCATTTCAATTAATTATTGCAATTATGCATTTGGATCTTGTTCAAATCAATTAAAAAATCAAAATAATACGCTCGTTATTAAAATTGAGTCGTAAGTAACTTCCTGTGAATGGTAATAGAATTGAATAAAACTAGTTTTTAATTACTCGATTGCTCAAGATTAATAGACTAAAAAATATCTTTTGAACGTGACTAATGATATGAATTTGAAACGACTTTTATATGTATATTTTTGCACCTTGCAGTTCTAAAAGATTAATGTAGGTACAGCGTTTTCCGACAAACTATTAACAATTTTTGTGTTAATTTCATTTTGTGATAAATACAGTGTAATATTCTTTTTAGAAATGGTAGAATAGAATAGTAAAATTATTATAAAGCCTACATATTTCGTTTGAAAAATGTGTATATTATAAATATGTATTAATGATTTTCTAAATAATTATAAATTAACAAATTTTAAAAGATTAACGATGACATATACATAACTATACTATTATTCTATTATTATTATGTTAAATAAAAATGTTTACATATTTGTTTGAATACGCTCCCAAAAATAGCTATTTGAGTCTTTTCCGGACTCAATAAAATAGTACGCAAAATGGTTATTTTAGAGACTCAGTCCCACAAACAGTTTTTGCGGCCTAAAAAATTAAATTGCTTACTATGGTGGCAATTTTTTTTTATTAATAAGAGGTGTGAATTCATGTTTTAGGAGTTTTAACAAAAAAATCTTGTATGCACCACGCACGCAAAAGGTTTTAAGTGACTCCCCTAAAACCCTATTTAAATTAGTTTCAAACGAATAATGACAATAAAGCGTGGCTTACATTGACATTTGTTGAACTGACATAAATTTGATGTCCAAAATTCCGTGTCCGTCAATGTACAAGGTTAATTATTTAATTTTTTTTAGTTTTGGAAATAACTATTTTTTAAAACTATTCAAAAAACGTTTGTGTGAGAAAAGTAAGTACACTATAATAAAAACACACCAAACGTGTTTTACTAAAAAACATTCTACATATACTCGTATTACAAAATATCACTTGTCGTCATTAGATTTGCAAACTTCTAAAATTACAACTGCAAAATATTATTACTTGTTGTTTATTAACAACAATAAATTTAAGCGAGAGATTGTTAGCTGAGACATTTGTAGTATAATTATACTAAAACAAAAATACAACTAAAATTCTTAAAAAACAACCATCTTGCAATCTATAGCGCCTGCCATTTTTTAAATGATCCTGTATAATAACAGTATACTAAGAGGAGATAGTGTGCCAATAACCAAACATGATAAAAAAAATAAAAAGTGGACAAAAACACTATAAGAAATTAGAAAAATACATTTATTTCAGTAAAAAATTAAGTACAGAAACCAATAGTTATCATGTTATCAATATTTCCAACTATATACTTGAATATCAAATAAGTTGCTGTCAAAGTGCAAATAAAAGTGACCAGTAAGTTGTTTTCCTTATCTGATATTTGCTTCTAATACCCATATTTCAAACAACAAATAGTTTTTGCCTTTTAATTGTCATCATCTCAAAATGATCTCAAGTTTGAGTATAAAAATTAAAACCGTTTAACAGAATTAAGAACATTTTCTTTTTTCGCTGTTTCATAGGTACAATACGGTCTTGCTCGACAGAAACTTGAAACCTCAAATAATGTTGTTAATACCTAAAGTATTGGATAATATAGGATCTCAAGTCAATATACCAAGCTGTCAACAACCGTAAGCTACTCCAAAAAATATTCCCTCTAATTGTATATAAAGGGCTGTTCGGACAAAGTTCCCTAGGAAATTTCTTTCTTATTTTGATCTAAGACACCACCCCCCAAAATCTTTCAATGTTTTATCCGGACACCCCTGTATAGGTAATTGTATTAGACATACAATCAACTCAGTCATTCTTGATCACCCAGTACATCATCCACTTTGCAAGCCTACTTTGATAAAATAAGTTTTATAGGAGATTGCAAATTGATTCTTTTGTAAATATTTAATTGATTTTGAGCGAGTGCCAAATCTGAGTTCAGTGACATAGAGCTCATCAACATAACATCAAAATAAAACTCTTGGTTTTTATTCCGAATCCAAATAATTTATGTATTGAACTACACCTTTTGTTGGACATCCCAAACGCAATTAATAATGCCCAACCCATCAAATTACCATTTTATCAGCGACCCTCCCTGCGTCTAGACGTCACGTGACATCGGCCATAAATTTCCCCTCGCTCCCAAAATCCAACACTTTTCAATTTAAACCCCGACCTAGAAACTTGGCATTCCGGAGTCGTATTTTAACGTGAAAATTTCATCGAATCGTGGCCAAGTTTAGGGTTTTTTGCTGCGCCAACATGGCCCCTCTTCGGGCGCCCACTTTCTTATCCTCCTTAGACGATATTAATTACCCACAAGGTTATCAAACCGCAATTCCCGTCCAACTATCGCAACGATTTCCTCTCAACAAAAACAATGTAAAATGCATCATTTCTGCCCTTTTCCATGATTCACACGAGACATTTCTATTCAAATTTTAATGAGATATTTCCCGGTAAAATGTGTAATTGCATTTGCCAACGTTCTGAATGTTAAATTGTGAAAAATAAGCGGCTGACCTTCGTGGGGACGCATAATTTTATTGTTATAAACAACTGTTTAGGTTTCTTTCGAACTAATTAGTTGATGGGATAAAAAAGGATCTAGAGATTGAAACGTGAGGCGTCGTAAAACCGGAAATGCCGTCTTGAATATAAATGGACACTTTTAAAACTTACTTCTCTCTGATTCACAAAGATCTACAAGAGAAAAAAGTGATTCATCGCAAACTTAGTCAAATTCAGTATAACAGTGTCAAATTTCAATTAGATTGTATGGATCGAAGTGACCACTTTACGTGTTGAGGCAGTTCGTTGCCGCGGTAACCGTTCGTGACTCATCCGATTGGGTCAATTAACAGGAAGGTGTTGCATTTTTGTACTTGAAAGTTAATCACAAGCGAATAAATGGTCTTGGTCACTCCCACCACTAAATATGAATGAAATATGAGGCAGTTTTTGACTACTAATGTCAAACACAAAAATTAAAACCCCTCTTTATTCTTGTATTGGTGTCAAATTTGATCGCAGAATTTCATAGAAAAATAACAGATTATTATTCACAAATTACAATCATAAACACCTGAGCGATTTTGACAACTTTTTGTTAAAAACACCAAAATTTGGCCGTTTTTCTTCTTAGTTTCTCCGTCAGTTGTGATCAAAAAATGACAGAAAAAACAACAATAAAGGAAACTACGAAGTGTATCCGGTTTTTAAATGCGTCAGAGCCAGACAATTCATATGTTCTCAGGCCCGTCTTATATTCTTTCTTCGTTTTTTCAAAAGCAGATGTTGATATTCGACACTTAACAATCAAATCGGTACAGTAGGAAAAGCGGGGAGTGTTTAGGATAATAAATAAAAGGCGCTCCCTTTGTTTAACAAACACAATGAACCATAATTTTTGTAACGAGGGTGCTGATGGTTCAATAAGACACGTGCTACCAACTACCATAAACAAAGTTGGGGGAGGCGGGGAAAGCTCGAAAAGTTGCAGATGTGTCTTATTTATGTTGCTGCCACATGCTATGGCCGATTTTTTGTCCCGGGTTTATTTCGGGAGTACCAAAAATTGAGAAAAATTTCTAAGAAAGTCAAACGTGGGTTTGATAATGATAACTTTTCCGGATGTGACAAAACTGACTTTATCGTGCTTAAAAAATCACTTAATCCTCGCCGTAGGAAAGCTTTTAGTTATCGAAGCTTTCAATCAACGTCAAGCCCAGCACTTAACACCCATCAACCCCATTTCAAGGCCAAACAATTTAAATAAAATGGAGGAAAACAAAACTGAAAACATTTAATGTGTCAATGTTTACACGCATATCGCGCACAATGACTCCATTATTGTCCTTTAAACCGACTGATTTATTTCAACAAAGATAAATTTGGATCATCTTCCATAAGAGGTAGATTAATTAAGTAAAGTTAATTGAATTCGAGTCAATTGGAAAAAGGGTCGCCGCGAACCCCCTCATATGTGACATACTTACTTCTTTCAGTGGATCCAGCTACATCCTGCTGGAAGGATAACAACACAAAGCAAACATAATACACTAAATCCGCCATATTCTCACTGAACAACTGGTCACATACTGCACAAAAGACCGACTTCTTTGAACAGAAGCACAACAACACGTCTCTATCGCTTTGCAAGCCGAGGCCGAATAACTGTGGAGGACGATGCAACCGTTCAAAACAACTTTAAACCTTTGAGCGCCATCTACCGTCGAAAAAGCTCAACCAAAACTACGCCTTAACATTTAACAGGAACCTAGTTCTAAAGCAGTGGCGTAGCTAAGAAAAATGAAACTTCAAAATGGTTTTTCAAGTCTACAAAGCGAGAAAACAAAAGTTCATATTTTATCGAATGAGCGCTAATGTGTCCATTACTTTTTTTATGTGCAATTATTTAAAATTATATTCTTAACTGAATAAAAATTAAAATGTTATGCAACTAACATTACACTCGTGCACATTCAAGGCACTAAATATTTCATCTTTACGGATGATTTCGAAAACAAAACAGATTTTTTTTTTAACCAATACCTATTTAAAATAAAAACTTATAAAAGCATAACAGCTTTAAAAAGTGAAGTAAGTAATTTAAAATATGCAAAATGTCTTAAAACCATTAATTTTTTCATTAATGTCCTGTTACCGACTACAGTCCTTTGTAATTGAGGGAATAGAAAATAGCTCGGCACTCGATTATAAAACCTTGTGATAATTTGATGCCCAGAAACTATCCAGGACGAAGAAAGTCGGACAATATAAGCGCCACAAAATCTGAGATGATATTTTTGTCCTAAAAATTTTACAATCTTAATAATAACAATGGTAATGATTCAAAATTAGAGTAAGCTTGGATTATCGATCAAACCTGACAGTGCTACTACCTTCAATCATGCATTGTGACGGGGCTATCAGGAACATAGAAAAAGAAATACTCCGCGAATGTGCTTACAAAGGCATTCAAGTTCATGAAAACTTCCTCAACTACTACGTAAGTGCGATTATTGACTGGGGAAACGACAAATGAGCCTTACTTTCAGCTCAAACTCCTCTCACTCGACCCTACATGGGGCATCACAGGAAAAGATGTGCTAGATAGAAGCGACGTACAAAATTTCATCAAATATGTAGTCAACCAACTGAAAAATCAAAACACCCCCAGTATGATCACCCTAAAGATGCAGTTCTACTTCACTTGCAATTACCAAATGAAACAAAAAATGGTGAAAAGGAACCGAGCCGAACTTTTGTTGCGATTGCGAGGCTTAGAACAGGAAATTATCGATGTTAAGCATTTAAATGAAGAAGATGAGATTAATTTGATGTATAAAAAAATCGTCTACTACATTACTCTGGCTTCAGGGTTGGGCAATCCAACCATTGATGCAGTTTTCAAAGAAGTTAGAGTTGCTCTCGGGAGTATCCTCGACCGCAATGAATTGCACGATTTTGTAGCACAAACCAGATTTGCCAAAATTGATAATTTGGCTGAGTTTACTAAACTAGTGACTGGGATTCGTCTCTTCAACAAGGACTGTGGAAAAGGAGGTGAAGGAATGGAAGATTGTAAGTACCCATCACATTCAATTGACAATTTTGACCCTCTTTTGCCTAGTACCAAAACTGATCAATGAAGCACTAGTTGCCACAAGTGCCGAGCTTCAAAACACTCTAATCTCAATTATGGACAAAGTCAACTTAATGACCACAGCTCTAGACTTTGTGTGTGCAACAGAGTTCGACGAAAGGCACAATTATGTTATTGCCTATCGCCTCCCAAAAGGAATAACAATGGCCGATGTCAATTACGTCAAAGACTCGCTTATTGCCTACCGCCAACATGAACTCTACGTCAGGAAAATGATGGACGAGATCGATAGAATTGAAAATACCTCCTCACAAATCTTCACGATTCTCCAACGTGCGCTCATCGACCTCCACCGAGTTGTCAAGCATCGGATCGCAATTCCAGTCAATCAAGTCTTTGTAAGCACGAATGCTAAACAATTTCTGAACAAATGAAGAGTATTTAATTAAATTACTTTTATTTTAGCCCCATTTCATCAAACTGTCAGACATCTGGTGCAACCTCCAAGACCAGACAATTCTCCTCGCCAAACACAACCAAATTATGATGAATCTGCAAAAGTACATTAAAGTTTTATCATTTCCCGACTCCATCGCCGAAATGATGATACCACCAGGGGAATGCCCGATGACTGATACTGAGCGGTTAAAAAAAAAACGCGATCAGAAAATTCCACAGGAAGACAACCATGCCATGATCCTAGACCCGTTGCTCTACACCGACTTGACTAAGTTAAAATATGAGTATTTGGGATTTTGTGCATGGAAGATTTTCATGACGGAAGGGGCTCTACTGCCCGGGAATCCTGGTCTGGGGATCGCCAAAACCATGAATATGCAATTCGTGTTCTCATCGGTAGAGGCGGGAATAGCCTTTGGGAGGTGTCCGGAAAAGTGTGTCATGGAGACAATCAAGTTGGCGAGGAGGAAACCCGAGTTGATTAATTTATTGACTATTAAAGATCGATTGATTCTTGTGCAAAATATTAGAGAGTTTGTAGGAAAACTAAATTTGGGTGGTGTTTGATTGATATTTTTTAGATTAGTGCAAGAACCGCCGCTTTTGCCTTTAACTGAAGAAGTTGAGGTTCAAACAGAGACACATCCTATCAAAAGTAATATTGATCGAAATTACTTTTGGAATGTGTGGGATTTGAGGAGGAAAGCAATCGAATATGCGAATTTGACTCATTCTAAAACTGTTAGTTCTCAGACTAAGAAAAGTTATCACAGATTTAATTCAAATATCCAAACTTGTGACCCCAGAGATAAGGGGGCTCAAACTAAGAGAGATAACTATACTAATGTCCCAAAACCTTCAACTTTTATGTTCGGTTTGAGGGGTCGCAAAGACGATAAACAGTTTATAATTGACTTGACTCGACCTGTTGAGGAGTAAATAAAGTGCTTTAGCCATTAAAACGTGTTTTTTTTCAACAAAAACAATTATATAAGATGTTTAAATTTTATTGAATAAAAATGAAAGTCGTATGCACGATCATAATTTAGACGAGACATTTACAGTGCACAAATCACATACGAACTACTACAGTGTTTCCATACAAAAATGAAACTTAGTTTTAACCTAAACTTAAATATACCAAAGTTGTAATGTACTTAAATCTAAGATCAGTTCAAAAAATAAGATTACAATACAAAAAATTAAACATAAAAATAATTCCTTTATGATTGGGTATATTTGAGGGCAAAATGTGTCTATTCAACATGAAATTGTTATACCACCTAGCGCAAATTACAAACATTCAACTACAAAACAAACTATTTTGTTATAATCTTTTTTGAAAAATATTGCAAAGTTGGGAAAAGAAGGCGCTAGAAAGATTTACAATATAAGGAAAGATACAGTTTAACTGATAAAATGATTCTTCAAAAATTTCATCATACCAAAAGTACGGAAACGTTTAACGCCGATTACTTTAAATAAAGCATCGTCGCAAATGGCATACTGTTTGTTCTTTGGATCATACAGATCGCGCTCTTTAATTATAGCCCATACTCGTTTAACGACTTCATGACGAGCCATCGAGTCCTGTCCGACAAGTGCAGCCAATTCAGGAGACAAAGTCATAGTTTTCGTGTATCCGCTTCCGCCTCTCTTACCACCCTGTAATAAATTAACCAATAAAAACAAGAAAAAAAATTAAAACTTTAAACGTACGCCTCCTTTTTTGCCACCTTTGTTTTTCTTGCCCCAATCTTCATCGGAGTCAGATTCTGAACCCTTCTTCTTTTTAGGAGGGAGTTTACGAGTCTTGATCGGTTTGGACGACTTCTTCGGAGAATATTCTTCTTCTGAGTCACCTTCAGAAGGTTCGCTGGCACTAGCCGACTCGTCAGAAGCTTTCTTTGCTTTCTTAGCAACCGGCTTTTTGCCGGTGGAGGAACGTTTCTTCTTTTTCTCATCTTCAGAATCTTCCTCCTAAAATAGTGGGAGGTAAACAAAACGTTGCTATAGTAACGCGTCCCGTAACCATGACTACACCAAACTCACCTCTTCTTCCTCCTCTTCCTCTTCATCCTCTAACTCTTCGTCCTCCTCAGAGTCGCCCTTCTTCTTCTTCTTGTCCTTGGAGCTTACGAACTCCATGACTAAATCGTCAATTTCCTTTTTGCGCGACTGTAAATCGGCGTCGAGTTTTTGTTCTAGTTCTTGACGAACTTTTTTTGCGGATGTCGAAGAGAGATCGGCATTCTTCAAAATGGCTGCGAAAGAAGTTGCATTTTTGAATTCGTTTGTTTACTAGTCGGTTTTCCCGCCACAAGGCGCCGCTGCCGATATGTACGTAAGTAACAAAGAGCCAACGTTTTCAGCAGCGATAAAAATGCTTCGGCAGAAGAATTTAGCAATCAATTACGGAGAAAACTTGTAGATCCAGGTTTAAACTGGATTTTTCCAAAGTGGAATTTCGACTGTCCATGCATCTAGACGGCGATTTCGAGCGAGAAAAGCAGTGGCTTGGGTGAAGCCGCGCATTCCAAGGCGACAAGATCCCGGTAAAAATCCGTAAATAGGGAGAAATCGCGGGAGAGAAACTCCTACGAAAATCGCAAATAAAATTCTACACCGATTTTGTTAAAGGCATTTCATCGCTGCTGTCGTAATTGCAGAGATATTTCCGAAAAACGAAGCGCTGAAAATGGTGCTCATACATGTAGCGTCGTGCGGCCATTGTTTATGTGCGAGTTTCAAACAAACACATATTGTACAAGAGTAAAATGCCCGATTTTGCACGTCAACCGACCGAGATCCATTAACAAAAATTCCACAAAAAAATTCAACAAGCCCAATTTTGACGGTTTCAGCCTCACTAGACTAAACATGCAAGAAATATTAGCACTTACCGGCGATTTCTTTACGAAGGTCTTCTTTTGAGATGTCTGCCATGATGCTAAAACGAGACGTGACGCTACGACAGAGACGGAAGAACGAGTGGTTCTTTGGATCGCGGCAGGCCGGGAGAGCGCCACAGGCACTAGCCCCCACCCACCCCAACGACCGCCGAGTCAAATCAAATCACTCACAAAACACCCCCAAAAAGCGATACTTTCAAAAATTTAAATATATCTTTAGTAGGCAAGGTCCGATGACGTAAAAGACACAAGTGAATGTATTCTAATTTTTATTTTTCGCTAAACTTGCAATTAAAAAAATTGAATAGATCGAAAGAACGCAAATGAGAAAGTTATGAATGTTTAGTAAATGCTAAATTATCAAAGTGCAATTCAATTAGAAGAAAACTGTATTCTATACAATTAATAAAACTCATCGTTTCACTACCGGTCGGTAGATAGCGCCAACTGCTCCAAATCAATGTAAAAATAATAGTGTCGTTTCAGTTTTTTTACAGTGCGGCCAATGAAATTAAGACATTTTGACAAATCCAAAACTTTGTCGTTGTAAAATGCTCTAAAACTAAAGTTCCTAAAATAGATACAATCGCGTGCAAAAGATTTTTGTATAGTTTGAAATTCGTGCCATAATTTCAGCAATAATAAAAAGTTAGTCAACGTTTAAACTATTTTTGATTTTTTGAGACAGAAAAATCAATCACAAATTGCAAAATTTGACATAAAAGAATTTTTTTTAGTGCCATTGACGACCAAAATTTTTTTCATGCGACTGTACCTATTATCATTCAAATAATACGAATCAGTGTCGTAGAGTAAATAAATTAAATTTTTTAAACAGAAATAACTAATCTTTTAGATATTATCATCTTTAATGTTCATCAAGACTTACATACACTTCACGAATTTTTAAAATATAAAATAATATGAAAGTCTTAATTTTCAAGGTCTTAACTGTACTATAGTAGAGTTTATAAGTAGAATTATAAGGGACGCTGTCAGAATTTACTGCTTAACAAAAAATTTTTTTTAATTCAACCGACGTTTTCATTATCACCTGTATGCAGTTTGTTTACTCATAGATATACTTTCAAGAGACAACGGTTGTCAAATTAATAACAATAATAGTGCAGTATCTTAGAATATCAAAACTTTGTATTTTGGTGCCAGTTTTTAGTCAATAAACAAAACACATAAAACGTTTCTGGATTGAGTTGCAAAAATTACATTTTTCTACAATCATGTAAATATTAAACTTTTCACATTGTAATTAATACATTGGCGGACACGGAATTTTAGTTTCAAATGTCAATCATGATGACAATAAAGCGTGGTTTAAATTGACATTTTTTGAACTGACATAAATTTGATGTCCAAAATTCCGTGTCCGCCAGTGTACGCAAAATTGGTCACTTGTTGTTAAGTGCACAGGACAATATTTCTTGGTCGATCAAAATTAAAAACTTTAAAATTGTTCCAAATGCACTCACAGGAGTGCAAAAGACTCAGTAAAGTGTTATAACGTTGTAGATACTCGGGAAATAAATTTTTGAAAAATTTTGAAAAATATATTGGATTAGAACTGAGACTCTGTTGGCGGCGTAGTGGTGTAGCGGCATAAAAACCCTCTTTCCGGCAGGTAGGTGCGGGGTTCGGACCTCGATAGTAATTTTTCTCCAATACAAATTGCACGGCTTCCTTGATTAATGAAGGAAGTTTCCCTTCACCCGGCTGGTCGCATTGCAAAAAAAAAGTGGTTCAGACAGCGTACTCTAATGTATCGCCATCTGTTAATTTCTTCCGAAAAGTTTTCTTGATACCATAGTTACCAAAATCACGCGCCAAACGTCGTAATTATTTGAAATTTAAGTTAGAAATTGGATTTCTCTGTGGATATTTGTTAAGAAAAGTTGAGGAGACTGTAAAATGTACTGCTTGTCTAGTACCCTTAACCAATTATTTTGAGTCAAAAACAAGTCCCCTCTTGGAATTAATTTATAATCAAGACAGAGGAAAGCTCAAATATTCATCTGAAAA